GTCTGACAATACCACGACGCATTGGATAAGCTGCAATACTAACGCAGTTAGCATCTGTATATGGTCTTCGGAGTTCAGCCTATATGTGCGTAAACTTCTTTTGCTACTAGGAAGTCTCGCTATTGACGCCAAAATATCATCTAACAATAATCTTCTATGCTTTTCGTATTTGGTAAATATTACGGTGACAAGCTTAAGAGCGCTTAATTGAAGATCGCTTACGGATTCAACAAAAAACGGTGCAACGCCTAACGTGGATGCGTGAAGAACACTGGTATCCGTTAACACTTGAATATTTAATAATTCGGCAAGGAGACCAACCAGTTCGTGCATTTTGTTGTAAACTTGAAGAATGCTCTTTTCGCGAACTTCCTTCATGTGGCCCCTTTTTTTACGTCCGCTAGAATTATAATTGTCAGTCTTGTTTTTTGTGTCTATTTTATAAACAGGGTCAAATGAAGGATAAATGGTGTTTTGCAATTGAAATTTCATAAAAAGAACTATTCTGTCGATTACATCTTCCAAATAAACTGTCTTGGGCATATTACTTGATGTCATAATGTGCAACGATATCAGTGATGCGTCTACGGCACGTTGTACCCTTTCCATAGCCAATTGCATCCACAGCCTGCTTTCGTCAACGTCATCATCGGGATCTGCCAACGGCGATACCCGAGCTCCGTCACGAATGTTCTTCTCTAAAATATTTAGCAATCTAACCAATCTATCCGCTGGAATAGACTCCATTGCTCCTAAAGCTTTTAATTTTGCCGCTTCGGTACATAAATCGTGTAACTGATATTTAGGAATAAGCAATTCTGGAGGCACATCACCATCTTCCTCTAACTCGGCGTTGGTTGCAATATCTTCTGTATTTTCAAAAATGGTCTCTATCGTCGAATTAAATCGTTGGTATGTATTAGTTTCCATTAACTCTTCTACACTTAATTTAGACAAAACTGGAACTAGTTTTTTCTCCACCTTTCTTATTTTCGGTTTTGTTGGTGTAAATATACCTTCCTTCTTTTCATCCTCATCATCGTCATCCAATATCCTTCTTCTCCTACGAATTTTATCTTCGCTTTTCTTCCTTTCTGCTCTTTCCTTTTCTCTCTGAACCTGACGTTCCTTTGCTCGCGCTTTGAAATATTTATTATTTTTACCAATTTCTTCTTCACTTTCGGAATCACTCTTTGTATCATCGCGATTGGTTATTCCCATCCTTGCAGCACGACTGGGAGATTTCTCAGCGAATGCAGCTAAACTCTTCTGCATAAGCGTCTGATCTTCTATAGATAATCTATTCAACATAACAACAGGTTCTTTCATTTTTTCTGTTGGTGTAGTGGGCACTTTTAACATTTTGTCAGAATTGTTGTTTTGTTGATGCTGCATTGGCATTATATTAGTATGATCTAAAGTATTAACAACATTAACATTATGAAGATTTTGATATGACGTGGTCTGTGAACCTGACAATAAATCTTGTGCAGCATTATCCATGCTTTGTTTTGTTTCAATATTTTCTATTGGTAAATCTATGTCAGGAAGGCCAGTTACTGGATCGAGTAAAAACTGTTGATTAGCTTGAACACTGCTATTAATATCCATATGTTCATTACTTTGCAACGGATGATGTACTTGTTGATTCATCGTTGGATCGTAAACATTCTGTTGCATGTTCATAGTTTGCTGTTGCTGAACAGGTATGTTTGCACGCATTGGAGAAGTCATGTGCATATTGTGTTGCGGCGTCATACCAGCCATGTTATGATGCTGAGGCGTTACATTACCCAAAGATGTCAAAGGTGTATTGGGTGAGCTCATATGAGCCGGAGAATACATATTTGGTTGGGGAGCTATATTCGACAGAGGATTTATACAATTGGAGTCATCCTGTACATGCTGTGGCGTAGTCGATGTTCTCGTTTGCTCCGTCATAACGTTTCCTCTAGGAGATGGAGAAGGCACGGCAAAAGGAGACATTTGTGAAATATCTGCATGATTTTGAGGTGTAACTGGCATTCGTGGATGCTGCGCGTGAGAGATACCACTAGGTGGTGGGAGTACAGTCCTAGCTGCAGCAGGATGAGCAGGACTACCTTGAGGCGTTTGCCTGGACCCTGAAGAATTTGAATAAGATGGTGAAAAGCGGCCATAATTTGCTGGTGATTGATTAGAATGCATCTGCTGAGTACCCTGAGACCAATTTCTTGGAGAATTATACTGAGGTCCTTTGAACACGTGTGGATTTATCTGGAGAATTGCTTTAAGCAATTCCGGCGTATTCTGCTCTGATTCCAAGGGTTGTTCAGTATTAGCATAATTATCCTTCAGTTCAATATGATCCGACGAAGTTTGTGACAGGGACAATATTAACTGGGGCACTAAATTTTCATCTCGAACACTTAACAATATTTGTGCTTCCTCTGCCACTCTTGGATGAAACAGGAGAGATTTGTTTGTCAGAGTTTGGGGCAGCGGCGTTGGTAGGGGCATTTCAGGCAACAAGTCAGTGAGACTCGCGATACCAGCGAGGGTAGTAATTGGCACACTCGGAATAACCCCATTCATTTTGAATTTGATTTGTTCTGGCATTACAGCCTGGACAAAAAATAGATTCAAAATCAATTCCAGTGTTTCTGTCTTTCCCCCCTCGATTCATAGAACAATCCAATATATGAAGCACTGCACTAACATCATATAAAAGTTCTACTCACGATATAATATAGATGTAAGACAACAGAACATATCTAAATGCAGCACTGTTGCCACATATACCCAAACTAATCATTGCTGTTTTATTTTTGTACTTGCATTTCCTAAACGTTCCAACACATTCTACTATTAAACGGAATAGTATCTAACTCTTGTCAGAGAACACTAACACTAAAGTTATATTGGGAACTTAACAAAGTCTCTTTTAAGTTCCCATGATGTAAAAGAAAATTTCAACCAAACTTTGATGAAGCACGTGGGTCCTCCAATAATCGATCCATGATTATCAATCCCTTGTCCTATAACAGAAAATTTGATTCGATTAAGACTCTACTGGCCAAAAAATATTATTGGTATAAATGCTAATAAAATAATTTATATTTTGAAATATTAAAAAAAAAGGCACCTATTGTTTGTAAAATTATAATCATTTTGTAGTGCTGCATACAATCTCCCTATATAGTAATATGGGAATAATAATAAAATTAAGATAATAATTATATCATTATTTCATACACTCTGTAATTATGATCAATAACACGTACACTTTATTAATCTTTCACAATAAAAGTATAAAATATGATTTACAAAAAATTGACACATTAATTGAAAATTCATAAAAATATAAAATAACAACAAAATCACTAATTAATTGTATCTGAAGTATAATTAATGATGATATATCATCAATTCTTAAATAAATTTGTTGTACACTAAACTTTGAAAACAAAAAAAAAAAAAAAAAAAAACAAAAAAAAACAAAAAAAAAACAATGAGCCAATACCATAACATATTAATACAATAAAGAATAATTCCTAAATAGATTCAATCGATTAAAAATAATATTATGATTATATAAGTACAGTCAGTTAAACAAATGTATAAAAAGTAATAAAAATATTCGATAATAACTTAAATGTATATCAATAAGGAAAATAAACTAATATCTCATATGTACAATATTGAACGGAAGATACCATTGATAATAATAAATAATATTATTCAGGCTAATATGATTTAGGTTTAATTAATCATAAACATTTTGATAATCTCAATAATTTTTATCATTAATATCAATGATTATAAATACCAGCACGTTATAATACCGTCTAAGTCATTACCTTTCTTCGTTGGATGTCTACCATCCAACATCATACATATGATAACATGAGCTTTGGATGATGTTTAGAGACAGCAGAATTTTCCAAACGAACGCGAAAGCCCGCTAAAGAAGAGAATTAAATAGATCAGTGACAATATAAAAATCAATTGAACGTCAGATAAGCCTATAAAAACAAAGTTGATGTATAAGGAGGTTCAGTATCAATTGCCTTACCCCAAGCAATCGCGACGATTATTTATGCTCCCGAATGTACTATGCGGAATATAATTTTGGCGGGCAGCGTGAACACATTTGCATGAGCATCAATTTTAATCGTAGACAAACATGTATCCGTTTATCGCGCGTTCTCCAAATCGTTACGTTTGACCGTGTCAAGCCTTTTAGCAAAAAACTTTTCCCCGTAGACGATATCCACTCAATTGTCAATCCGTGGTTGTGGCCTACTTGGATGGTTGCGCTTTTACAACGATCACAAAGATATGCACCGAACTGAATATCACCTCACGACTTTCACTTACATGTTTCACAGCACCGCGTAAACATCGCCATGTCAAAGGTGGTGCATCGCGGGGAAAACAGTATTTATAGTGCGAATACGAAGAAAACAGACACAAAGGCGTCCATTTTGCTCAGCAGCGAGTTAGCGGAAGTTGCGTAGTAGATACAGCCGAGATACAGGTATACCGGCGCTTACGGCGTCTCATTTCAAATGTTACCGAACCGTTTGCATGTGAGCGATTTATGACTTTACATCGATACTTTATTAATCTAACCTCCAAAATATGACGGTCAAACGAAGTAAATAAAGCGGTCATGTCGTTGATTAATTTCTCTTTTAAATTTATCATTCCTTAAGGTACTCTCGAAGGTCATATAAAATGGCGGAAGAATTTGAATTTTTCGAGGTAACTATTATTACTAATATTTCATAGAAATACTTAAGATCTTTACGTCCTTCATTTAATGAAATTATATAATTTAATATTTCCCTTAGATTAATGTTTATTTATTTACATGTGAATTTCATTTTTCTTTAATTAAAGTTTATCCGTAATCAATCGTATATACGTAGTATGCTCGTTCGATGACGACCAATCATGTTTTTAGACTACATGTTTATTCCGATTTACACAATTCTTTTTTCAAATTTAACCGCCAGATAGCGGGCTACAGCAACAACAGGAAACATGTCGGCGACAGGAGTGTAACTAAAATCTTTCCTGTCTCATATGAGTTTGGCCCCCCTGCGAGCAGGGCGATAACTTATACCGCGATATTACGCTTCGTATGATTTCTGACAACTGACGATATTTAATAATTATTTTGATCCGGTGCAATATGTAATGTAATGTTATTAAATAAGAAGAAGCAGAGATGCAAGACATTTGTGAAAATATTCGTACAGCGATTGAACATGGACGTACTGATATTATCAGATCCATTTTAGAAGCGTGTAGGTATTACTAAATGTACAATATATTTGATACACTGTCAAATAATGCAATTGAGTAATGTTAAATGTCATAGCTCATTTTTCATTAAAATTTCTACGTTTATTTATTACACGTAGGTGAAAATGGTCCTACGGCTGAAGGAATAACAAAAGATAAAATATTGAATCAACCTCTCTTAGAGGAAGGAACTTTTTTATCATATGCATCCAAGGTACCTGAAAGAAATTGTATAAGCTTTCTTATGACTATATCTTGATACTTTCTTGATATTTCATAATTACTTTTATTAATTAGACAAACCAAGCCGATATCGTAAGGACTTTGTTAAATTGTGGAGCAGATCCTGCTGTACAAAATGCAAATGGACATAATGCTGTTGATTTAGCAACTAGCGATATAATACGTCGTATTTATATTGAGGAATTGCTAAGGGCAACTGCTGCTTCTGAGTGCGTTTCTTCTTTGTATTTATTAATTATTAAAACAAATCAAGAAAGAAATAAAACTTATTATATATAGTAATGTCAATTGTAAATGAAAAATTTGTACTATATAGATATATTAATGTAATGTCACTTACAGAATAGAGAAAGTAATACAATTACTAGATGCAGGAATACATGTAAATTCCTGGGATTCACAAGGTAGTAAAAACACACCGTTGCATTGGGCGGTTTGTTATGGGAATAAAGATGTCATTACCTGCTTGATTGGTAAAATTAACTATACTTAATGACGTGGTGCATCCTAGTTATAATATAAAATACTGATAACATAAAAATGCAGTTTCCCGTTTACAGACCGAGGTGCAGATATAAATGCTGAGAATGGATGTGGCGCTACACCATTGCACGATGCAATAAATCGTGGTGATATAGCTATATGTCATGAGTTATTACAAGCTGGAGCAAATCCTCTTATAAGAGCTGTAAAAGGGTAAAGATTTATTGTAATATTTTATTTACTGTATAATTTTAATGTTTACGTAATATTAAAAAATATATTTGTTTGTAGAACATTTGCGGGAAAAACGCCATATGATCTTTCTCGTGGAAAACAGACCTTGCATAGCCTTCTTCAAAAATTTTTATCCAATTTCACATCAAATGACAATGAAGCTATGCATAGTCCAATTGGATTGTTTTCAGAAGGAAATTTTTCTCAAAAAAGTATTTCAAGCAATATGAGCCAACTCTCCATTGAATCTAGTAAATCTTCTGAACCAGTATACGATATTCCATTACGAGAATCGGGAAAAGACAGTCCTAACAAAACTGTTACAGAAAAAGAAGGAATTTATTACTTACTTTGGCCACAACCAAAGACTATCTGTAAACTTAAGAATTTTTCACCGCCATTTGTCATTGGCAAAGAACTTTTTATATCCATTATACAGGTATCTAAATATAATGAAATATTTATTAATAATTCGATCATATTAATTTTATAATATATTTTTTAATATAGGGCAGTGAGTCCATACACAGAATATTAGATGTTTGGGAAGTTAGCAGAACACACTTATTGGAGTTAGGTCATGATGTAAAAATAGGCGAAGTTCAACCTAGCTCTGGAAAATTATGTTGCGAAAACAAAATAGAATGTATAGTGAACAAAAATTTGTTCAATGTTTCTCATGGCTATCAATTACATATTTCTCAAAACTCGATTAAAGTTTGTGCTGGAAGTTTACCAGGGTTACATTATGCAGTATGCACATTTGTGCAAATATTACGTTTAAGTAAAAAAGATAATACATCTGAAACATGTGAAATAGAACCTGTTCTCATAAAAGATGAACCAAGATTTATACACCGTGGAATATTGTTAGATATTTCACCAAGAGGTCGCATACCCACTTTAGAATATTTATTACACATGGTTGACTTATGGTCATCATTAAAAATATCTCATCTACATCTCTACTCTAGACTAACATCAGCTTGTGACTGGCAACTTTGTTATTCTAAATCTGAAATGGTTACACTAGACAGATACTGCAGGTAAATTTGATATTTTCTTTTTTTTTTATCATTTAAAATTTTTTTGTTGCATCAACGTAAAATTATTTTTGTTTACACAGAGATCGTCATTTAGACTTAGTACCAACATTGGATGTAGATTCCAATGTAGGACAACATCATCTCACACAAATGTGGCCTATTTTTCAAGAATTACTTGCTGTATTTCCTAGCTTGAGTTATGTACATGTTGGACCAAGATTGGCTAGTTTATTAGTTCAACCGGATAACTTCGATCAGAATTTGTCTGTAAATGAAACTATAGAAACAGATATGTCAGAGGTATATAAATCGTATTCGTGCCTTCAAGAGTTATGGCACATTCTGAATTTGAATTCAAGCACAACTTTACTACTTTGTTCTAATGGATTACATTCCAAATTAGAATTTCATTACATTCCTTCAAATATTATTCTCGTTGAATATGGATTTCAGGTATAATAAATACGAGAATTTTTTTGTCTTCTTTTTTTTTCCTAAAATATTAAAAATAATAAAAAAGTCGATATATATATATATATACACATACGCATGTTACAGGCAGATTATGATTTTTCTGAATGGACAGAAGCATTTAGAATAGCGGGTGGTAATATTTTGTCGAGTTCAGGAACAGCAAGTTACAATAGCTTAGCAGGATGTCCAGCATCTACATATATGAATACAAAAAATGCAATCAAAGCTGCTCTTGAACAAGATTCTATCGGTATAGTGGTTGCTCATTGGTCCGGAAGTCACCACCTAACTCCTCATCCTTTTGCTTGGATTGGATATTTAATTGCAGCAGGAATGTCGTGGAATTCAAGCACAGATATAGATATAGGAATTGATGATAATTATGACGTGCCTGAGGTATCCGGATTAATTAGGTATTAATTTTATTTCAATTTATAGTATATAATTACTTTTATTATATTAAATTATTAATTATATATTAACTCTTCTCTATGTTATAGACAAAAACATATTACTAAATTACTAGATATTCACATTTTTCAAGATTCAGAATATAAAATCGGAAGTGCAATTTTAGAATTAGGCAGATTAGATACATTAGTATTAACCTTAAGTAAAAATCAATCGGCAAAAGATTTACAACAAATACCTGACAATCGTGGATCCACTTTATACAGATTATTAACAGATCCTGATAATGTCAATTTGGAATATCTTTCAGCTGATCTGTTTGCTGTAAGTTTCGAGTTATTTCTTTATAAAAAAAAAAAAAGAAATAAAAAAAAAAAATTTCTTTATTGAATATTATTAACGAATTATCTTTCCTTTTTAATAGAAAATGACAAAACAGATTAAACGTATCTCTCATTCATTATATGAAGGAAACTTATCCTCCAAATTTGCATCAATGGAAATTCAGGAACTTCAATTAACAGCTGATTTAATGCTCACAGCTTGTAAAATTGGCCGAACACTAATTGCCGTGGGTATTAATCCAAACAGTAATATGGGTCTTGCAGTTATCAATTTAGGAGTATGCAATTTACCACCCACTTTTAGAACTGATATAGCTAATAAAATGTTAGCTCATATAGAACAATATAAAGGTTCTTGGTTACAAAGGCATTTACCTCAAGGCCTTCAAAGTTCATTATTGGTATTAACTAGTACTTTACATAGGTTTGTACCGGAAACATAATTTATTAAAAATTGGAAAAGAAAAAAAAAAAGATTTGCTGTTTACTTACAAAATGTATGTGTTACGAAGTTCCTCTTATAGAAGACTGTAGTAAATATTTACAAGATAAGATTAAGTCAAATATGAAAATATAGTTACAATACAAATGTCTACAAGAAAAATTTTGCTTACTACAGTGAACTTTAATACAGCAAAATTCGTCGTCATTAAGTTCATATTAACATTTTCAAGCATTAATATAAGTTATCAAAATATAATGTATACATTGACCATATTACAAAGAAACAAAGTTATAAACATATATTTAATTAAATATAAACATATTTACTAATATAATTTGAGTATTTTTTGCTCTGAAATAATTACAATGGAATTACTAATAAATATTAACATTGAGAAAAAAAAATAAATTAATATATCTAAAGCAAGATTAATTAAATAATAATTAACGTTTTTTTTTATAACTATCATACTTATTCATTATATGCGTACTGTGCACAAGTATGACAATAAAAGATTAAACTATATCTCTTTCTATAACAGGTAAGTGATAAAATTATTTATCAAAATAAATAACATATTTATAAGACTTCGTTTTGAAACATAAAGTTGTTGCATTTAAAAAAATAAATATATAACCCAAATCTCTAAAATAATATTCATATACAGTTATTATTATTTATTTATAAAATTATGAATAAATATATATATATATATACATTAAATATATTAAATTATTTTTATGTAAGATATATATTGTATATCTTACATAAGAAACATAGACACATTTAATTCTTTGCTTGATTTGTAATATTAATTAAATTATTTCTATTCTGATTATTCCATCCACCCATTTCTAAATCGTTCTTATGAATCATCTCATTTTGTAGAGCTTGTAATCTATGAAACTCATCAATTTCAAATTGATACTTAGGTGTTGTAATACCAAAAAAATTAGCTAGCCATTCACCAAGATAATCACAACCGTCCAATACTTTTGTACCGACCCAGGTTGTTTGATACCAAGTCCAAGGTAACCAATTAAGAGTATGCTACAAATCAATGAATTTATATTTATTGAAAGAAAAATATAAACAGTGTTATATCATAAATTAATAAATGTTTAATTACCGGATCGATTTCTGCTACAATTTTATTTTCTTCTATCTTATCTACTTCATCTTCTGAAGAATATTCTTCTAAATCTCCATCAGAAAAATGCAACACTCGTTTTGGACGTTTCTTTGCATTAGTTTTGCACTAAAATTTGTACGTTTATAAATATTATAATATAACGCTATAGATACATCTAAACATATAATTGCGTGTCGAGTACCACATTCTCCTGCAAGACCACATCATTTAAATCACTTTCCTTGTTTTCTTCGTTCGCCATAGTTTGACACACATTACACAGAGTCTCAAGTGTCATTTCTTAGTCATGAGCAGAAACAACGTCCTTGTAACAAATGTATACTCTTCACGCATGCGTATAATAAGTAAACAATGTACGCGCTACTTTCTAAACACACATGTTTAGATATATATATATATATATTATATATATATTATATATATATACATAGTAATTTAAATTAACTGCATGGATTATAGAATATGCTTATCGAATACAAAAAAATTATATTATAAAAATGTTAGATCAATTAATATGAATGATCAATAAATAGTAATATTAATTATTGTACGCATCATTTTTAAACAAAAATTTAAAAAGCGTATCAGATCTGTATATGAAAGTGTTTTTTTTTTTTTTTTTTTTTTTTTTTTTTTTTTTTTTTTTTTTTGCAACTCGATTTTCTTTAACAGGTAACGACAAGTTTACCATTAACTAGTGTCTACTTTCCATTGTCATTTTACTTTCTATGCTACTTTTTAATGCTACTGCTGTCTATATTCTATTTTTTACATTCAAATATCTAATACACTCCGTGAAAGAAAGTCATAGAGTGACGAGGGAAAAAAAAAAGAAAAAAATCATTTGAGCCAGTTTTTTCTATTAATTCTAACATATTGATTTAGAAATTGTTTACGATAAATGTTATTTTATAATTCATCGTTCGTTTAGGATTAAAATAGTGATAACATCGAAGTCACATATCGATTTCCTTTTTTTTGTAGTATCAAAACGTAGTAAAACGCGCCCTATTCAAATTGACTTGATCAATTTTCAGACAGCATGCATTCTTAAATGGATACGTGCCTGCATGTACATATACTAGAAAGTATTTGAAGGAAAATTAACGAATATATACACGTATATTGTGTGAACGAGGTATAAGCTATCAGAAAATACAAATTTTATTATTGAGGAAAAAAAAAGAAAAAAGGAAAAAAAAAGAAAAAAAAACCAATTTTTGGAAAATATATAATGTAACAAAAAATATAGTCTAAGAGAAATGATAAATATGCAGTAACAAGTATTCCACTGACCTATTACTAAGAACTTGTAAAAGTGAAGAATTAAAGCAAGCTAACTCTTACTCTCTATGCTCTGTATGGTCAAGACCCATCCGATGTCCCATCAATATGTGTTCTTCAAGATCACTTTTAGCTTTCTATCAAGGAGGGACATCTTTCAAGAGGTATAAAACAGTAAGCAGCAGATTTGTACATCAGTGTGTGCAGTTCCTTCTTAGTTAGTAAAGAACTACACTTATAAAGTTTTTCTTTCATAATTAAATTCTTATCAAGATGGCAAGAACAAAATTTGTAAGTAAACAAATAATATCGATACATATAAATATTTTTTCCTTTTTCAATAAAATAAATATATTATAAGATTATTATTTTTATAGTATAGAATATTTACGTGTTCCATCCTTATGGTTCATACAGCAGCATCCACTGGCAGTATGTATTTTTTTCTTTTTTTTTTTTTTTTTTTTTTTTTTTCTTTACTAATCAATTATTTTATCAATCTCTAACATTAATAATAAATTAATTTAACAAATAATTTCTATAGATTACTATTTTAAACCGGATGACAGATTTGAACCCAACAAACATATTTTCAATGGAAGATATATACCTGGAGATAATATAAATCAAAAAAATATTAATAATTATGATACAGAAAATCAAGAAAGGGATTATGCATTTAATGGCAGAATAAATAAAGCAAATCTTGAAGTCAGTAATTTACCTTTACTTGCTCATTCGAATGATAATAGATTGTCAGGACATATGGACACAAGTTATGAAAATCATAATAATAATTTAAATTTTATAAAAGAGGATTTGCCTTATCATTTTCAAAAATACTCTACTAATAGTAGCAATAAAGAGTTTGATTTTGGAAAATATAGAAATCCCGATTCATCTCAATATTCAAGTGATTATCATCACAAAGGATCTTCTTATACTGATTTCATATCTGGAAGCTATTCTAATGGAGTCCCGTCGTCATTTGCTCCTATAAGATATGAACAAGATTCTGATACGTCTATGGCAGATGATACTTACATCAATAATCATCAACAATTTTATGGAAAGCAAAAAAGTAATATCTTTAATACCAAAGGAAAATATAATTATGAAGATGATGCATTAAATATATTTTCACCTGACATATTTTATATGCAAGAAGATCATAAGACCAAAGATCAAATTCAAGGTTTAAATCAAAATCAAAGTCCATCTTTAGGTGACTTATCAAGCTCTGTATCAAATAATTATAATTCTAACATACATGGTAAAAACATTAATTTTCATAAGTTGGAAAGACCAATTAATTATAGAAGAATCAAATATCCTTCTGGAGTATCTACTTATCCTTCCAAAAGTAATTCAAATTATGTAATAAAGGGACATAAAAATAATTATTTTCCTAATAGTTATGCAAAAGATAATGGGAAAGCAATAATAATTAAAATTGGTGGCTCCAGTCTTTATCCTAGATATGTTTATTCTACAAGATTTTATCCTAATACTAAAGGTGATGTAAATAGAGGTTATAAAAAGAAACGTAATAATTTTTTAAATAGGCCACGTAATAACCCAGTACCTGTTCATTCGCCAAATTTCAGTTATAATAATGATAACATTAACAATAATTATGATGATTCTGAATCTTCTGAACTATATAATAGAAATACCGAATATACAGATAATGTAAGTACAAATGCGTTTACTACATAAATCTACGTACTCTTAATCGAAAAATTGTTACAAAAAAAAAAAAAAAAAAAAATACTTTTTATACTATTTAAAATAAATTTTTTGTTAAGTAATTGGATGTTTATTATTTGCTATCATTTGTTTATAGATTCATATTTTCAGTCATATCATTATACGCACGCATGTACATTAATGTAAACAAGGAGGCGTCCTTGAAATTTTTGGTTTGGCCAAAAATGCTTCTTCTTCTTTATCGCATTTAAATTTAATTGCATTGGCAGCATTATCAAATAATTTGTCATTATCATTGTTTATGTTACTCCTACAAAATGATTAAGATATAGAATATTTTTATAATAAATATTTTTACTTAATAAAATATAAAATAAAAAAACCTTCAACTTAAGGAGGCAAGTCATACACGTAAAATTGTGGAATTTATAATGTCAAAAAATGTGCAAAAGAAAAATTTATAATGATTTCATTATTTATCACTCACAATGATGCAATACTGCTGAATTTTTCTAGTCCTGCAAACACAACCCAAACTTTATGAACCATATCATTGTTATATCTAATACTTTTATAATTATTATACTTTTAATATATGGTAATATATAAGATTTACGATATTTTTTTTAACATGCATATATATATATTATTTAAAAATATAACATTTATACCTTTTTTATTTTCATGCGTAGATTCTAAAGTCATTGAAGATGATATTGTCATTGTACTACTTTCTCTAAAAAAAAAAAAAAAGAAAATTTTATATGATCATTAATAAGAGAGTTAATAGTAAAAATATATAATTTAAGGTGATATGATGTTCGTAATATAATAATATATATAATGAATAAAAAAAAACAAATACTTCAGAGTTTTACATCATATCAACTTGATAATTTTTGTTCTATTATTGACACACTTGGAAGTTTGGTTTTCATATAAATATACTGTAAGATCATCAGTCATAGCTTTCTTTAAATAATTTTGCTTAAATGCACTCATTTTTTTAGAATTTGAATTAGTCAATCCTCTGTTATTCTGTCTTTCATCTTTTGCATATTCTGCATTCATTGTATTATGTTTTTTTGATACAGAAGTTAAATTTGTCATATTTTCATCAAGATTGTATGATATATTATGTGACATAGTTTTTTCAGTATGTTTATAACAAATCCTATTAGATTCACTAGGCAAATTTATTGTTTGTGAAGTATTGTTAAAATTATTTGTACGTTTTTTATTTGAAACTATTTTGCTTTCAGATAATTGTATCATACTATTACTATTTTGATTAACTAATTTATCTTTGCTTCTTTCTCTTTTTTCTTTTCGTGTGAATCTTCATTAATCAATTAAAATTAAAATAAATCAATATAGAATCTTAAAGTCAAATATAAAATCAATAATTCTATGAAATAAAAATTGCAATCAGAAATACCTTTGAACATGTTCAAGTAATGATAAACTAGTATTACTGCAAGACTGATTATGTTTCTTATTGTTTTGTAATGGCAGTAATTTTGCATCAGAGGTTTTTGTCAAGGCTTTACTGATAGCTACAGATTCTTTCTGAAATACATCTGGTGTAATCATGTAACATGTTGACAACAATACTTCTCCATATAATTCTGCTTTATGATTTTTAACAGGATCATTCTCCTCTAATTCATTTTCCAATACATCAAATTCTTCCTACAAATTTTAATATCAGTTAAAAATATAATTATTATAACTCTAAAAGTATTACCCACATTATCATTATCTGAAATTGCGTCATCCTCTATATCAATAGTACATTCACGTTTATGTACTTTCAGAATGTGTTCCAGATATTCCCTGAAATATTATAATTATTCTGTCTTAACATAAATAAATTACAAATTATCAATATTTTCCTTATACCTCATTTCTCCAGTTTTATTTTTACATAATTGTTCCAATATAGATGAAAGATTTACATGTTTTGCTTCATTATTTATTTGATCATTTGCAAGAAAATTATTTAATGCTCCATTAACATATGGTGATACCTATAATATAGATAATTATTTAATTAATAATACTCTAGCAATAATCATTATTCATATAAGATTGATCTACCTACAGAAGGATGATCAATTGCCAGAAGCATTATAAGAGTTGATATGAGTAATGATGCTGTTGTAGATATTCTAATCTGAGCTTGCTTATGCAATGATAAATTCATCAAAAGAGCTGTTGCATATTTTAATCTATAAAAACTCATTGTATTACTTTCATTATGTAAATGATAAATCAGCCATTCCAACAATCCTCTATCTATCATATATAATCTTTGCTGCTTGCGCAATGATAATTTTTGTAAAGTAGACAGTGTCATATCATAAGTCAGAGAATCTATTCCATCGTGGTAGTTGTCATTGAGGCAATTAAATATCTAACACATTTATTACATTGTAACTTCTGTAAACTTTCACATATATAAATATTAATGTAAATTTAATACACTTTAATCAAGATATTACGTACCACCCTAACTATAGATGAATCCATGGATAAATAATCTCTACCACATTGTAAGGAAGCAAAAGTATTTAACAACCTAGCTGTAGATTGTTGCAATGGATGTGGCATTGGAACATTTTCTGGTGTTAGTAAATATGGTAAAATTGATCTTCCATTGTCACTGGCAATCTGACCATGTAATCCTAATAAATCTCTACTTATATATTCGTGTATAGCTTCATCACGTTCTCCAGGTTGACTTAAAGTAATTTTCTACAAAAATTTATTTTATTTATTATGGTGTATTGCCTTAAAAGGCCATAAGATATATCTATTACCCAACGTAATGCTTGCAAGAGAAGTAATTTTGTCTTTACATTTCCATTTATTAAATGTAATTTAATCTTTTTAAAATCTAACAATTTTGGTGATATATTAATGATATTAAAATTAGGCTGAATAATATCTCCTTTATTTGTATCATCGGATTTTTGTACTTTTACCTACAAATAAATATAAATGTAATATATAAAATATATATCTCAGTAAAATTCATAGAATTACATACTTGCAATTCATCTCTTATGTTTTGATTAAATAAATCTGGAAATATCTTCATACAAGATTCTAACATTCCTTGTAGATCCACGGATTGACCTTTTACTGAATTTTCAAGAACTGCTGTTAACTCTGCAGCTATACTCAGAAGTTTATGATAATCTCCGTGTAATTTATGAAATCGAGATTTTAATTTTTTATAATTAGAATGAACATTATATAAATGGGATTTTGTTAATGCTAATTCTTGATTATATTGTATTAATTTTGGATTGTATCTATAAATATTTTGATGATCGGTGTTTTCTACTAAATAATACTGTGGATAATCTTTTATTAAATGACTGTGCGTTTGTGTACTTCTGTAGAAAATTAAAAAGTTGATTGTAAAAATAAATCAATTGCATTGAAATTTTTTAGTAGCATATTTATTTAAAATTAAACTTACTTTGATTCCATATTATATTTCCTTTCATAAGAAATATTAAGTTGTTCTTCACTTTTATCTCCTAAAAAGTCAGGTACATCTCTGTCATTCGGTTTAATTGGTAGATTATTTTTGGTAACAATTTTTTCTGAATTATCTGTATTAGATATTTTACAAGGTATTGTTGAAGTAGTTATATCAATCTCAGATATCTTACTTGATTCAATGCAATCACCCATAATTTCTTCATTCTCTCCACTATCCTATAAATAATTAAATAAAATTTACAATTTTTATTATATCTATTTTTTTGTCTTATTTTGGATAACATAAATACATCACAGATTAACATTATTTACCTGTACATACTTTGCAATAAATTCTTGCAAGTGTATAGATAATTTTTCTGTCCAACTCTTATTAAATATTTCACGAAATAATGGATCAGACAATGGATCTTCTACGTAAGGTAATGCAAAAAATGCTCTCAATTGAGTTTCATATTTTAATTCTTTACCATCTGTAGACAAATATTGCTGTAGCCGTGCCATATTTTTGTTAAAATCTTTTTCAAGTTTGATTGTATGATTCTGTTCATCATTAACAATTGTTATTAGAATTTTATTCTCATTAATAAAATGCAATATAATAAATAAGCTTTTTTTCAGGCATATGATTACATTATCATAACATTACCTCTATTTCTATGAAAGAAGAATCCTCTTTAGTAGAGGCTGTTGTAGGAATGTTTTTATCTAAATTAAAAAATAGACTAATGTTAATATATCTTTTATAATATTTTTTAAATTTGTACATAGAAAAAGACAAATTTCTTATTACCTTTATTATGATTTTTTTGTTGGATTAAAATTAACATAGATTTAGGTAAAATGACAAAATATACATGCAATTTAAGCGTTAAGATTTTGTACTCTTTACATGTTTTTATATGATCAGGTATATATTTGTTCCATAGCTAAAAATAATAAATAGATCATTTCTTGGATATTTATTTTTTAATTTTAAATTTATTTTAAGGAAATACCTACTTCAAAAAATTTCATCGTGTTTCCAAATTTATAACTTAGTAAAATTTGTTTATTTGGTCCCATAACAAAAGATTTATTCATGTTTATAGAATCCTCTAAATTTTTAACAACAACTTTATTGGCTTCTTCAATTAATCTTTCCGCAGTACTATTAAAATCACGATTTAGAAGAAACTATAAAAATATATAGAATAAAAAGAAATAATAATCAAAGTGTGTTAATATAACAAAGCAAATATAATATTATTTCAAATAAATTTGATAAATAACCTCATCAGTATTTGTTTGATCGTATTCGAAGAAATTTCTATGAAATCCTTTTTTTAATTGATGACAATCATGATCACTTGATCCATCATTATACATCTTGATAACAAACAAATATATTCTTGAATTCAGAGATATATTTAATTATTAAAAAAATTGCTTATATTTTTTATATTCTCTCTATGTTATATATTAAAAGAATGTAATTCTTCTTCGACGTAAGGCACATGTTTTGTATTCTCAGAAGAGTAATCGTCGTATAAGGAATTGAATTTATGCAACGACATTACTGATCGATAATACTTCGGTTACACGCCGATGACAAACGTAAAGAAACATTTTGACATTTATATAAACACATTGTTATTGTTATTGTTATTGTTACGTATCCAGTAGAAACGTTAATGAGTAGAAACCTTAATGAAATAAAAAAAAAAAAAAAATAGCAAGAATAAAATATCATATATATTGTACAAAATTAACATTAAAATTATTCTAATTTTTTTCCAAGTAATCTTTTACATTATTTAAATATTATATCAATACGGATAAAACTTAATTTAAAAAATTATTTAATATTTTATATTTTATAAAAACATTAATTTTGATTTTACATATCAAATAAAATATTTTATTTATATAAAACGTTTTCATACATGTACATATATATATATATATATATATATATATATATATATATATATATATATATATATATACACATACATACCTAAAAATAAAATTATAAAATAATGGAAAAATACATAGTTAATTAATTCAAAGATAAATAATATTTACGACATTAAATAATATGCATTATATGATCGCAATATTGATTACTTAAGTCTTACCATACGGAAATTGCTGCGTACGAAGAACCTATGAAAAAAGTACATTGAATTCAAAATCAATTTAAAGAATCGTAACTTAATAAATAAGAAATATTATTATATTACGAATTACTTAAAATAAATAAATAAATAAATAAATAAATAAATATATATATATATATATACTTATATTTTTATGATTATACTTACCTCCTAGAAAGTTATATACATACACACACAAATATATTTAAAAGAAATAGTTTTTACTTTGACTAATGCTAAAATTTATCAAGGATTCAAAGGTTATTAAGGATTTTGTTAAAACTTAAAAAGAAAAAAAAAAATCATAATAATTATGTATATTTATATTACCTTCAAATCGAATCATCTTTTATGAAGGTTTATTTACCTTAATGAGACATATCAATTATCATATTACATTCATTTTGCGCACTGATCATGAAGTATTTAACAAAGATTCATCAATTTCTTCTTTTTGGTTTCTTTCATGTTATCCATGGAGAATTACCTAATCTAAATAATTTTTTTTAAAAAATGCGAATTTTTCAATTACATCTAATCCTTTTTCGAATATATTTTGTCGTTGCATATGGCTTAATACTAATCATAGAAAATGTCATTCTTTTACACGTTGTCATAATATGTACACGGCGACCAGTGCTATTCGCTTGCACCGGTGTACTTAGGCTACAGTCATTTATATATTTATATATATATATATATATATATATATATATATATATATATATATATATATATATATATATATAACATATCTTAAGAATAAAAATACTTGTGACAACAAATTAAAAAATGAAATGAATCTATATATATATATATATATATTTCTATATTATATATATATATATTATATATATTTATATTATATATTATATATATAATATATATATATATATATATATATATATATATATATAACAAAAAGAAAAAGAAGAAAGAAAAAAAAAACAAACAAAAAAAAAGACAAAAGATACAAAAAAGAAAAATAAAATAAAATAAAAATCATGGTATAAATCTAAAATTCAATATCATGCGTTCATAAATGATTTTTTTCGAACGTATACACGTGACAACAACAATAGATTACATTTGGAAATACTCCTTGACTATGAAAAAGAACTACCTTCAATGTTTCAAGCATATATTTTTTATTTATTTTTATTTATTTATTTTTTTCTTTTTTTCTTTTTTCTTTTTTTTTTTTTTTTTTTTTTAAATTATTACGTGCTATACGTTCGTATTTTTATCTCTTTTCATATCTCCATCAAGAATATCAATCATTCAAAAATTTATAGGATTGAATATTGTTATCAAGCCGATATTTAAAAGTCAATGTTTTCATATTACGCACACGTGTTATGTCTTTATTATGTTATTATTTTATCTCCTTTTGGGAAAAGAAAAAAAAAGAAAAAAAAAAAAAAGAATAAAATATGATCTTTATCGAATGAAAAGAATAATGAGAGAATAAATATCCTTTATGGCTAACTTATAATAATTTCTAAACATATACTATACTTAACCTCTGCAAATCGTAAAAGTATTCCTTATCAGGAAGACTGATCTTCGCATATTGAATCACGTCTTTAAAGACATGAAACTTAAAAGCGCAGGAAGTTTTGATCTATCATTACTATACATACGTATCCATATTTCAAAAATCAAAACTAGTGATGTTGACATTTTAGAAAGACCTAAGAGAGAGAATCTGTGACATTTGTAAAATAAATCTTATTTAATTAATAGTTATACCTCGAGAAAGTCCTTTAATAATGTAACGCGACGTTTCTCGGCAATATCCATTTGATTTTCCAAATCACCGCGATCTGTTGTTTCAGCTCGTTCTATCTTCCATGAAAGGTTCTCTATTTCTGCTTCCAGCTGTGCTTGCTGATATTCGAACTATTAAAATAAAATTAAATGATTAATTCTATATTTATTAGAATAATTTTTTATGAATTGTTAAAATCTTACGAGTTCTTTTCTTGGACCAGGTTCCATGTAGTAAGCATAAGGATATGTATATTGTAAAGTATATCGACAGCGAGCTAAAAGTGATGCAGCTTCAAACAAATGCTGCCAATCTATCCATGTACCACTTGCTGTCATAACTTTTTTATTAATTCTCATTTTTATACCCTCTAAAGTTTGTTCTTCCAGTTTAAGAGATTTACTATGATTTTCCCACTACAATAAATTTCTTGTTGATAACAAATAACAATAATAATAATATTGTGATATTGATATAAATTTATAAATGATATAAGCTTACCCTTTCATAATAATGCAAATATTTTTTAAGTGCTTCCCTTGCCTGGGCATGAACACTTTCATGTGCTATATTAGGATTCTCCTTGTAACGTGAACATTCATAATATTCACTTCCGTGTGCTTTCCAATCACCGAGGCACATCCAACAAAAATCATGCTTACAGTTATAACATTGCATATGATTACAACCACCATTTTTTTCTATACAAATGTGACATTTTGGACACTAAAATACACGAAATTAATATGTAAAAATTATGTATATATAAATGAATGTTTATTAGTTTTAGACTCTTACATCTTTGGTATGAGCACTAATATAGTTTGCTGTTTCTGAATCGTCTGCACATTTTGTTAACCACTTTTTAATTGTGTTACAATCAGTTGGGGCATGATAATCCATACCGCATCGAAAACTGAACCATGAAAACAATAATCACTGTATATATACATATATATATATATGTGTGTATTCAAATATATTATTTATAACAGATGGAACAAGATATGCATACCAAAATACAGTTTTACAAGAAGAACACATAACCCTTTTAGCTCGTTGTTCTTTTGAACGCATTACAATTTGGCAATTTGGACCAGGACAAAATCTTAACTGTGGATGAGATTTTACATAATCACAAAAAGCAAACTGTTGATACCTTTCTCTCATGTTAGGCTTAGTGAGCAAAGATAAGACAAAGTCTTCTGGTACTAAAACGTCACAGTCTTGTGCCATGCAACTTATTCCTTTGAACAATAAGCACTTGTTATAAAGCTTATTTATAGAATTAAATTTTCATTATTATGACAAAGGAAATTGACTCTGTAACTTACCAGTAGATATACCTTGTGTTATTTGTACTTCAAAATGCATACACCAACAGTCTTTGCAAAAAGAATGACCACACATAAGAGTAGAAAATTTATCAGCAGGATGAATAGTTACACACACAGAACACAATCCACCCTTTAGACTTTTTATTCCTGACGTAGAATCCACCAAAGGCACCGGTCTAATTTTCGAAGTGATCAATAAATTGGAAGCATTGGTACGATATTTTGAAATAATATCTTGCAGTGCCCAATTCTGTGCGTGTAATAATACTTTGGCTAAGGACGGTGTTATACGTAGACTGTTGCTCAATACTTCCACATTTTCATTCAAAAGCCTTTCTACTTCATCAACTCTTAAACAATCATAAATGGCATACTCTGGATCTCTCCTATTTTGATCAGGATCAACATCATTGTCTACTTCACCACCCCATGGTTGTACATTGTAATAATCTTCATAACCTGGGTCTCCACAATCCGAATCCGAATAATCCATTTCACTATCATATTCTTCGCCTGACATCTGTATACACAATTATAATTGTATTATTTTACAATTAAATAAAATGTATCACATTTACAATTATAAATATATATTAAAAGAATAAAAAAAGAAAAAAAGAAACACAGAAAAAAAATAAAAGGACACATGAATGAATTTCCTAAATATTTTCTACAAACTTGTAATATAATTAAATTATATCAAGATATAAGATCTAATCAATGATTTGTTTTTTATAACCTTAGAATGATAATATTATTTTCACACTTATTAATTCAAATCAAATGAGATAACTTATAAATTGATATTTACCTTATAAAATGATATACCTTAATAAATTTTCATAAGCAATGTATGAAAGTTCAAGAATAAATTTATTCAGACACAAATATATATATATATATATATATATATATATATATATATATATATGTATATGTATATATATATATATATATATTCAGATATTCATATATGTTGAAATAAAATTGTAATAATATCGTCGTTTATAATGATTAATCGTTTTTCTAAGAATTTTACGAAGGATTTAAGCTGTCTATACGTCGACGGTATATATCTTTGTAACTTGATTTACGATTTAGCAATAACTAGCTCGTGGGAAAATATCTATGGCCAAATAAAAACGTGTATATATATATATGTATATACATATATATATATATATATATATATATTATTTGTTTCTTTATGTTGTATATATAAAACGGAGAACAATATCGAAAGATTTTATTTTAATTTCTTTTCTAAAGAATAATGTACACTGGCACGTAAGCCCATCGGATCCGTTACAATGCTCGTGCTAGACTACTCGTAACAGATGATTCAAAGTAAAATTCGAAGGTAGATTAGGGATAAGTACGTCAAAATCACCTGACATCAAACAGCTGAGGTTGTTTAAGTATGAGTAAAGTAAGAGAGAAGAGACATATTAAGATTGTATATACATTGAGAAAGATATATAACATTGTTCACACGATCGTAAAAAAAAGAAAAGAAAGGGGGAAAAAAAAAGAAAAGAAAAGAAAAAAAAAAAAAAAGAAGAAAAGAAAATCATACAACGTATTTACACCCTCTACTATACATACCTCTATTGAGTTCATAGCATTTTTTTTTTTTTTTTTTTTTTTTTTTTTTATACACGCTTTAACCTTATACAATACGAAAGTAAGAACGAGCGTGCGAGTATAATTTTATTCTAAAAATTTCTTTGCGAACTTTTTTGAATCCTTCTTTTTCTTCTTCTTCTTCTTCTTCTTCTGCTTCTTTTTCTTTTTTCGTTTTTTTTTCGTACTTTTGATAATGTCAAAAATTCATCGTTCAATTTTTCTCATAAAATAATTAACATCAACAATTTGATGTATTTCCAAGAATTAACAAGAACAGGAATTACTTCTTTCGCTTACTATGCTTTTCTCATTCACAGCATGCGCGTACGCAAGAGAAAACAGGAATATATAAGTAACTAAACTAATCGTCGAAATCTGTTTTATCCATCGTAATTAATGTTTACACTTTTTATTTCTTTTCCTTATATTCGAAGAATTCGTTTATCTCTCTCTCTTTCTCTCTTTATCACAACTATGTATATATATATATATATTTTTTTTTTTTAACAATAACATAATTAGAATTTAATTTCTTCTATAGAAACGAAAAGCGATAAATAAATTTTATATGCCGATAAATCTTATAGATTCGTAGAGGAACAAAAGATAATTATTGTTAATTTAATAAAAAATAAGAAGCTCCTACTACTATGGTACCTTTCTAATACTGTTTTAAAAAAGATATATATCTATACATATAATATATATACACACACCCACACACACACTGCTATGAAAGGGAACACTACTTTTCAGTAACTATGTAGGCGCGTACGCACACACACATATCCATCATAACACATATTCAAACATAACACACTGCGAGCAATGATCAGATCATGATTTTATGATGATCTTTGTAAATTTAGCTTTCGATTGTTCTATGAATTTATTCCATACACCTTACTAATGTAGAACAAATGTATTTTTTAAATATATGTTTCAAGTATATACATACATATATACATATATATATACATATATATATATATATATATATATACATATATATATAAATATATATAACAAAGATAGTAAAAGTTCTTTTGTATAACTAATTTTATACTCACTATATTTAATTTTTTTTTTGAATTTAAAAAACTTTTCTATAAGACTATTTGATTATATAATAATTAAAAATTTTGTCAAAATATATTATAATATATACATGCATATATATATATATGTGTGTATATATATATAATAATAATCTTATACAATCGATATATATGCTCCTAACTTCGATTTTTATATAGTAAAAATAATATTGCGATAGATGGCGTTCGAGTATTAATCGAACAAATGTAAAAACGAGATTGGTCGAACGATCTTCGAATTTATAGTCGATGTAGAAACGATATCTCGAGTGGGAGTTGCGGCTTATGATCACAATGGTGGTATGACAGAAGCGCTGTCATTTAGAATCGAACGGATAACTTATTTGTCAAATATTTGAAAAAACATCACCGCAACACAATGGCGATGGGAAAAGGTTTTCGCGTATACGAAAAATTAAAACCACCTAGTCCACATTCCCTTTTGTTAGAACGTCGAAATCATAAAGAAACTGTCTTATTTGAATCTCAGGCTGTCGCTGTACTTTGTAAGTATATTTATTAATTTTCCAATTACGCAGAGAAAGGAACTAAAAGAGAAATATTTTTAATAATAAATATTCATTTTTCACAATGCTATTATTTTTCATTCTTTAAATTAACAACTTTGAATTATAATTCATGTCTAACCGAATTAATCGTTCCTTTTTTTTCCGAACAAATCGATTATTTGTTATATATCTCTTCCTTGGCCTTTTTTTGCAGCTCTTCAAGAAACAGAATCCTTGAAAGGACAATATACGAAATTGTTAGATGCCTATGGATGTTTAGGAGTACTACAATTAAATGCAGGAGAGAACACTTTACTTTATCTTGTCCTTGTTACCGGTTGCTTCTCAGTTGGTAAAATTGGTGAAACTGAAATCTTCCGAATCACACAATCACATTTTGTTCCTTTACATTATAGTCAAGGAAATGAAGATCGTGTATCAGAAGTTAGAAAATTCCTTAATTCTGGTACATTTTATTTTTCTTGGACAGGCGGGCAACAGGAATGTCTTGATATCACTCTTAGTGCCCAAAAAAGAAGTAAATCAACGACCACAGATAATAGATTCTTTTGGTAAAATGGATTGTATATTAATACGTATTATTTGTTTTTAATCAAATAAAAATAAAAATATTTTTATCTAATAATTTAGGAATCGAATGTTACACATTCATCTATTAAGATATGGAGTAGATACGAGTCAATGGTTACTCAAAGCAATGTGTGGCAGTGTAGAAATTCGTACAGTTTATGTGGGTCATAGACAAGCTCGCGCAGTTCTTGTATCAAGATTAAGTTGTGAAAGAGCAGGTACTAGGTATGTATATTAATTGACAATCTTACAATAAATTTTATGTACAATGATAATAAAAATATTTCATACTATAATAATAATAATAATAATTAAATTTGATTTCAATATAATTTTTTTCTTTCCTACATACATCTCTACATTTATTCTAGAAAAGTCAATTTTTTTTTTCTTTTTTAAATGCCTATATTTAGATTTAATGTCAGAGGGACCAATGATGATGGGCATGTAGCTAATTTCGTGGAAACCGAACAAACTATTTATTTGAATAATGAAGTAACATCTTATATACAGACTAGAGGATCGGTTCCATTATTTTGGGAACAACCTGGAATACAAGTTGGTTCGCATAAAGTTAAAATATCCAGAGGATTTGAAGCTTCAAAACCAGCTTTTGATAGACATTTAACTATGATTAAGCAAAGGTATGGACAACAAGTGATAGTAAATCTTCTGGGCTCCAGTCTCATTGGTAGTAAAGAAGGGGAAGCAATGTTAAGTCAATTATTTCAAAAACATCACAATATGTCAGAACACAATGATGTACCACACATATTATTTGATTATCACCAGGAGTGTAGAGGTGGAAACATGAAGAATCTCTCCAAACTAAAAGCTAAAGTGGAAAAGTATTTAGAGTCCTTTTCCTTATTTTATGCTGCTGGAAAAAATGTAATACTTGAACAAACTGGTACAATTCGTACTAATTGTTTAGATTGCTTGGACAGAACTAACTGTGTACAAACTTTTTTTGCATTAGAATTGCTTGCGCAGCAATTGAGTTTACTAAAACTACTTGAAAAACAACAAATGGTATCAAGATTTGAGGAAATTTTTCGTCAAATGTGGATATATAATGGCAATGAAGTTAGTAAAATTTATGCTGGAACAGGGGCGATTCAAGGAAGCTCAAAATTATTAGATGGAGCAAGATCTGCCGCTAGAACAATACAAAACAATCTTTTGGATTCGAGTAAGCAGGAAGCCATTGATATTTTGCTCTTAGGTTCTACATTAAATACAGAGATAGCTGATAGAGCTCGATTATTGTTACCATCTAATATGTTACATGCTCCGCCAAGTGTATTGAGAGAAATGTGCAAAAGATATAATGAATATGTAACAACAATGAAGCTTAGAATAAGTGTTGGTACTTATAATGTGAACGGCGGTAAACATTTTCGAAGCGTATCACATAAAGATATTTTACTTTCTGATTGGTTATTGGATGCTCCGCGTCATTCATCGTGTAAGTATAGATAATTATATTAAATCTAATGTTATAATTATATACATATCTTTCAATAATATTTTCAGCATTGGTATCTGTGGAATATGATAACGTACCTGTGGATGTATTTGCAATTGGATTTGAAGAAATAGTAGATTTAAATGCTAGTAATATTATGGCAGCTAATTTTGACAATGCAAAAGCTTGGGCAAAAGAATTACAAAAAGTATTATCAAGAGATACCGAATATGTTCTTGTTACATATCAACAATTAGTTGGAGTTTGCTTATATCTATTCATACGACCCGAACATGCTCCTTATTTAAGAGATGTTGCAGTAGATTGTGTGAAAACAGGTTTAGGTGGTGCTACGGGTAATAAAGGTGCGGCAGCTATACGATGTGTCTTATATTCTACATCTTTATGTTTTGTATGCGCCCATTTTGCTGCTGGCCAATCTCAAGTTACTGAGCGCAATGCCGATTATGCAGAAATAACGCGAAAAATAACGTTTCCTATGGGTAGAACACTAAATACTCATGATTATGTATTTTGGTGCGGAGATTTTAATTACAGAGTTGACATGGATAAGGATGAAATGAAGGAAATGATTAAGAGGAATGAAATTGATCAAATATTGCAATATGATCAATTAAAAGTAAAAACCTTAAACATTTTTCTAAATATATATAAATTATCTAGAACAATGTAACATAATTTGATATTAATAGTAACTTACAATTTTTCGGTCGATTTATTCTCGTAATTGTAGGTATTACTCGCATTCACTTTTCGAACAGGTACAACAGGAACAGGGTAATGTGTTCAAAAACTTTTTGGAAGGATCCATTACATTTCCTCCTACATACAAGTACGATCTTTTTTCCGATGACTATGACACGAGTGAAAAATGCCGTCAGCCTGCATGGACAGATAGAGTTCTTTGGAAACGAAGAAAGCAAATACCTGATATTGGTGAGTGTAACAAGAATACAACTAACAAAAACATTTTACATAAGCTTTGGATAATTCTGTTAAAACTGTGATCCTAGATTCTCCTACAGATTGGTATCCAGGGAAGCTTATTTATTATGGTAGAGCAGAATTAAAACAAAGTGATCATAGACCTGTTATTGCTATTATCGACGTAGAGGTTTATCGCGTTGAACCACAACAAAGGGAACATGTATTTAAAGAAGTAATAGAAGATTTGGGTCCACCGGATGGAACGATAATAGTAAAAACGGTAGACGAAACAGAAGATGCTGATAGCGCATTCGATAGTAATGTTATGATGGCATTGGTACAAGATCTGTCTCATATTGGCGAAGTGATTCTCGTGAGATTCGTTGGAGAAACAATTTGGGTCACCTTTAGAGATGGACAATGTGCTTTGGCCGCTGCAAAAAAAGGAATGACACACGTCTGCGGCCAAGCATTAACTTTAACATTAAAGTCACCCAATTGGATGCAACTTATTGAGAAAGAAATAGAAATTTGTAGCAATACCACGGCATCGCAATCTAGTGCTTTCTCGTCTATTTCGAAAACTTCTTTGCCAAAATTAGAACAATTAGGAATTTCAGAACATCCATCGCCTAATAAAGGAAATACAAATGATGTTACGCCACCGCCCAGGCCAGCTCCACCAGGCAGACCTTCTCAACCGCCTAAAAGTCCATACCAAGAGAAAAAACAAATTCCCCACGCAGGTGTATTTAGCGTATTACCTAATCAATTTCCAACGACGCCAGTTAAAGATAGAGCTGAATCCGAACAAGTGGAAAGATCGTCTCCGGAATCTGCAATTTACGAAGAAATATTAGATGGATTTCCTAATTATCCTGCGCCAACTAGACCACCGCCGCCATTGCCACGTACAGATCCTTCCCAAGAATCATCGAACAAGTGTATTAGTTCTATACCTCCTCCATTACCACAAAGACAAATTCCTCCACCTCAGCATGCCCCGCCTAGCTTGCCTACATCGTCGGTTCCACCACCGGTTCCAGCGAGAACATCAGGTGGTCCACCTATTCCAGCGAGAAATCCTCATTAAAGATAGAGTTTACGTTAGTCCTCATTTAGAGTATTATTGTCATCTTACATATAAATATTTATGACACTAAATAGAGAAATGAGATAAAAACAAGGCAAAGTTCTCTTTTGCTTCCGTAAGAGTCATCACACTCTCTCTCTCTCTCTCTCACATTTCTCTCTCTCTCTCTCTCTCTCTTTTTCTCGGTGCCGCGATGACTTCCAAATCTATTTCGTGGCTAGGACCAGTTCTTTATCTGTATACAAAATAATATCAGTGGAAAAGTGCTTATTACTGCACCATTTCATTGATTCAAATTCTTCTGCAAAATAATAATTAAGTGATTCCATAAAATCGTCGTATGCCAACGATCTTTAATTATTATTCCATGATCTTTGTGTTTATAACGATGATATATATATTATAATATTGATTTTTTATATTGCAAGATTATATGTTGTTTATAAAGTAAACAAAAAATAGCTAAAATTTTAATGGCTATATATAAATACAAGGATTATGAGATAATACTACAAAAAAATTTAAGTTTATGAGAGAACTAGAGAATTATTAAAAATTAAAAAAAAATATATATATATATATATATATATATATATATATAGAGCATGTTTGACATATGATACAATGATATGATATACAATGTTACGCTTAAATTATAGCGCATAATTCTTAATAAAACTTATGGAATATGTTGTAGATTCTATTAGCTTGAGACATTGCTTGATGTATCTCAAATGTTGCAAAATAGAAAACTACTTATGAATTGGATAGGAAACAGTCGTTAATTTATCTATGAAGAAAGTATATACAATGAGAAAAGGACAACAAAATAGTGATACATTGTAACTTAAAATTAAATGTAATTCTCATTATTCAGCTTTGTATACCGCCGAATGCATATATGTTATTCGATGTTATAAAAATAGCTATTGTCAAAGTAGTACAAAATCAAGATTTCTTGCTTACCAATAAGTAGCAATGCGAAGAAATGAATAGGCAAAAAAAAAAATTTCGTTCCCATATTTATGAACTATTTTGTCCTTCTGAAAGTAAAATAATATTTTTAGAAAAATCATTAAAAAGTCATTTAAAAGTATTTTTATATTTTCTAATCATTTTTTCCATCATAACTTACATTTTTCCAATGCAATTTTTTTTTTTTTTCTTTTTTTTTCTTAAGACAATACTCAATGAAACTCGGAACACCTTCCAAAATAAATCACATGATCGAATATTAATCTAAAATATTCTTGAAAGAAAAAGAAAAAAAGGGACAATTTGATATAATTTTAATAACATTAAAAAAAAAAAAAAAAAAAAAAAAAAAGACATGAAATTCCCTGAAAAATGATTCGATGGGTATATGGTGTGTGTGTTTATATAATTTTCTTTTTTTTATCTCTGAAATAATAATTACATTTTTAAAAAAGATAATTGAAACATTCCTAAAACATCGAAATATATCGATATCGAATTTTTATTATTATAGTTATAGCTTAGAGTTTTAATTATAAAATATTTTAATCCTGCAACGAATTTGCAGTACTACACCTAATGTATGTTAACAGTAATAAATTTTAATATCGTTTCATAAAGGAAAAAAAGAGAAAAAAAAAAGAAGAAAAAAAAAAAGAAAAAAGAAAAAAAAGAAAAAAAAAAAGAAAAAAAAATTTTATTTATCTAAATAGCACATAACCGGTCCTTCAATTTTGATGCCAATTGATGTAATATTTATTTGTGCTCTTGTTAAACGGAGATATTATAAAATTGGTCTCTTTACTTTATACATTGTAGAATGATATATAAAAAAATGTTTTTCGCTAAATTTATGTGTGTGTGTGTCTGACGAATTTATATATATAAATATATTGTAAACACAAAGCGCTGTGCCTGTCACAAAAACTAAGATCATGTGTAAAGCAATGTAAATGGCTGTGAACACAAATCCGGAAGAGTATGCTTTTAGTTATAACACATTAATCCCTTTTAGCAAATAAATTATGTACAAAAACGAATATATCCCATAACGATTCCTCACGAGCCACATTTCAATCATTTTAGATTGTTGATGACATCAGAAACGGAAAGTACAAGAATGACTCAACGAATGGCAATATTCGAACAATGCATCATGGATACGTCAAGAGTAAAAAAAGACTATCCCGATCGTAGCAACAATTTATGATGAATAATGTGTAAATGTATTTTAATATATACATCATTTTTCATTCAATTAAATTTCTTGTTACGTTACACGTTAATAATACAAGTTTCTTGTACTTTCTTTCGATTTACAAGATAGTTTTATCGAAGATATCCAAATTTTTAAGGGGAAAAACTGTCGCGCATTAAATCACATAACGATTGTGTTATCGCGTTCCATAACTTTAAATTAATTTCGCACAACATTCGTTTCTAGCACGATAATATATTGATACGATGCATTGATATTATTTAAACTTACATGATTATGTTTAAATAAATCAATCCAAAATTCGTTGTTGACTTGCAAAAAGTCTTAAATTAATATCTAACTAAATCCTGATCGATACTAAATACAATGAATAAAAAATTAAGAGATCTTCCGTCTGCACGCATTATCTTTTTATAGATGAGAAAAAAGATCAATTCTTATAAATCCAGATTGATTATAAATTTACAATTTCAAGTGTAATATATATATATATATGTATGTATATGTATACATATATATATATGTAATATATATATATGTATGTATGTATGTGTGTGTGTGTATGTGTATATATATATATCTATATATCTAAATATATACACATACCGTATATTGTTGCGCGCATTACTCAGAATTAAATTCAGATAAAATGAAAAGCGGTTCATTGTCAGCATATAATAATATAGAAAAAGAGGATGCTGTGTCAAAAAGTACGGGATCCAGTAAGGAAATACCTAATAAAAAAGAATATAGGATATACTAAATGTTAATGAGATGTCAAAGTAAAAGTCTTATAAGATTAGTACATGTGTTTACATGATAATAAACTGTTTTCCCCTCCCTTTCTTTACAGTTTTTAATACAGTCTCTTTTTTGTCATGTCTATAAATTGATCGTTGTGTTTCCAATATTTGGAAAGATTTTTTTTTTACATTTTATAAAATAATGGAGTATTGCAACACTTAGCTTAATAATCCACAATTGCTTAAATTATTCTTAATTATGACGTCGGTCACAGCGTCAAATACAAATTGTATATTAGATGTATCTGTGGCACATGTGAAATGTGTATAAATTTGTTTCTGATCTTTCCTTTTATTTAAATTTTCGAATTTCATTTGAATATAAGATGCACATTCCTCATATGTATTAGCACCTTTATAATCCGGAAAACAAATGGTTAACGGGCTTCTAGCAATTTTTTCTTCAAAAAGATCCTTTTTGTTAAGGAATAGTATAATCGACGTCTCGACAAACCATTTGCTGTTGCATATGGAATCAAATAGCTTCATCGATTCAATCATTCTATTCATTTCTTCATCCTCTGCAAGGACCAAATCATACCCACTGAGAGCAACACAAAAAATAATGGCTGTAACACCCTCGAAACAGTGTATCCATTTTTTTCTTTCTGACCGTTGACCACCAACATCAAACATTCTGTTAAATTACAAAAGACATACCAAGCTATCAAATACCAATGATTAATTTATAATACAACTATAATTAAAAAATAACATACTTGAAATGTAATCCTTTAAATGAAAAATGAGTTTCCACGATTCCTGTAGTTTTCACACGTGTTCTAAGAACATCTTGCTGAGTAGGAATATAATTAGGTTGTGCTATACGATCGAGAGCATTCAAATAATATGCAGCTGAATCATTCAGTTGATATTCTCTACTACGTGTGAAACAAAGTTGTACACCTGCATCTTGCCATAGTCTCTTCATTAACAATACTAACTCTCCTGTAAGTTCACCTTCTTCTGCTGCTGAAGCTAGGGTGAAGAATTGTCGAGCTATATCCTAATGCACGATTATTATAGATTTTTAGGATTAGTTGTTACTTGTAACAAACAAACAAACAAACAAACAAACAAGCAAACAAGCAAAGCAAACAAAGGAAAAACAAAAAGAAAAAAAAATAAAAGAATAACTGAGATTATCCTTTTTAAAATATAATACTTACGGCCTTACTAGAATCAGCAAAATCAATTCTTAGCTGGCCCATAGCTCTGATTATTGCCATTAAACTTTGTATTGCGTTACTATATACTACTGGCTTATATTGTTCACATTCTTCCTTACTATAGCCAGTCTCATGAATTATTTTCATCTGTTTTACTATTGTAGATTTACCAGATTCTCCAGCCCCTTAAAAATAAATAATCAAAAGTAAGATTTTACTCTATGGCAATTATTTACATTGTTATTTCAAAATAATTTGTAAAACAAATTACATTGATGATTTGATGCTTAGTCATATGCATAACATTTTTTTTTTTTTCTTTTTTATGTATCTATTATAATCTTCTTTGAACATTCTATTTGAGAATTTTTCGAGAAAAACAATATATTTTTTGTCCATATATATATATATATATATATACACATGTATATTCATATATATATATATATATATACGTATTTATATTTTAAACTGTGACGAAATAATAGATGTCTAACGAATGCAACAAGTATAAGAATTATATATGACATGCGCACTAACGTCGCGGCAATCGAAAAATGCTTCTATTTATCTTGAGCAATTAAATTGTCGTATAGAAAAAAGTTGTGAATCGGATTTCAGAAATGATGTATTTCTTAAGAATGATTACGCGGCACGTTTCAAGGAAAAGTGTAAATAGTGGTTTGACATATATGCTACAGTGAGACATCGAGAGCTCTATATCTATAATAAGGTATTTTAAGGTTGAAATGAAAAGTGACGTACAATATTTATTTTTTCTTTTCTTCTTTCTTTTTTTTTACAATATTCATAATCATGTCAAAAAAAAAAAATTGTATTGTATACATGAAAAATCATATATGTTCCTTTTCAATGAATCAATGGCTGATTATCTTGGTTGAATAAAGACACGCATTAAATTCATAGGAACAAAAACGATTTGTATTCGTTGGATATGATTTGATCGATAAAACAATGAAATATTGTGAAAAAATTAAAAGAAGAAACGTACCAAGCAAGAGGAGCTTGACCTCACTGGCGGCTCGCTCGCCATCGGCCCTCAGATCCTTGTCGATTTTCTTGGACCTTTCAGCGGCTTCTTTGTCTCCGGTGGTGCTTACAGCACAGCCCATCCTCACCGGGATTTTAAATATGCACAGGATAAACAATAAACACCATGCACTGATCGCGTTTATAACACGTGTCTTTTGATTAGTTATATTTGTCCGTTATAATCGACCGCTACCGTCTGACACTTGTTGCACGGACGCGTGGGAACCGCCCGCACGCGGTTCCGCCTGCATATACGCAACAATTAAAAAACTTTTGACAAATGTTTCACGAGTTAATATGCAAAGAAATCCTCGATTAACTAAATCACTTATCCCGTAACGTTAAAAAAACGCGATGATGGCAAACGTAAGAAGACCGGTGCCCTTTCTTCGCATTTATTGACACTACTTTCTACGGCCCTTACAACTTTGATGCCAGATCCCGCGAGATCCGGAATGATTTCATTTCATCACTTATTATACACTAACTTAGTAAACGCGACTGTGATTGGTCATGCGATCATATGAGCACTGCAATTGGTTATTCAGATCCGTTCGAATACGTTCAGCCAATCAGATTTTTCGTCTTCTAGTACTTCCGATTCGATGATATATAATCATATACGCAACGTGGAATACCATTGGTCATAGTTTTAATACTTTCGATGTGGTATTTTAACCTATGAAAAAAAGGGATTTTGAATTTATTTTTGTTTTCTTTTTGTTTATCTTGTAGGATAAGTTTTTATCATAAATAAAATAAACTGACGAAATATAAAATAGTTTTACATGTCTATGTACTGTGTATTCATTATATAAATGTTATAATCTCGCTTACAAAGCGATCGAGTATATTTCATATAAAGAATAAATTTAAATCGTTTATAGAAATAATTGAGTCTCTTTAGGTATCTATTAGTCATAACTATATTGTCCTTGAAAATGGCTCGAACCTATCATTTCTCATCGATGTTTAGAGGTTGGAACACGTGTTTCCGAGTTAACCTTTAAATTCTTTAGATCTCAAAGATAGTTTTATTAATTAACATTATGTCAGTGTATCACGACGAAGTGGAAATCGAAGATTTTGAATACGACGAAGACGAAGAAATTTACTACTACCCTTGTCCATGCGGTGATCAATTCCAAATATCAAAGGCAGATCTAATAGCTGGTGAAGAAGAAGCTACATGTCCGTCTTGTTCACTTGTTGTTAAAGTAATTTATAATAAGGAAGCATTTCTTGAAAAACAAGAAAATATTAATAAAACAGAACAAAAAAAGGAGCCTCTGTTGGAGAAAGTTTGAGATAAGTTATTATTCTTTAATATTATTTATCAAAGAAGATTTTAATCATGGCAGGAAGAGGACGTGGAAAATTCAAACCTTCTATGTCATTTAATACAGAACAATTAGGATTTGCTAAAGGAGAAGTTTTACCACCTCCGGTTTTGCAACCTCCACAGAAATATCCAATGTTGGAATATAAAGCTTTGACTTTTTCAATTACCAATGAAATGAGTTATTTATTGGAATTGAAAAGGGACTATACTGAATATTTAAGAGAATCTCCATATAATGTACAACCTATAGAATTGAAAAAAGATATTGAACGTTATTCTGATCGTTATCAAGATTTGATGACTGATAAAAGTGGCTATGATACTAGATATGATTGGTCCAAAGTACCAGCGGAATTAAAACCATCTATTCGTAGACAAAAAAGTCAAGCGACTGTACAGCCTAAGAAAAAACAGAAAACTGTTGATATAGAATCAAAGTTACAAGAATTAGAAAAGAAAGAGACTAATCAACAGAGTGATGTACAGGAAGAGGAAGAAGAAAAGGCTGATGAAGAAACAGAAGAAAAAGAAACAGATGAAGTGGTTGAGGATGAGGAAGAAGAATTAGATGAGGAAATGGATGAAGGGACTGATTATGTAAATAGTTATTTTGATAATGGAGAAGGTTATGATGATGAAGAAGATAATATGGATGATGGACCTATCTATTAAAATTTATCTTTAGAGTATTTAAGAATTCGATTTTTGATCATATGCTTGCAGAGTGTCTCTATTGCAGAGTTGTAGAGTATATATATATAATCTAATGCAATTAAATTTCTCATACAACAATAGAAATATATATAATATGTATTAAAAGTTTGTATAAATGACTAATTTATATTTTTAATATACTTACCTCGTTTGCGTTTAATTAATACCATTTATAAACAAATATTTATAAACAAGTTTTCTATATTTATTATATTATTTTTTATTTTCATCAGCTCAAAACGTATAAATTATTTAAGCTACTGATTGAAAAGGATTGTATCTTTTACTTAAGAAAAACAATAAGGATATAATATTTTTAATACAGGAGAGATAGAGAAATATGTTCTTTCTAAGGTAATTTTTAAACATAATGATGATCGTAATTTCGTTGAAGTCCAGGGGAAAAGAATGTGATAAGCTTATTTATTTTAGCGAAATTTTACACAACAATTAACAACCAAAATGTTTTTTTTTTTTTTTTTATTTTTTTTTTATTTTTTATTTTATTTTATAGTATCGATTAAAATTCTGCGGTTGTCTCCTGTACGTTCGCCGATTTATTCCAAAGGCCCGTAATTTTCGACTATGTACCGAAATGATTGGACCACTATCGGTACAGAGAAAACATAAAGTAAGAATGCAGATTAATCAGCAAATCTTAAGATATATTTAAAGATTAGAAAGGGTCGAACAATCGTGTTTTTCCATGTGGATTTAAAGCGCGCATCGAAATTCTATTGTACAAAAATTAGAACGTCGTACATACATATATATGCATATATATATATATATATATATATATATATATATATATATATGATTTTTGAACAGAACACACTGAATTATCTTATGAATGAATTAATTTTGCTTTCGTACTTCGACGAGTGATCGAAATGCCATTTAATTTTGCACGTCCGCTTCTTACCGCTTAAAAAATCTTAAAGCGTATAGAACAAAATTCTTGCGACCGTGTAATAGTTTTTCATTTTGTTTGTTTGTTTGTTTGTTTGTTTTATTTTATTTTATTTTATTTATTTATTTTTTTTTTACTTTTTTTTCCGTTCGGATAAACAATTGCATTCGGTTTAGCCAGCGAATAATTTATCTTTCATTAACCGTTCGAGCTCTGTACGGAAGCGTAGTGGGGCTTACGTCGATGCGAATTTTTTTCTCTACCTTTTTAATTGTGTGATTCATAACACATATATTCCATATAATGCTACACATCTGCATATTCGATTATTCACAGCCTATGTTTCAATGGGAAAACGTATCGGTGTATTAATGCACTGACACGGTATTCGCATAAAAAAAAATAGAAAAAAAAAAAAAAAAAAAAAAAAAAACAAAGAAAAAGGATTAAAAACAAAAATATTATAAGATGTAGAATACAATCCAATCGAATTACACTAGAATTAAGTAAACCGTATTTTTTGTAACGCATGTCTTATCGTTTTCTCCTTCTTCTTTTTCTTTTTTTTCTTTTTTCTTTTGGTAAGAAAGTTTATTACCCTCGCGGGACGAGTATTGAAAAATGTATAATGGTCTGTCGTCGTTGTGTCCCGTCTATACGAAATCTTTATGCACGATCACTTAACGTCGTAGGCACGGGGAAATATTCAAGGAATATTGGAACTCTCTATGAGACATACATACTTGCTAACATCGTAACACGATTTCGTGTAACAGAGAAAGCGTAAATCGTGTGAAAATGAAAGCAATCGAAGTCGTTCTTCTTTTTCTTTTCTTTTTTTCTTTTCTTTTCTTTTCTTTTCTTTTCTTTTCGTTTCTTTTCTTATCTTTTTTTTCTCCAATTATAATGACGAACACTGGACGTTTGAACACATGATCCCCAAGAGTGTTTATCAACAAAGTGGTAAAATTTCTCTCAAGAGCTATAGCTCGAAACTGAATAATATGTATAAGAAATTTTTTTATAACTCGCTAACTTTAACAATAAAAGATTCAGCCCGCACTCGCTGAATTTTAATTGGCATTCGATTTTCTTCTTCTTCTTCTTCTTCTTTTTCTTCTTCTTTTTCTTCTTCTTCTTCTTCTTCTTCTTCTTCATCTTCTTCTTCTTCTTTTTTTTTTTTTGGTTTTTTAATCTCATTTTTCTTTTTCTTTTTTCTTTTTTTCTTATTTTTTTTTCTTATTTTTTTTTCTTTTTTTTTTTTTTTTAATCTTTTCATTTCTTCGATCACGAGATAGTTGTTTACCCTTTCACGGTACATTAGCTCTCAGGCGCATGTCTACTGTACAAAAGTGTGTATTTAACAAATCATAGAGAAAATGAACTTTATTTTTATACTCGAACATTTGGAAATTATCTCTTTAATTAAATCGGTGATTATGAAAGTGTTTTGAAATGAAAAATTAAAACAAGAAAAAAAATTAGTTCATCGCGTAAATTCTTATGATTAGGTCAATTGCCATGTTAATTGTGCAGTAAAATAATTAAAAAAAAAAAAAAAAATTTTTTTCTCAGTTAGATTACTTTTCGTAATCACCGGCTTAATTATGTATTCTCGTGCAATAACGAACGATCATCGCACGTTCATTTTGGCATGAAGGAACTTTCCTTGATTTTAAATGAATTTCTCTCATTTGTTGTTTCTCTTTTTTTTTTTTTCCCTTTTTTTTCACTCAACCAACAAACCAACAAAACGAATTATCATCATTCGATATAAATGCAATTATAATACCGTATAAGAAAGAAAGTGGAGAAAGAGAGAGAGAGAAAGAGAAAGATAGAAAGAGAAAGAGAAAGAGAGAGCCATAAAATCTGACGTCCAATCGTTATTATGTATTTTATATCTGAGATTACGATTGAGAGAGAGAGAGGGAGAGAGAGAGAGAGAGAGAGAAATTACATTGTTTCATTCTGACAATTCTTTTTTTCCTTCCCGATAAGTTCTATTTGAATCTGGACGGGCAGTGTGAACTTTAAAGATGCGCCTTCGATATGTAACGCGGTACAGATCGAACAAATTGAGGATTTAGGAGGAGAGCTATCAAGGATAAGCATTTAAATTGGCGAAAAAATGATGCATCACAATCATGAATGCAGTTATACGGAAATAAATCGGAACACATTAAGCTCCCACATTTCTCTCGATTTTGATCCGATCTGTACTCTCCAAATCTTTCGGTCATCATTACGAATCACGCTAAGGCGCTATTACATTCACTCAAATATTTTAACGGTAATTAAGAGAATAAATTTAAAAAAAAAAAAAAAAAAAAAAAAAGAAAAAAAAAAGAAAGAAAGAAAGAAATAAAAGAAAAAAAAGAGAGAGAGAGAGAGAAAGTGTATGTGAGAGAGAGAAAGAGAGATACGTTCGTGGATCGTATAAAAGTACCTACTGCGTAAAAGACGTTTCTAATAATCATGGCATCGAGAATTAGAATAATCCATTTTTTTGTCATGTTCATCATAGTATAATCCCGTGGAAAATTGTGCAACGAAATATTTGTCCATCAGATTATATGATGGATTGATTCGTAAAAAAATGATACATATTGTCGCATAAAGTTCTATAGGAATCGTCGATTTATTATTATTATTATTATTATTATTATTATTATTATTATTATTATTATTATTATTATTATATCGTTATAATAATAATAATCTAGTTGTTCGAGACTATCCAATAAATAGTACCTCGTGTGTCCTCTTCTTGTGCGTAATCGAATTTACGCGTGGGATTGAAAAATTATATTCGTAATTAATGGCTACGGCTCTTTCATACATGCGCTAACGTTTCTCGTATTCGTTCGTCTCGTCTTTCATTTATTTATTTATTCATTTATTTATTTATTTATTTATTTATTTATTTATAACCCGTGAATGTAATAGTACCTTCGTAGTGCCGTGTATCTAATTTTCTCATTCGTATTATTTTTCTTTTTTTTTTTTTTGTTTATTTATTTATTTATTTATTTTTTTATTTATTTTATTCTTTTTAGGATTATTTTGTTTTGTTTGTTTGTCACTCGTGCCGTGTTTTCGATTCAGTTATTCAAGGAACAAGCATATGCTGTATAAATAAGCATCTATTAAGGTGTACATGTCTTTTTCTTCTTCTTCTTCTTCTTCTTCTTCTTCTTCATTTTCTTTTTCTTTTTCTTCCTCTTCATCTTCATCTTCTTCTTCATCTTCTTCTTCTTCTTCTTCTTCTTCATTTTCTTTTTCTTCAAACAAGAGGCACGCGCACGGTCCTTTCTTGCAAACGAAATATCTGTGCTATCAATGCTCTTACAATAGTCGATGAATTAAATTATTTTTCTCGATTATTTTAATTCTTCTCGGGCTTCGTGTTATCTCGTCGCATTTATCTTGTTTCTTTTTCTTTTTTCTTTTTTTTTTTCCTTTTCTCTTCTTTTCTACGTCTCCTTTATATTATTTTATTTTTAGCGCTTTAAACGTTTATATGAAGCTATATGTTTCTTAATAAAACCGATGAGCGAAAAGCGACAAAACCTCGTAGAGAAGACGTTGGCTTTCTCGATCGAACTACCACCGTTTTCGATAAATCTTTTTTTTTGACATTAATTTATAGTTTATAGTTTATAGTTTATAGTTTATAGTTTATGATTTATTTTATTTTATTTTAATTTAATTTATAATTTAATTTTTCTTTGTGATAGCAATGGATAATATATTAGGTATATGAATTCTTGTCGCTCATCCTTACAAGATTATTGGTTGGAATAATACGTCGCTTATTACACACATATATATATAAATATATATATATATATAAATAATCGACGTGCCACTGGTTTATATTTAATGTATGTATATCGAGAGAGAGAGAGAGAGAGAGAGAGAGAGAGAGAGAGAGAGAGAGAGTGAGAGAGAGAGAGATATCGGTTATTTAAGGATACGCATGATTTGGTACGAGAACATATTATTTCTTTGGTTGTAAGGAAAAATGCCGTACAATCATAATTTAAAAAAAGAAAGAAAAATATTATGGTAAAAATTAAGACGTAGAAAAAAAACATAGGATTCGTGTATTTATCGGAAAAGAATTAATGAAAAAGGAAATTCTAACGTTTCAAAAAATGATGCAATTTAAAAAAATTAATGCAATATAAATCTGATAAGAAGAAAATATTTAATGTTCCGAATTTCAAATGACAATGTCTCGAAAATCTTGCGGCGTTGTTTCTTTACAACCATGGAAAAATATAACGATTCCCCTTATATTCTTTTTGTAGAATTATGGGATTCGAGATAGATATAGAGGATATATAGGGTGGGTCGCATAAAAAGCATTGATTTTGGAAGATAGGCGCAATCATAAAATTGTGTTAATAAGAAAAGATGAATACTGGGAGAGAGTTTGCCAGTTCTCCGTTTATTCTCGTGTATGTTTTTTTTTTTGTAATCTTTTTTTTTTATTTTCTTTTCTTCCTTTTTTTTTTTTTTTGTTTTTTTTTTTTTTTTGATTTTATTTTGTTTTTTGAAGTTATCGCGGGTTATGACGTTTTATATACGTATGTTATGTATATTTTTTATATCGATCGAATCGGTCGACGACGTCGATGTCTCTTAAGAAAAAATCTTATCGGTACTATCTTTCGTATTTCACGTTCGATCACATTTTTGTGTATATCGTTATAATAAATATGAGTTACAATCGATCATTTATTAGATCGGTAATAAATATAATCAGAAATTTGATCTAGTTGAAAATATATGTATCCAATGGAAGTAAGACGATCGTACCGATCAAGATCGACATCGTCAACGATCGCCAGTTCTAAACACTGTCTTCCAGTTTCTGCGTCCTAATTATCATACTTGATTGGATCATTTCTTTTCTTTTTTCTGAATCTTCTTTCTTTAGATTTATGTAATCCATTCATCGTTCTCTTTTCTATCGTTCTCTTTCTTTTTTCTGTTTTTCATTTCCTTCGTTAATGGTCCACTCCTTCGATTGTTCCTTTCGTTTTCTACGTTAATATTTTTTTTTCTTTTTTTTTTTCTTTTCTTTTTTTTTTTTTTTTTTTTTTTGCCGTTTGTAATGTTCTATTTGTGTAGTACCATTATCATTAACGTAATCAGTATCGTTATCATTATCATTATCGTTATATCGTTAATCATTATTATTATCATTATCACTATATCGCTATGCTGTTTCAGTACGATTGGTTGTTTTTGGACGTGAATCTGGATGGAGTGTGGTATTACCGACGTATCGTGTAAACGCGCGTGCATATTTCGAAAGCGGGAAGAGAGAGGGAGGGGGATATACGGAGCGGGAGATGGAAAAAAAAAAGAAAAATAAAAAAGGAAGAAGAGAGATGAGAATAGCAGGACGAGGAAGGAGGAGACATAAGCCTGTGAAAAGGGAAGGGAGAAAGAGGGAGGAAGGGGGGAAGGAGCCGGTCAGGTCTAAGGAGGGATCGGAGAGAAAAGAAAGGGTCAAGTGGGGTTTATTTTTTTTTTCTTTCTTTTCGATTGTAACTTCTAGAGCTTCGTCCGGTCGATCCTAAAACGAAAAATTCTCGCTTTCGATCCTGGCCATTTTTAGATATTTATTATTATCGCTTAACGTTTAGGTAAAGTTCATTAGCCTCTTCGTCTTCGAGGTAAACCTTTGTCAATAATGAAAAATATGCAACCAATAGACGTTATACCTTATGACAACGTCGTAAGCGCACAATCGATGAAAAATTCGTTTAAACGGATTAAGAACAAAATGTGGTTTGTTTTTTTTTCTGTTTTTTTTTTTTTTTTTTTTTTTTTTTTTTTTTTCTTTTTTTTTCCCCTATTATTACATACGTATGTATATGTATCTTCGCCGAACGTTCTTCTTACGGGCCTAGAATTTCTCGTCATTTAGCAACAAATACATATATAAGCGAATACTATCTCACAATGAGAGAGAAAGAGAGAGAGAGAAAGAGAGAGAGAGAGAGAGAGAGAGAGAGAGAGAAAGAGAGAGAGAGAGAATCGTGTCCTATCGTCACCCTTTTTCTTCTTCTTTTCTTCTTCTTCTTCTTCTTCTTTTTCTTCTCTTACGATACTTTCGATGATCCTTCGATACAAATTAGCACCAATTACCAATTTTTGAGCAATTACCGCTTTATCTCATTTTCCTTTCTTCTTCTTTTACTTTTTCTTTTTTTCCCCTTCCTTACCTTCAAAGACGAAAGCCTCCTCTCGCGCGATTCTAAGTTTTTTTTTTTTCTTTTTTTTTTATAATGAAAATCGTTTCCTAGCAAAAATATTCGTATTAAAAATGAAAAAAAATCATAGGGCACAGGCATGCGGACGATCGAAGAACAACGTTGATATCCCGTCGTCGTTCGAGTTTATTCTTTTTTCATTTCTTTTCTTTTCTTTTCTTTTTTTTTTGTTTTATTTTTTCTTTTTTTATTTGTTTACTTTTTTTTGTTCTTCGATTTGCGCGCGAAACAATTTGATTCTCGTTGCCGGCGTTAAAAAAGTCGTGTCATTCCCCAGGGTAAAAAATTGCTCAGCAACAAAGGGTCTTGCTCGTTTCGCGAAATAAACCGTGATTTGTATTTTCTTCCTGCGACGTAACGAACCGTACATGGACGAACTGTTGTGTTTAAATATTTGTTTTTTTTTTTTTTTCTTTTTCTTTTTCTTTTTCCTTTTTTTTTTTTCGGCATCCGTACAAGGTAATACATATCGACACACCGTTATATACTTGCGGATTAAGATCGTTCCCATTTTCTTATTTCGATACTAAATATCTGGTAAATAATCTTTCTTAGCGTGTACGGGAATTATTTATCTTAGTTATCATAAATTTTGTTCAATTTTTTTTTTCTTTTTTTTTTTTCCTTTTTTTTTCCCTTTGTTTTTCATTTTCGCCATTATCATCATCATTATAATCATTATCATTATCATTATCATCGTCATCGTTATCATCTCCTTCTTCTTCTTTTTCTTCTCTCCTACGAAGCAAGTTAATTATCGGAGTATAACGAGTAAGCTCGTGAAAAATTTCTTCATGAATATAGTTAAAAAAGATCGAGACGCGTTCTCTAAGGAGGTAGTTCCACTTGCCGAAGTTGCCCGCGGGACTTTTCTCCGAATGTTAATCATTCGTCGTTCTCTTCCGTAACGCGCGTGCATATGTTTTTCTGTGTTGTGTATGCGCACGCGCGCGTACGCATGCGTGTATTATTCTTGTATTACGCTTGCTTAATACTTTTCTCTTTTATATTACGTGACGCGCGTGTATGTGTGTCTGTGTGTGTGTGTGTGTAGTAATAGTAGTATAGTAATAGTAATAGTAGTAGTAGTAATAGTAGTAGTAATAGTAGTAGTAGTAGTAGTGTTACTAATAGTAGTAGTGTGTGTGTGTATGTGTGTGTCTGTGTGTGATGTGCTCGCACGCGCATGCATCCTCTAAACGTGTGTTTATACATATATCGAACGTATGTATTGTACACATGCAACAACACACCTGTAGATATACGCACTGGTGCATATGCATACACATATACAAAGTGTATCTTCGTGTAGATATCATAAATATAAAACGCATGAAGTAGCTGAAGGCTATGTACCTTTTATCCTTTTTTTTCTTTTTTCTTTTTTTTTTTTTTTTGGGAGGGGCTTTTTTGCTTCTACAAAGAGTGACAAGCCTTGGAGTCGCATCTTTCTTCGCTCGAGTTTACGTGCATTTTTTTCCTCTTTTTCTTTTTTCGTTTTTTTTTTGTTTTGTTTTGTTTTCATCCTTTATTACTTTCTTCTTTGAGGATTTGAAAATCCTCGCAAAAAGAGAAAGAGAAAGAAAAAAAAAGAAAAGAAAAAAATCGCACGTCTCTCGGCTATGATAGATGATCTTACGCAATTATTCGAATCTAATGTAAAGGAAGTTTCGTACGTTAACGTATAAGTATGCATACGTGTGTGTGTGTGTGTGTGTTTGTATTTACTTTGAATATTTAATAAACACGTACGTATGTAAAAGAGATACATACATACGGTTACCACGAACGTTTGATATTGATTTATACGTAAGAATATCATTGATGCGAATCTAATAATACGAGTCGAGTTTATAACTTATATGTATTCGCACGCAGCTTCCAGAACTTTAACGACATCGATACCTATCCTTCAGACACTCACCGTCTACATGGATCTCGATATAAGATGTTGTTCGGTGTTTATCACCCACACGTAACTCTATGTTATACAACGCACTAACGAATATGAGACACGCGAACTGTAACGTTTCGAAAACTTAATCCCGAAAGGAATCCTCGAAGCTTCTACAACGCATCCATAGGCGATCCTGCCGTTGCTTTCGCTCGCATCCGTTTTCTTCTTTACCCGTCTTCTTCGATAGGAATTACCCATTAGATCGTGACCCTAATGGTTAGCTCTTCGTTTATTTTTCTTTTTTTTTTTTTTTTTCTACCCGAAATTAAAGATGTACATTCTTCGGAGTCTTGAATTATTTCTAATGCTCGCACGAAACCATCTCTATTCCATCTACAATAGCTTCCAATTGCAAGATTAAATATTGTACGTGCTCGCATGTCGGACGAGCGAAGGAAACGACGGGATAACTGCTCTCAGGAACTCCGTCCGAAGTTTATAAACAAACTCCTTCCTCCTATCTTCTCCCTCTCCTTGATCGCTTCTCATGAACAACTCTCCTCTCGTTCTACACGTACATTCCCCTCCTCTTCGAATTCATTGTCGCGGTCATAGCTACTAGTTTATTCCGTAGGATTCTAATTCTCAGAGGGACTACCCTTTCCCCAGAACTTATCAAAGCGATTTCGTGCTTTTTCTAAGACATCGGTCGCCGTTGAACGATGAGCCGTACCTGGTATCATCTGAACTGGCGGTGCCTCTAACACGTGATAACCAGCCGTCGCGGTGGTGGTAGCGATGTTGCTGCTGCTGCTGATAGGCGTTCCTGTTTCTCCACTTCCACTACTACCACTACCACCACCATTACCACCACCACTACCACCGCCGCCGCCGCCACCGCCACCGCCACCGCCGCCTCCTCCTGCGGTTCCTTCACTACCTACCCCACTTTGAGGTGATTCAGCTTCGAGAATACGGTACGGCTGATGCGGTACATTCGATGTCGTTGTTGTCGCCGTTGTTGTCGTTGTCGTAGGAGCTCCCGAATCGATCTTCTTACGTTCTAATTCGAACGATGGATCCTCGAGACATTTTATATTGCTACTACCTATCGATTTCACCGGTTCTCCCTTATCCTGTTCTCTATCAGCGTCGTATGTTTTCTAATAAAAAATATCGATCGATCAAGTATCTCAAAAATATCGAACTTTTTACATGGTAATCTAACGTAGACTAGCTCACCTTCTCATCTTGACCGGATGTGATCACGGATTCTCCAGCGGACAAGTTCTCTACTTTCGTCGGCAACGAACAAGGACTTGCACGTCCCGAATCCATGTCCTCCTTTTGATCGGTAATCCCACCGAAACTGCCAAGTGAGACGCTCTCACTTTCTGGCGATTTATAACCAGAATGTTGCGAATGATGCTGCGACTTGTGCTGAGCTGCTAACTCCGGAGGAGCCGATTGCGGTGCCGATGGTACGCAGGACGGTGCCCACGTCTTTGCTTCGCTATGAGGACGTGTCAGGGGCTCTTCGTGGAAATGAAATTCCTTTTAAGTATCTTTTTGTATAGTTAGATTTTTTATTAAATATTTCTTTCAAAATCTTTTTCACCTTTAACTCATCCGTATCATAATGATTTTTTAACAACTCTCTCTCTCTTTAAAATTTTTTCTTTTTTATAATAATAATTAATATCGATCCTCGAACGTATTTAATTTATCCTATCTGCTTACCCTCTCTAACGTTTTGTGTAACGGTAAACGTCTTCCCGGTATCGAGGGGCACTGTCCAGTTAACCGGTTCAGGTGAGCGCATAATCATTTGTTCCGGCGATTTCACACGCGTTGGTTCCGGTGGACTCTTTACGACTGGCTCATCATCGATCCAAGTACCAGCACCAGCTGAGATAGCACGAGTTTGCGACGGTGGTGTTGAAGCCACGCTCGAATCACCTCCCGTTGCATCACCATTCAGCTGAGGCTCTGCCGTCACTAGAAATTTTAATTCTATTCTCAATTCGAAGCTCGTTCAACGTTTACCGACCTTAAGCGAAGATCGTCTCTTTCGTGTTTTCCATATTTTAATTATACGCCATTTAATAATAATAACAACACGCTTTTATTTATTCGTATCATAATACTCACTTGGCCGTGGTCTCTCGATTTCAGCGCTTCTATCCTTTTGATCTCTATCTTTATCCTTAAATTCCTTCTCTTTCTCTTTCTCCTTCGAAAACGAACAAGAAACGAAAATGAACAAATACTCGATTTATACAGGATGATCATAAAACTGCGAATGGTCGATGAAATTGACTAATTTCACAAACGGACTCCTTGATGACGAATCTTCTACCACATTTTAGGAACATCCTATATCAATAGAAATAAAATTATATTTCTGCAATACCTTCATATCCTTTGTCACAGATGGTGCACGTGGAGGTTGCCGTTTCGGTGACCTACGCTCGGTAACGCTAGGTCCAAGACTCTGAGAACGTCCAGTACGTGGACTATTCTTCGGACTGGACTTCGTTCTTGGTTGGATCTCTTCCCGGTGTTCTCTCGATTCCTCGCGTCGTCGCGGTATTACGGGCTCCAACTTCTCTCTCGTTGGAGAGGGGAGTAGTGCACCGTCGCCTGCGCGTGACGAGCACATCGTACGTTTTGCATTTTCTTTTTCTCTTTAACAAGATTAGCGGTTTGCGTCTCTACTTACCTACGCCAGTAGTACGATCCAAATGATGACGAATCAAAAAATCTTTTCTCGCGCGAGCTACGGTTTTTTCGTTATCCTATGGTAGATAATATAATTCAATTAATGCGAATTGTTATTTTTAAATATTAGCAAATAATTTAAACAATGACAGCAGTGGTAATACTCGTTTAATCGGAGAATATATACATACCAACTTCAAATCTTCTTGTTGTGAAACATGAATCGGTCTTGCTTGAACCGAGGATGGTCTACCTGCTGGTGGCATCGTCATCGCCGCTATAACCGGAGTCACTTTCCTCGTATTTTCTTTGTTCTTTTCTTCTTTCGTCACTGATCTAAATTTATTTCCGATTATTATCTCACACGATTTATATTAATATCAATAATTTATTAATTCGTCGATAACACAACGTGGAAGAATTGAAAACCAGCTACGACAGAACTCGTGCGAAGATGTGAACTATAACGAATATTATTGTATTTCTTTCTATTCTGCATCAGCTATCAAGATCGCTGATTGTCGTCGTTGTTATGAATTTTTCATCGATTCCTATGATGTTCTAAATTTTTAACGAGACATCAGGAGCGACCTTCCTATGAAAATAAGTCATTTCTTTGTTAAAAAGAAAAAAAAAAGAAAAAAAAGAAAAAGAAAAAAAGGAAAGAAAAAACAGAAAAAACGACGTTGAAATCTTTTTCATTAATGTCGGAGGAAATTCTTGGAGAATGTTCCTCGAACAGGAACGAAGTTTCTCGACAAGAGGATCATCCGAGATTTTCCTATGGATAATGAAATAAACGTAAAGAGATCGGGAAATCGATTGCATTGCGTGAAGCAAACAACACAAGTGCGTTAGTAGCGGTAACGCAACTTCGAGTAACGATGATGAATGATTTACTGGCCTGGCAAGAGACAGAGCGTTGAGAGCGTGGTTACTGGATACCCGTTTCCACAGGGAAGCTTCATCCTCGGCTGCCAGACCGCAACCCCAGTCACGATGCTAACGCAAACCAAAAGCAATCAGCTGCTGCGTCCTTTAGAGCATCGAGTCTAACGATTCTAATCTATGATCGCGGACCCTGCGAGTATACTAAAGATAGATCATGCTCATGGGAAGGTACATGTACCTACTTATATGATCGATGTACAAAAAGGATATAAAGAGATATTGGTAAGATGCATGAAAAACTTATCGATCAATGGCATGCACTTTTTGATGAACGATGATTGAAATGAAAATTAAATATCACCAAATCACTCGAGACAAAAAATTCACTCGTCTTTAAAGGTAGGAATTTACGTGGATTCGTTTGGATTACGAAAGACAATCGTGCGGACGAACACCCACGTAGAAACTAACGCGACTATACTAACGAAAGACTGAACACACTGGGGTATAATCATTCATATCGAATTGGATAATATCAAAAGAGAGACAAGACAAGGTTAATTATGTTAGAGGAAGAGAGAGAAAGAAAGAAGGGATACAATGGAGTACAAACAAATAGAGAATGAATAAAATCTTCCCTTTGAATCGATTTACGCGAATTACCTTGTACTCGTCAGCGAGTCGTCTTAGTTCGATCACCTCTGCCGTAGGGAATGGTTTCTCTTGCGATTTGCTCGTCGCTTTATCGCCACTTCCCGATATCCTTACGGTTTTACCCCCTGATTTTCTACCCCTGTAAATAATCAATAGCTGATGAGGGACGCGCATATGATATGATTATCGATCGAGAAGGTAATTCATCGTGACTTCATCACACTGATCAGAACCGTCGTAGGTGTGCTTTTAATTCTTCGATCGTATTTAAATTATAAATTTAAAGGAGCTTTAAAAAAAGTCGCGGGAGTCTCTGACCTGAACGCTATTTTTAAATCTGAGGTATCCTCTTCGCGTTCGTCTCCTTCTAGAACCGTTCCATCGATAGTATCCGTACCTGTCCCTCCCACCAATGGTTCTAATTCGGACGCTTGGACCCCTATACATTATATCAATTGTCGAACGATTATTCGAATTGTTAATTAATTATAAAAATTCATAACCGATAGATTTACTTACCGTCCCGTTTATGATCCACGTCTCCAGGTCTTTTCTTATGAACTGGCGCGGGACCAGAAGGTACGATACCCTGTTTGAGTGCTCCCATGCTGAGAGATTTTCTTGGTGGTCCACCGGTACCTAAAGATGCTCCCGTCGATATAATGGGTGCTGCGTCACCATTCGTTAATTGGGGTCGTCTAGGCCATGCGAATTGTAAACGGTATTCAGTACTGATACGAGATATCGCCTTGCTCAGTTGACTAGCTGGTACAGTGCTCGTTACTTCCTACAATCATATTTTTCATTAATAACAATAATATATAAATATATGTTATGATCATTAAAAAAGAAAAAAAAAAAAAAGAAAAAAGATTAAACTCATACAATTCGAATTTACCTGAACCTTATCAGCTACGAGATTCGAATCTATAACATCCAGGCCACCACCGTCCGCCGTCGGAATAAATTCGTGAGTCTTGTACGCCAATTCGGGACATTTCTTTCTTCTTGGCAATGGCGGTTCTAAGGTAGGTCCTAAAACACAAAATATTTGTCAGAGGATACAAAGTATATCCAATCGTTCTTCCTGTTAGAATCGAGTTCAATCTAGGACGACTTTCAGATTCCAATCTCTGGTGCACGACAGCGAGAGAGAGCGCAAATTGTTTCGCTAAATTGCGCGCTTAACGATCGACGCTTATCAAGGGATGATTCAATGGGACCTGGAGCATTGAAACGTGCACTATTTGTTCATATTGTCTGTTTTTTCTTTTCTTTTTCTTCTCTTTTTTTCCCCTTCTCCTTTTTTTCTTTTTTTTTTTTTTTTTTTCTTTTTTCATTCCATGTATTTATACCTGCGAGCTATTACTAATGCGCCACCCTACTGCGGTCGTGCACAAACGAGTATATAATAATCATGCGTTATATTCCAGGCGCATAAGCTCCATCGCAATAATGTCAAGCAGAGCGAGAAGGAATCAAAACTTGAAAATAAATTAATTCGCGTTGCTAAAGTATCATTTGAAAATTTTCGTACATACATATAGATATTCTATAGAAGAGTTCATGCACAGTAATAAAAACTTGTCAAAACTTTGAAAGAGAGAAAAAAGAGGAATATACATATGTATGTCTCAAGTCTTGAATGATGACGGTGAGAGTCGGGCGGAGAGGGTGGGCGAGGGTTACGTTTCGTGTGTCTTCAGGAATACATAAATTATAAATAGAAAAAAAGGACAAACGTATGTGTATCTACGTCGGAACAGCTCTTTGCTTTATCTATGAGATAAGTAAAAGATTGAAAATATTTTCCTTTGTTGTATATTTAAAGGTCATCAAATCTAGCGTAAACCTATTGTATTTATTATTTTTGATTTCTTATACCAAACCTATGTTTTTCTTTCGTAGTAAATTTAAGACGATAGATAGAGAATCCAAAATTTATATTCAGTTTTAAGAGAAAACTGACATGAGATGGACGGATTCGTGTCGTGCGGATTATATATATATATATATACATATATAGAAAGCATTGCCTATAACGAATGTTCGAAATAGGTACACTTACTTTTCTTCTTTGAAATAATATAAAACGGGACGATATATGTATTGTATGATATATTGTACAGGTATGTACTTAACTTGATGGAATATCTTAAGAAGCAAGGTTATTAATGATTAAACGAATTTCGCATGACCAATGAAAGAAAGCGATATGATAGATTTATTTGCGTTATCCCAATATCTCCTATATCTTTTCTTTTTTTTTTTTTTTTTACACAAATAATTTCAATATCTTTACTTGAATTAGAATTTATTGTATTTATTTAGGCATCGTATTGAAAAATTGATATCGTCCAATCCGAAAAAAGAAAAGAATATCTTGATCGATATTTTCATTAATATTTCTTAAAAACAAACGTACATTCATTGAACAGCTTTCCTTCATTGAGAATATTTTCTTGTATTGACACGTCTTCGTTTATAAATTAAAATGTGGAGAATCAAAAGTTAAGATAAAAACGTAACAATAATTTATTTATTGGATATTTGTTTATGGTGTGCGCGTTTGTGATAAAGGAGTGCGAAGGGCGCGGCTTGGAGTATATATAACGAGCGATATAAAGAAAAAAATAATTCACGGATTTCGAATGTCGCCGATCGGTTAATCTTACCTTCGCTGTTCTCGTCCTCGGTTGACTTCGCCGACTGCAGTTTTGCGTTCGCCTGTTTGGCTGTAATGAAAATTCGCAGTTGGGACTGTTCTCTATTTTTCTGTTATCTGATTTTTTTTTTTTTTTATTGTTTATATGTTTTATTTTCTCTTTCTCTCTCTCTCCCTCTCTTTCTTTTTCTTTCTCTCTGTTTCTTGAACGACGTTCAACACCTATTCATATTGTTAGACAATTTCGAGGAACACTCATACCGATGCATAAAAGCAATAAGGAATGGACGTAAAGTTCAACGTGGAAACGAAAGTACCGCAGTCATATAATTCTCGATGTCACGCAACGAACTAGATCTTTTTTTTCGAATTTTCTTCTTCTTATTATTATTACTATATACACACACACACATATATATATATGTATGTATGTATATATATATATATATACGAGCGTAACGTTAAGAAAAATTGTAAAATTATTCTCTATAAAATTATTATATTCTACGTTTCTATAAAGTGTTTAGACACTGTCGGCGTACCTTTGAATTAGTATAACGGAGCAAAGTAGGAGAGGCGAGACCGTAAGAATTCTCTACGTCAATCGGTAGAACGATCTTACTTAACCCCATTTTTTTTGGGATTAGTAAACGCATCTATGTTTCGTGACTAAAGGCAACGAGCTGACGTAACATCGATACAGGAACATTAAACTATGACGATATACGATAAAATGTAACGTGCAAAGAACTACATAATATATATATATATCGTTATTATTGTTCGATTGTGTGAAAGGAACTAGTGAACGGTCAAAATTACGATAACAAGAAGAGTTTTTTAGAAAAGAAAGGTATAAAAAAAAAAGAAAATAGGCAAACTCCGTTCGGTAACGTACAGTACAATGGGGATCAATCCTCGACGTTTAATAATTTTTTTTTTTTTTTTTCAATAGTGCATAAACAGATCGCAGAGAAAATATCTTATAGCCTTAGTGTGAGAGTGAATCAAGATCAGACATAATGTGGAGCGTGTGCGATAATGAAGTAACCACGAGGAAGTAGCACATATTGAAATAAAACCACTAAGAACATCCTTAAGGGCAAAGTAAGAAAAGAAGGGGCGGGCGGGCGGGCGGGGTGAAGAGAAAGGAATTCAATAAAGCTAATCTCGGCCCTGAAAATATAAACACGAATCCGTGGACTTTGTAACGTTTCAATTTAACAACTGAGTCGTTTATGTGAAAACAAAAAGAAAAAAAAGAAAAGAAGAGAAAAAAAAAAGAAAAAAAAATCGAATGAAGTCTCGTAGAATTCATTTCTCGTTTAAAATATTTAAGCGATACGATAGCGAGTATCAAATCGTTTTCGCAATTCTTTTAATTCCGCTCCTAAACGAAGCTTCTCCCTCTTTCTATATCAACCTCGTTCAGACAACGAATTGAGCCAAGCTCAGCTTGAAAAAAAGAAAAAGGAAAAGAAAAGAAAAAAATATTTGCCAACGTCTGCGAATGAGATCCACTTATGAGTCCATCGGAAAATAACGGAACACGAGAAGAATCGCGTTGGCTGTTTAAAAAGAGCTACGATTTAGAGCGAACTATTGGAAAAGAGGCCGTAGAGAGAAGGGGAAGCCTCATTGCGAGCGGAACGTAGCAGCGGAAGAACGATTTGTTGCTGGTTATCGTACGTATACTACATACACACATATGTGTATATATATATGTGTATATATATATATATATACATATATATGCATATATATATATATATACACGTTATATGTATATTTCACTCTAATAGCGTTTCTAATGTTCAGCGCATCGATAAAAAAGAACTCATCTTAATATATATTGTATATACGTGAGGCCATGGATTCACGTCTATCGATGATGATGTTATATGCTCATCCAAACGTCGCCAGCGAATCATTTGTTATACGATTACGACAAAAGCTTGATAAAATGTTGAATTGTCTTTTCTATATTTGGGTTGTTTCTTTTTTTTTTTTTTTTTTTCTTTTCTTTTTTTCTCTTTTTCTTCTCTAATATCCAATAAAAAACTTACTGGACGTCGGTGGTGGTTGAGGCGCCCGGCGAACAATTGTATGCTCTTGTTGCGGCCCTGTATATTCGTGCCATGTGTACGTGCTCCTGTATTCCGAATGGAGCTGCTGTAACAAATAATTAATGTTATTTGGAGAACGGCTTGAAATTTATAAAGGTATTAATTTTTTTTTTACATCTTAATTCTCAGTTAGAAAAGTTTCTAAAATGATCTTATTAATTTTTCTTTGGACTTGATATTAAAAGTCAATTAATTATCGAAGCTCGTAATAGGCGGAGTTATGAAAAAAAAAAAAAAAGAAAGAAAGAAAGAAAAAAATAAATAAAAGCATACTACTTTCCAACGCGCAAGCTTTCGTTACGCAACACCTGCAATATTTGACATATGTCCGCATCGTGGACGGTGCCCCAACGTTTCTTGGCGTTCGATTATACGTTGACCCATCAATTTCTATGCCAACGGGGTTTTGCACGTAAAAAGATCGTTTGAAAATTATAATGAATCTAAAAGGCCGGTCTAGGTACGAATGGCATAGTCATTTCCTTCGGGCATGCGCAAATTCCATCGAGCGACGATATCTTGCGAATTAATTCGTTGAACTCGCAAAAAACTATGAAACTATTGAACTTTCTTTGAGGACTTTTTATAATCCTTGCCAAGAAAGTATAATTACAAGCTACATATGAATTTACGACCACGATGCAGTCATGCAATTATTATCGTTGAACGTATTCATATATTTCGTTCATTCTTAATCATTTTCCTTTCATATTTAATTTAATTGCGGCAATACGAAAAAAAGAAAAGATAAAAAAAAAAAAATAAAAAAAAAGAAACCCCAAAATGTAAAAATATTTTCAATCAAATTTATCGCGATCGAACTTTAACGAGATCCAATCCCATATAATGTAAATATTTAAAAAAAAAAAGATAATTATTCTTTGAACGAAGGTAAGAATTTAAACGATCGAAAGGAATAATAAATAATTTGATAAAAGTACTCTCTCATCGATTTTTCAAGCTCCTTCGGTTTTCCGCGAAAGCATCATTGGCGAAGGCGGAAAAAGACGTTTTTACCGCAATACTCTCCCCCTCCCTTGTATCCTGACGGCGCCGTTGCTGTCGCCATCGTCGTAGGCGACGGTGGTGGCAGCGGCACCACCAGCACCGCCCTAGAAACGTCGATCGAGCAAAAGAGAAATTCGCTCTCGACGATTCTTCTTCTCACCTTGTCAATCGGCATCGAAGGACACGCACGACAAAGGTTCCAGAATGAACCGATCATGAGGCCGCGGTGTATGGGGCAGTGCAAGGATGGTGACACACAGCCGCTATTACAGCGACGGGTCCTTTAGAAGCGACGATCTTGCCCACGGGCCAGGCCAGGTTGCCTTCCTCCCGTTGAATATTCGTGACAATTATAATACACAACAAAGATTCACGATTTTCTTCCTTCCTCTTTCCTCTTTAGTATTTTATTGTTATCCTTGATTTTCTTCCTCTTCTTTGTCGTTTAATTTGATGTAATTTCAAATCGATGTAATCTCTAAGAGAATGCCGTCTTTTTGATTCTCAACTCTAGGAATAGAGTCCCATGAACGTAGTAGCATCGTCGTTGTCATCATTATTATCATCATCATCATTATTATCATTATTATTATCATCATCATCATCATCATCATCATCATCATGATCATCATCATCATTATCATCATCATCACCATCGATGTCATCGTCGTGATAAATCCGTGTGACAGGAAAAATCGAAACAAAATTAATAGACTTATGCTTTAATCACTTATGCTTAAAGACTTATGCTTTAATTTCTCAATTAATGAATTTAAAGTTATGTTATTTCTAAATATTTTGGACGTTCGAGTAACTTTTTTAACTATCGTAATTAACGACAGAGGAAAAAAATCCACTTTTCAAATACAGAAGTGATCGATAAATTTGGCCAAAGTGTTATGAGAGCTTTCAATCTAAAACCGATAAAAAGGATTGGATCGAATATTTTTAAGGGCTGTCACTCGATCATCACTAACGATGGCTTTCCGCTGTCTTTCCGTTAAGCACGAGGGTTTCCTTTTCCGTCCTCCCTCCCTCTGTACCTCCCTTGCTCCCTCCCTCCCTCCCTCCTTCCCTCTTTCCCTCTCTCTCTCTCTCTCTCTATCTCTCTATCTCTCTCGTTTTCTTACTCCCTTCTTCTTTTATCCTTTTCAATCGCGATTATAATCGAAACGTATATTACATAGCCAATTTCATCGATCATCAATAGCCGATACACCTGGGCAGGTTGATTTTTGACAGATCGCTCGATAGAAGAAATTTTCTTCTTGATCACTTAATGGAAATAAATGCATGTGAAATCAAATGTAGATAGTTATGATGACAACAAGGATATCCTTGTGTTAGAGGATGTTAAGCAGAGAGAGAAAAAGCGAAAGAGAGAGAGAGAGAGAGAGAGAGAGAGAGAGTCAAAAAGAGAAAGAGAGAGAGAGAGACAGAGAGAGAGAGAGAGAGAGAGAGAGGATAAAATGGAAATAAAAAAATAATAAGCGAAAAATTCGTCGAGGGAAACACATACGAAGAGAACGACGACGAGGACTTCTCGAGATTAGCCGACGAGACGAAACGACGAAACGACGAGACGGCCAGACGAACGGAGCAAGAACGAAATCGTGAGAGGCACTGGTCCAACGTCGCACCACCGATCGCACCGACGTTGCGTAGGGCGCCGCGTCGCCGGCAAGACGGCTACCACCACCACCACCACCATCGAGTCATGGCAGGAGGGTTGTGACGGAGGCGCAGGCGCTAAACCGTACCGGGTCGATAGTCCGCAACGTTACTCCCCCGTGGTTACTCCCTACTGCCTGTATCTCCCTCTTTCTCTCTCTCTCTCTCTCTCTCTCTCTCTCTCTCGCTCTCTCTCGCACCACTCCTCTTCCTCCCTTATAAGTACTGCCCTCCTACCCCTTTCCTTACACTAACACTTACGCTCTCGCGCACGCTCTCTTTTAAATCGCACATTTATTCGCTCGCTTGTTCGTGTCTATCTCCGTCTCTTTTCCTCCTTCTTCGTCCTCGTCGTCGTCCTCGTCGTTGTACGTTGTGTCTATTCCGCTTACTTAGAATTTCTGGCTTCATGCCTCCGGCTTATCCGTTGTCAATATTACCATTTCTTAGTTTCATCGTTACGAACGGTCAGAGTTCACCCTTCTCTTTTGGTCCTTTTCTTACATTATATGTAGTCCACTTACCGACTTATCTTCGCTTTCTCATCCTTCCGACTTCTTCTTCTTCTTCTTCTTTTTCTTCTTCTTCTTTTTCTTCTTCTTCTTTTTCTTCTTCTTCTTTTTCTTCTTCTTCTTTTTCTTCTTCTTCTTTTTCTTCTTCTTCTTTCATTAACTTTCTTTTCGATTTTCTCTCCTTCGACAATGCCCTCTATGTATAAGGCAACCCGCAAGACAACAGATTAATATCTGCAACATCTATTATCCCGATAATTCTATCGTTCTAAAGGTTCACCCATCCTTCTCCATTCAGATCACTTCCGTTTCCTCCTGTGGCCGATCTTTCTTCCTTCTTCTTCTTTTCCTTCCTTTTACCTCCTACCAAAAAATAATGTTCCTTCTATTTTTTTTTTTCATTGCGTCCTTCCTATCCTAAACCTCCCGCCCCCACCCCCCCCTTCGTCCTGTCACGTACCAGGCGCCACGATGTCTAGGCGGGGTTATAACGTTGACTATCTTCTATGAGTGCACCCGCACTCTCCGTTTGTTTGCAGCAGTCTTTTCCTTCAAGCACTTCGGGAACCAATAAGTTTCTTCATTTCTCTTAAGAACGCGACAAAGCTGAAAAAATTCACGGTTCGTCGTATAACGGTTTAACTTTAGTCATCGGGTGGAATAATTTGTGATAATATAGATAGACATTCTGCTGAAGATTATTTTGTTAATTCGTTAAGTTCGCAATTGGCGAAGGAAGAAATAGAATAGAGCTCGATAGAAACCCCCGAGGTCGCTTTGGCTTTCGTATCCGTGAGAAACAATGTGATTTAGCTCCCCGTTTGAAAAGACGATACTCGCTTAACGAAGCACCGTGGTTCTCTCTCTCTCTCTCTCTCTCTCTCTCTTTCTATCTCTCTCTATCCCTTTTTGTGTATATATATATATATATATACACGTCTTTGTATTGGATTGAGAATACTTTCGGAAACAATGTAAGTACGATCGGCAACGTAACTTGATGCCATCCTGACGCGGGATCTTTCGTCGTGGGCCATCGAGTGTTATTCGATGGCCACTAGCTACTCAGGGGGTACGTGTGTACGTGGTGTATGTATGTAGATATAACTGTGACCCAATTCGTAGAAAAATTTCCTACCTACGGTGGTGCGTGTGTAATTAAAATAGAGCTTTTTTTTTTCTTTATTTTTTCTTTTTTTTTTTTTTTCTTTATTCTTTTATTTTTTTTTTTACATAAGAACAAAAAAAACGTGACGATACGTGAAGCGAAAAGGAGGAACGTTCGTTTATATTTTTCAATTCTCTTTATTCTCTCTTGCCTTTTGAGATATATTTCAAGATATATCTCAAAGGTTTTGTCATTTTTCTTCAAAGGTTTTGTTCAAATAAAGCGGCGATCATTTTCCATATCTTATCTTTCGTTATCAAAAAGCAGAAAGACAGATGTTACAAATAGAGGAGCTTAGAGAGGTTCTATTATCCTTTTGTAAACATGGATGATCATCTTGAGCCATACGAAATTGTCACTTACCTGGACGATCGAGTTTAGTTTCCCCGATGGGTTTGGATTTAAACAAACATGCTTTGTGACATGCGATCTTAAAATAGAATAATGCAAATCGATCGTTCTCAGCAAGGAATTATTCCGAGTTTCAGAATGACAACAATTCTATCCTATGAATGGATACCACATTCTCTCATCAATATCTCTCTTACTCTCTCTCTCTCTTTCTCTCCCTCTCTTTCTTTCTCTATCTATCTATCTATCTACTAACATAAACTACTCGAGGGTAAGGCGAGACTAAAACTCTAGAATAAATTCGCTCACAGGAAAACTTCTCTCACATGGAGCGTCTACTAGAAATAAATCAATAAGGTTTGTAACCCCCCTTCCCCCACATAGATTACGACCTAGACTGCTAAATTGTCTTCATTGTTTTTCTCTTTTTATACTGCATCAAAGCGAAGGCGCAACTGTTTTTTATTATTATTTTTCTTTCTTTCTTTTTTTTTTTTTTTTTTTTTTTTTACTTTTGCAGATCAACAAAGACGTTTTTTATTTGTCTACAAATATATCTCAACACGCGTCAATATACCTATACCATTACGAAATATCATATTTAATAAAAATAAACTCGATCTCCATTTCAATCGGTGATTATGAAACTGTATAGTTTAAGTCGAAGTTAAAAAAATTTTGTTTTTCAATTACTATTCATTACACAATTCGTACAACTACGTAATAGATCTTAGATTTATTTTAATATCTTATTTAGATCACCTTTCATAATCACTTAATAACTTGTCACGATCAATTTGCAATAGAATTTCATTTTAATCCGTTACGTAAATTCATATTTTAATCCATCGATTAATCCAATCTGTATATAGTTAATAATAATTATAACAGGTATTTAATACAATTAATGATTAGAATGGTAGAACATTCGATGAATCTTCTTACGTAACAGAAGTAGCACGTCAACTTGAATTTCTTTAGCTATACAAGACACAATAGCAAAGTAGTTCAAGTAGATACTGTCGAAGTGGAATCATCTAGTGTTATTCTATACACGTGCAACGACCACGTGTACACATAGAAACACAAACTGTCATATAAACACGTACCTACTTGAAGCATAGAAAAAAATCAACGAGTATCGAGGACTTTCTTTTATCCACTGAATTAACAAAATCTATTTTTTTTATTTCTTTTTCTTTTTTTTTTTCTCGAAATCAATATATACTATTGCTTGTATCTAAGAATTAAAAACTTCAATTGAAATAAAATTGAAATCACTATCGTTAGAATCACACAGAATATACGAAATAATATTTAAAATCAATAAAAATCTGTATTTTATATATATATATATATACATAAATGTTATTATAAAAATTTTAAATATCTTTTACCATTCTTATTTACTTTTTTTTTTTTTTTTTTTTTTTAATTAATAAAATGGTACAAGTATCGTCAACGCATGTAGATGCATGATAAAGATAAAAATCTAACATACGTATGTATATAACGTTATAATAATACGTATGTATAAAAATAATTGTCTCTAAGGGAAATACATTTCAATGCTAACCTAAAAAAAAAAAATATTCTACCAAGGACACTACTATGAAGACTTTTAAGGAATGGGTTATTTATAGGTCCTGTTAAAAAATAAAACATTGCAATTGTCTGTTTATCAAATGTCGTTTATGTTGTCATGTCTTACAGAGAAATTTTCTTTTTTTTTTCTTTCCACCCCCTCCCCAATAATTATTATACAAGCATAAAAATTAGTTTATACTTGATAAATGAAGTATCACGGACCAAAGGAGATGGGAATTTAAAAAAAAAAAAGTATATCAATTGTCATCATAAATATGTTAAATATTTTTTTTTTTAATTGACGCGTTCATTAATTCATAAAAATTTATTCGATCATTATTAAATAGTATGAAGTTTACCAACCGTAGTTGATCGTAAATGTTATTCAATTTTCGCGCCATATTCTGCCATATTTTTTTTTGTGAATAATCATTAATTAAAAAAGAGACAGAGAGAGTTAAATTAAAAGAGAGAGAGAGAGAGAGAGAGACAACAACACATACAAGCCAACGAAACTTAATACGATAAATGTTTCCAGAGAACATTTAGTCTCACGGGAATCATTTTAAGCACGTTAAAAGCCATTAATTATTGTACGATCGTTGATATTAAAAGATCAGTGATCTCCTTTGATAAAATCACTATCGCGCAATTTTGTTTTTGTTCTTTTTTTTTTTTTTTTTTTTTTAACGTAAACGAAAAACTTATCATTTGCGAATTTTTCTTTTACTTAGTTTCGACTAATAGATACGTAAATTAAATTACATACTCATCACTTATATCAAGTACTACTCATAAAAATCAGGCATATACACAGTACATACATACACACACACACACACACACACACATACATACACACACACTGCATCCTGTTATATTCTGTGAGAAAATAATAATCAGTGCTTCGCGCATGCGTCGTGCGCATTCTAGTCCGGTACTCGGTCTGCGGCGTCGATCGCTAAAGGTTTATACCATTATTGTACGACGATGTGGTGTGTATGTACATACATACGAGAGACAGAGAAAGACAGAGAGAGAGAGAGAGAGAAAGAGAGAGAGAGAGAGACAAACAAAAAAGGAGTTAAAGGGACGACGTTGAGAGAGAGAGAGAGTGTGTGAGAGAGAGAGAGGAGGGTAACAGGCGCAAGAGGAATAAAGAGGAAAGAAAAAAAGAAGAACACAGCGGATTAGTGATCAGGGAAGAAAAAGGTCCGACAGTGGAATCGAGAAGTGTCACTACGTTTGTCGATGCGCTTTTTTTTGTGTGCTCTAGTCCATGCTACTTCCAACTTAGAACACGATCCTCCATGCGTTGAAATTTCGTACTGGACACTGAACGTTTCGAAACTTCGTCTCGATCATCGGTGTATATACTATATGTACATATATATATATATATATATATATATATATATACATATACACACATATAATATATGTATATATTGTATATACAATCGTTCAAAAGATTAACGAGTTTTACTTTCGCACACTCACCAGATATTGTTTGCAATGTTTTTTATGCTTAACGCAGGAGCGTTTCTTCTTCTTCGAATTGCCCGCAGCTAGTCCGTTGTTCGATTTCTCTTTGCGAGGCGTCGACAGCTGATTACTCTTGTTCGCGGGCATCGTCCTTTTTTCTGCCGTTCGCAGAGAAAGATAAAGAGAAAAGGCGAGAAAGAAAGAAAGAAAAAGAAAGAGAGAGAGAGAGAGAAAGAGGGAAATAGAGAAAATTGGTCAAAAGAGATCGTCGAACGTCTTACTCTCGGATGGATGCCAAGCGAATGTACCTTCGTCGTCTTTCTGTCCTACGACGAGAGTGATTGATGACAGGCTTGAAATTTTTCTCCCTACTGGATTGGACCGATGCAGGTGCGCTGCGCGCAACGTATGCGCACGAAGGTTTTCTCTCTCTCTCTCTCTTTCTCTCTCTCTCTTTCTCTCTCTCTCTGTTTCTCTCTGTCTCTCTTTTTACACGATCTCAAGTTTCTCTATCTCTTTCTCTTTCTCTCTCTCTCTCTCTCTCTCTCTCTCTCTCTCTCTCTCTCTCTCTCTTACTCTACTACGAAAGAGAGAGATAAAAAGTTATGACACGCGTAATAATAATGAACTATTTCTGTCTACGAAGCCACACCTATGATAGATGTAAAACAGTCGATTAAGATCTCTCGATATATTCGTTTTCTTTCTTTTTTTTTTTTTTGTACTTTTCATGCGATCGTAATATGCCTACTAAATCTACTAGTGTGCACGGCGTGGCAGGACGGGAAAAAAGAGGGTGACGATGTCGCACCGACAAAACACGAACGTACAAGATTTATCGACGAAACTTCCCGACGCGAAATGATGTAATCTATGTCACTGAACCTTCCCCATTAAATCACTTCCTCCTATTCCTTCTTCCGCACTTCGCCAGAGATTTTGCTTTTTCTTTCTTTTTTTCTTTTTCTTTTCTTTTTTTTTTGTTTTTTTCTTGTTGAACACATCTTTATCGGTGATTTAGAAATTTGAAATTACCGCCAATTTATCCTTATATGTTTTAATAGTCAAATGTTGAACAAATTATAGTTATAATTACGAAATGTGAATTAATTCGTATATCTGTAGTTATCAGTAATGTGTTGTGTATTATTATTATAACCACAAAGATGGAATAAAACTTTAAACGATAAGAATATTTTTCAAGAAAGTTGTTATAATAATATTCTATCTTACCGACTGATTTCTGGATGTATATATGCATCTGTTTATAGACATAGCAGAGTAGAATAGAGGTACACAGACTTAATAATTCACAAATAATTCACACGTTTATTCGAAGTTACGTAATTATCGATAGGCAATCTATATCGAAATAAATCCAGCAAATCACGAGCACTGTTCAATCTGTTTTATCGATACTTTCTTTGTAACGAAATAGAGGGCGACTATCTTTATGGTTTATGCGCCATCTTTTTCCAGCTTGTGCGTTATTTTGACAAGTTAGGTTATATACTGTTACACGTGATATTCTGAATAATAATTCTATGATATTCTGAATAATAATTCTTTGTATTAAAATGGACGCATATGATATTTTTAAGAAACTAGCGGTTGGATCGAAATTCAACATGCGACGCTTTCAATCAGATGCAAAGAAATTCAAGGTAATAATTTTTGTAATAAGTATTAATTCCAAAATTATAAGGTTAGGAAATAGAATTATTTCTCTAAAATTTAGTAATATATATTTCCGATAGTTAATTAATAAGCAAATTCAAAATATACCGAAAATCGATGAAGTAGAAACAAATGGATTTGCCAATGTTTGTGCCAAAACATCTCTTAAAAGAAAATATGAGGAAGATGAAGAAGAAAAGAAGATTGATACATTAACATTAATTGAAGGAATGTCTGTTCCTGTAGATGGAAGTAAAGTAAAAACCAAAATGAATAAAAATTCTATTACAGAAGCTAAAAAAATTAAATTGGAACGTGAACAGGTATGAAATTTAATGTAAAAGAAAAGATATACAAATAGCTATACTTGTAACTTATGTTTTTAGATCAACCAATTTCGTAATCAGCATCATATATCAGTCACTGGTAGTCATGTACCTAAATCCATAGCTACGTTTGATGAATTATTAACAGAATATCAAGTATCTAAAAAATTGTTAGATAATATGAAAGAATGTGGTTATGAAGAACCAACACCTATCCAAATGCAGGCAATACCTGTCTTATTGCAGGTATATTTATGTCCCATAAGTTTTTATTATGGTAAAATAGGTAAAGAAATTATTTATAAAAAATATGTAATAGTAAATAATATTCATTCTTTTTTTTATAATTAGAATAGGCAATTATTGGCTTGTGCCCCAACAGGCTCAGGAAAAACTGCAGCTTTTTTATTACCAATTATTCATCATTTGAAAGGTCCACAAAAACAGGGCTTTCGAGCTATTATTTTAAGTCCCACTAGAGAATTAGCTAAACAAACATATAGAGAATGTTTACGGCTTAGTGAAGATTATGGCTTTAGAATACATATTATAAGTAAAATTAATCAAGCATTTTCCAAATATGGCCCTAAAAGTTCACAAAAGTTTGGTACGTTTATTTCATTGGTTTAGTAATTTATCATATTTGTGTCTTTTCTTTGTATTATTAATTTATTGTACTTTAATATATTTTAATTACATATATATATTTAACTTCGATTGCAGATATATTAATTACTACACCAAAAAGATTAATATTTTTATTGAAACAGGAACCACCTGCCATTTCCCTAGCTAAGTAAGATATAAAAAATAAAATTTTTTTTTACTTTATATAATGAATAGTTAATAAAAAGAATATTTTCAGCGTACAATGGTTAATAGTAGATGAAGCTGATAAGCTTTTTGAAGATGGAATGCGAGGCTTCAGAGATCAATTAGAAGAAATTTCAACAGCATGTACAAATTCTAATTTACATCGTGCATTGTTTAGTGCAACGACTACACCTGTAGTAACAAAATGGTGTCGTAAAAACCTCAAAGGTCTTATTACTGTTACTGTCGGTCAAAGGTATATATTTCCTCAATGATAAATACGTCTTTTTATCAATTATTTGTAACTTTTGTCTTTGTTCTTTTATTTAGAAATTCTGCTGTAAATCTTATAGAACAAGAATTATTATTTGTTGGTAGTGAAAGAGGAAAACTTGTAGCAATTAGAAATATTATACTAAAGGTATGAAAAATATCACATGTAAAAAGTTTGACATAACATAACATTACTTATTCATATATTCTAAACAATATTGCTATTGAGATAATTTCTTTAAAATTAAAAGGGTATTGCACCTCCGGTATTAGTATTTGTACAAAGTAAAGAAAGGGCACAAGAACTCTTTAGTGAACTCATTTATGATGGCATAAATGTTGATGTTATTCACGCTGATCGAACTCAGACACAGGTATTGTTGTACAAAGCATTTTTTAATACAAATCAAAGAGATTATTGTTACTAATATCGTGTACGAAAAATTGTCTTTTAGCGAGATAATGTAGTACGTTGCTTTAGAGAAGGAAAAATATGGGTGTTAATATGTACAGAACTAATGGGTAGAGGTATTGATTTCAAAGGTGTAAACCTTGTAATTAATTATGATTTTCCACCATCTACTATTTCATATATACATAGAATAGGTTTGTATTATAATCGTAAAAATTAGTTACAAGTAAAACTTGTTACAAGTAAAATATTTATTAATACTTTTATATGTAGGTAGAACTGGTCGAGCTGGTCATAAAGGAAAAGCAATTACATTTTTTACAGAACAGGATACAACAAATTTAAGAAGGTTATTTAAACACATTAATCATTAAAAATATTAATTAGAATATTGTATTATAATAAAGTATTATACTTCTTTCTTTTTTCAATTAGTATTGCAACAGTTATGCGTGCATCAGGTTGTGATGTTCCAGAATATATGCTTGCTATGAAAAAACATAGTAAAAAAGAGAGGCGAAAACTTGAACGAACAGCTCCTGAACGGGATACTATATTGACAGTACCAAAATATAAGCAACATGTGATAAAAAAGTCGAATAAAAGAAATCCTATGAATATTAAAAAAACGACAAAAGATACGCACTAAGTATACCAATTAGAGATATATTAAATATGTAAATTTCATTTTATTATAATATATGTCATGGAAACAAGATTTGATATTGATTATATATACATTTTTTATATGACCAATAATAAAAAATATATAAATCTTTGAAATATATTGAAATAAAAAAATAACGTATTTATAATTATCAATATAATATTCTTTTACGTTTCACATAGCCAATCACAAGGCAGCTTTGGCATCTTATTGGCTGGCCATGGCAAATAACCAGCAGTTTTAAATACCCAATAATCATAAGAAACTTTAGCTATCAGACTTATCAATAATATCACTTCAGTAGCAATTATGTAATAAATATAATCAGTCCAATCTCCAGGATAGACACACATTTTTGATGGCTCTAAATCAACCACCTTTTCTTTTACATTTTCGCATAAAACTTCATCTGAATCTAATATACGTGTTTGCAACCACACCTAAATATTAAAATATAAAATTAATAATAAAATACATTAGAATTAATATCATCTTATAATCTTTTTCTTACCTTTAAATATTTAGCGGTATTACAATCACAATGCAATTCATTTCCACCAAGTTTAACTAATCGAGAACTTACAAAACTTTTATCATGCACATTAAGACTTAAAATATAAGTTGGAAGCTGGAAGAATAAAATATTTCATAACTAAAGATAATAAAATATTTACATACATTATAAATATAATTAATAAATTGTTACCGATTTAATTTTATTGTATCTTAAACTGAGTAGTGCATAATTGTCTAAAAATTTGGAACCTTCTAATTTATTGATTGATGATATATTATTATAGTCAGCATAAAATTCACGTATATCTTCATAACATGGATTGGTACTCAAATCATCTAATACTGTGATCTATGAATGAGATTAATATAAGTAATAATTTTCTTTTTTAGAATAAATAAAGAAATATTAAATACATACATTATTGTAAGAAACATTTAGTGCTATCGTGTTGCGTGGTAATTTGTCCGGTAATTCTGTTAATTGTATCCCACTACAATCCACATTTACTGCTAATGTAGGTGGTTTTCCTTCGACTATATCTAATCTTCTAAAATTACATTGACATTGCCAAGTATCACCTTTTGGACATTCTGTCTGCAACTAAATATAAAATAATCTCTATCATCTTATATTACATATAAATATTATACATTTTGTTCTTGTTATGATTCATAGATAGACAATAAAATGTAATTAACGAATTAAAAAATTTATGATCATATTAATACATACCAGACTAAGATAACGCACTTGTTGCAATGGTACTTGTTCTGTAGTATTAAACCAATGCCATGTTTTACTTGCAGAACATACTGTTTCATTTTCCCTATTAAAATTAATTTGTTTCTCTCCTGTTTTATTGATATATTGATAAATGTCATGACACCAGAGAGTATTAGTTCCTATGAATAACAAAGTAATATCCTATTTGGCTATTACTCCATATATGTAATTAACATAATTAATATTATAACAATATGAAAGAGATAATAGAATGCGCATTTACCAGAAATGTCAAGCCAAAATTCTCTACCATTCATTGTATTCAGTGCAGGTAAATGCGTTAAATTATTATAAGATAAATCCAAAGTAGTAAGTTGTGCTAATCTAATTAATGAATTATTGTCTACTTCGATTAGAGCATTGTTTGAAAGATTCAAACATAACATTGGTGCCAATATGAGGAATTGCCCCTTGACACGATTTATTCTTCCATCGGTTATGGCAAGTGACTTTAAACTTCTCCATCGTGTTTCTGTGGCATCAAATATGTCCAAGGTAGCATTACGAATATGAACATAAGATATATTTGATTGAAATCCTAATGGCAATAAATTGTTAAATTTCATTAAACGCTTTACTAGAAAACTAATATACATTTATAAAATAAAAAATATATATATTTTATTATACATACATATATATATATATATATATATATATATATATATATATCGTATAAATCTTAAGACATAAACTGTTATAAATATATTAAAATTATTTAAGGATAAAAAAAATTATTAATTAGGCTTACCAACGCATGAGAAACCATATTTGAGAGTATGATTATCTAAATTGCAACAAAGTACTGCGTCACTTTCGTAATTGCGCGATAGATTAATTTTCTTACATGGACAATCGACGTTTAAGTCAGGACAATCGGATGGTGGCCGATAAAAACATTGTTCCGAAAGTCCTGAAAAAATTTCTGTAATTCCGTTGGTATTGGAACTACTCGATGCCTGTTGATCTTCTTCTGTACGTGCATACACCACCCCCACATACAAAAGGCATATTATCACTATTTGGCACTGCATCTGTCCATTAAAAATTTCTCGTTCTTATCAACCTCGTATATTTTTTTTTCCTTTCACATTTACATTCTTTATAGATTTTTAATTTACAAAATTTCTTTCTTATGCGTTAACGATATCCTTTGAAAAAATAATTTTCACCTTTTTATTCTATCCTATTTATATATATATATATATATATATGTATATATATATATTATATACTTTTTTCATCGTCTTCTTTTTACCCCATTAGCCGACTAATCCCATTATTTATACTTGTAGACTTCTTTCCTTTTCTCCTCTTCTCTCTTCTCTTTTCTAAATATTATTTCTGAGATAATATTTCCGATATGTGTATGCATACGAGTGTGTGTGCTGTGTGTGTGTATATATATATATATACATATATATATATACACGCTAGCTTACCGATAACATTCACAATGAAAAATTACGGCGACAAATTTTTTCTTTCTTTACTGATTACGATTCTTACTATTTCATTAACGTCACACATTTTTTTCTTGTTGTTATAATTATTACTACGAATATATATACAATATGTATGTATATATATATATAATAATTTGTCTAAATCGTGTACTTGTTTTCACACATAAGCCTTTTGTACCGTTGCCAACTATATACAATGATGGACATGAAAATGTCAACATTTTATCTTTCTCCCTCCCTTTTCCTTTCTTCATCACTCTCCTCCACGTCTTATTACTCATTTTCATAATATTCCATTCCTCCCGTCATATGAAAACTAACCCTGCAATAAATTGATATATTATTGATATCGATTTTCATTTTAATTTTTTAAGTTTATCTATGTCGATTGATAAGGTATTATTATTAATTAAATTATTACATTAATGTCGGGATTAAAAGTAATATCGTATAAAATTCGATTGTATTAAAACGTTTTATTTGTTAACAAAAAGGACTCTTATCTTCTCCTCGAGATAAAATTATAAATAATAATAATAATAATAACTAAATTTTATATGTTTATATTTCATCGACTTTCGTCGACGAAAAGATAAGGCTAAAAAAAAAAAAATTGTGAGTATACAATTTTTGTTATTCTTTTTATTGCATTGATAAGAGAAAATTATCAGAGTTTCTCGTTCATCTTATGAACTGACATAAACGAGTAAATTCACTTAACCATGAGGACTTTTTGGGTCACTCGGGTTGACCCGCTAACGAACTAAAATTGGTCAAAGTGTCATACTTATTACGCTCTCTTCTTGCGATTCGAATCATAACTTGTTGCATGAATCACTGTTTCTTTTTAAGATTATTTGTTATGCATCGAACGCGAATATATTTGATGAACTTGTGCGTATATCATATCTGATTACGTACATAAATATACTACAAATTTATTTATTTATTTTATAAAGCTTATTTATATAAACTTAACTTAATAAATTCGTAATATTTATAATATTAGATTTTATAATGTTAAAAAATTTTTTATTGAATAAATAAAATATAAAGTTTAACATAAATATTCAACTTATACGTTATCTCATTTAAATACACATTAAAAATGAAAATATTGAATGTATGTGAAGTCGTATGAAATAAATTTATTAAAAATATAGGCACCCCAGGCAAAAGAATATTTACAAGATTATGATTTGTACAAAGAATATCTAGAAGTAACATTCAAAGGCACAGTGATCTTATTTCATCTCCATGGTTTTCTAACTGTTCCTGCACTAGTACTTCTTTTAATGGTTTGATCTGTAACATATGCATCGCTTCATTTGCATCAACTTATCAATCATTATTTATGATTCTTGAACTAATACAACATATAACTTACGTGTATTCGGTGAGATAAGATGTTGTGAAATTTCAGAAGTCCAAGTCTGACATCTAGCTCTAGATGAGTGTAATTGAGTGATAATTGGCGATTGGTAATCTCTCATCCTATAAGAGCATTAATAAATAATAAAGATAAAATATTTATTAAATGTAGTATATATAATATAATGATAGGATGGATATATAAAATATCACATTGATAATCCTATAAACTTATTGTAATTCATGCTATATTATTATTAATATTATGATTTAAATAATATAAATAGAAGTTCTTTTACACAAAGTAGATTCTAGTATAAAAAAAAGAAAAAATAAATAAATAATTAAATTATCAACTAATAAAGGTTTATAGCAAAAATATAAATAAATTACTTTCTTAAATAATATGTTTAAAGTCTAAATATGCTCTTCTAGGAGGTGAGAATATGGAAAGTGCTATATTATACAGAATCATACTCTTTGAGCTTTTTCCTTGCTAGGGTCCTCTGGGTAGCAAATGAGTATGATCGTGCTGAAGTTGGACGTTCAGTGCGACACCGTTTAATTTCACGATCATGCGCTATTATTTTCATTTTGTATGCGGGACTTTGAGTAAATAATTCCACTATATTCATGGATGCTGCATCACACTTTTAAAAATGAAAATTTTATCATAAATATATGGGACTACTAAAGAAGTACATGCAAATTTTTAATATTCCAAAATTTACTATTAATGCTATGATAGTAGTACTCTTATATGTATAATTATAACATAGAGTTTATATTTTAAAAAATTATTAGAATTAAATTCTATGCATTATTATTCACTTTGAAAAGTAAAAATGAATTGTAATTTCTAAATATATGTCGATTAACTAGCAAGCATTCACAAGTGTTCTTATTTTTGTAAATGCGAAACCAAAGTTACCTGTAATTGTAAACGACGTAAAAAATGCAGTTCTGATAAATCAAGAGGTGCATCGACATGTAGTTTAAGCATACATTGCAATGCTTCTTTGTATGTATTTTTTAAAGTAATCACGCGATCTGTTTTCATTAACCTGCGTACTAAATACCCTCGTGTATACGCATTGATAATAGATGCAGCTTGTATCTGTAATATAAATATTTTCAATTGTTTAAGGATATTTTTAATACATAAAATATATCAATATGACAAAGAACTTTTTTTCTTTTTACATCTTACGTGTTTCTCTGCATACATAGAACTGTCAATGATGGGAACATGTACAGTTTTACAGTCTAATGGAAATAACCGACGGCTAATTGTAGATTTTTTACTCTCATTTGTTATACTTAAATTATAATCACTAATTTTATTCTTATTTATATGTTCTTGTATTTCTCTATTTTTAATCAATGTACAATTGTATTTGGGCACGGAAGTCTCATAGGCTTCGCCTTGTGACGATTGGATAAATTCATAACATTTCAAATGTTTTTTTACATCATTAAAATGATTTTTGGAATAAATATAATTTAGTGGACATATTGGACTTAATGCACGTTGATTTGGTGATAATAATAAATTGTCTTTTTGAACAACAGGCAGTGATTCTAAATCTTCATCTTCTTGTTTTGTATCTGTAGGAGTGTTTTTAGAAATAGAATTATTTATTGATACAACTTGATCCAAAGAAGTAGACGACAAAGATTTGTCATCTATCACTGGAGAAATTTCAGGAAAAGATTTCTTTATTTCTGTCAATAAAAGTAATTGTTGCTTTTCAAATTCTTTTTGTAATGAAGATTGCTCTTGTTGTTGTCGAATTACTAATTCAGACATTTGTCTTTTATGTACTTCTTCTATTTCTTTCAAGATAGTCAATAATTTTTCAGATATATTGGCAGAATTACATTTTTCTTTTGATTCATTTATTTTATCATTATTTATATTTTCTTCATCAAAACTCTCATTATCTTTATATGTCCTTAATTTTTGTGACTCATTAATTTTGTGCATTTGTGCTTCAATATCATGCAAATTTCCTAATGACCCTCCTAATTTATTTGTTGTATTTAACACTGCAATGTTTTTGCTCTCCTTCCATTCTTGTGGCCTATGATTTTCTTTATCATTGTTGCTTATACTATATTTCTTTTTATTATTGTTCATTTTTATATCAGGCTTGTAGATATTCTCTTTCTCAATCATCATTTGTATACAATCTACGGATCCTGTAGTTTGATACATGCGAGTTTGTGGTTCCAATATTGTTTGTTCAATCTCAGTCTTATACAAATTATGATTACTTTTGCTAGATAAACTTTTTCTTTTACACTTTGAATTTTTTAATGTCTGGTGAGTATCCATGACATTAAATTCATTGTTTTTAATTTCATTTTTCCATTCAGTATTTGTTTGTGTAATATTCCATTCCTTGCGTCGTATAACACTTTTTGCAGGTGTAGGAATATAATCCACAGTAGGAAGATCATTGGTATTATTTAATTCTGTTTGTATGTGCGCAAGCAACATAGGACTTGGAGTGTCCAAAATGTAAGAACCTTGACGCACAAGATTTGGTGTTTCTTTAATAGAATTTGTTTCAGTTATCATTGAAAATTCTTCTCTTTCATATATATTTGAATTATCCAATGTAATAGGGATAATATCTAAAGTTTTAGGCACTTCAGGTTTCCAAGTATCTAAGATATTTTGTTTGACTTTTGATTTTGTTGTATCAGTAAGACTTTCAGCCGAATCGGTGCTTAAGACAGTTGATCTTGGACTAAATGAATGCCTTTCTGTTAAATTTGTTTCAATATTTTCATTGGAAGATATTTCATGTACTAATTCGAAATTATTACTTTGTTCTTGAATATCTAGATTTTTATTCGTTTTAACATCATATGTATTTCTCATGGGTATTTCATCCACATCGATATTAGACATTGCATTAGGAATCACATTTTCATTATCAAAATTAAATGTGTGATCAATATCCTGTATTCTCATATCATTTTCTATAGATTTACTTTTGTCACTAAATTTGGTATCATATAAACCTTTTAATTTTTCTTCTACTTGAATTGCTAAATGTTTATAATATTTTACTTCTTTTCTAACGTCTTCGGTTATCTAAAAATTAGAAATGAAGAAATTTATTTTTCAATATTCTATAGGTAATAGATTGTATATTGATAATTAAAATCATTTATTATAATATACTTACCATTGGTGGAAGAATAGGAACACCATTAATTTTTATGCAAGAAATATACGCTTGCTGCGCCATTATTATTTATTTAATAATTTAATACAAATAATAACAAATTTCAAATGATAATAATTATTATTCATTCATCTAAGGTTATAACAGTCGAAAATATATATTTTCATATGAATTGATAATCTCTAATAACTTTGACATTAATATAGATTATTTGTAATAAATCAAACATATAGAAATAAATTATTTAAATTTTGAGAAAATAACTTGGTATAACAAAAACGTGAATTCTGAAATATCTAAAAACATCTTTAATCAGGATTGGTCAATATGACTTCAAAAATTTGTTTTCAACGAATAGGAGAATAGTCAATAGAATTGTAAGTTTTCGTCATTTTCTTGTTGCAGCATAAATCTTTTATGAACTAAGTTTATTTGTGAAAAAAAAAAGAAAAAAATAATAATAATAATTTATGATAAACGAAACCGAAGAAAAGAATTTATTAATATTTTGATTAACATATATCGAGGTAAACATTAATCATATTTAAAAAAAAATCAACCTTAATCAAAAATTCTCGATATTATTTTTCATTTAATATTACAATTATCAGTATTATTTTATTACATACATAATATCATTTAGAAAAAGTTTAATGTAAGTTTTCAAATACTCCTTTCGAATATATATATATGAAAGAGAAATATATAGAACTGAAATGTAATATTAAGACTAACGTTGTCAGAGTCAGCTCTATACTGCTTCATACTGGTCTATACACATTCCTTGCGAAGTACGAGCTAATTTACTTACAAACATTAATGGAAAGTAAATAATTTAACAAGAATAATTTTATAACGTTAAATTACAATATTAATAATTACAAAGTAGTTGATTTTTTATTGTTTGTATTTTATTTATATACGTATTCACATATTCTCCGTTGAGGTTAATCATACGTTACGCAATTATATATTTTTCATTTTTTATAAATAATATGTAGAATATTTCGTGATATAATGAATATATATAAACTAACTAATGCATATTGATATTGATATTTTAAAAGACGAGTAAATAATGTATAATATAATAATTTAATCATCTGTTAGTATTTATAAGCATTGATCAGAATAATTAAGGTTAATAGTTTATTTTTAATAATTTGATCATGTATTTTATATTTTTACAGTTTGATGGGTGCTGCCAAATCACTTGGCTATTATATCAATAGATATTGTTTGATCGTCTCATTTCCAACGATCACAGCAAGTTCTATTTATTACGATCTAAAGCGTACTCGTTTGTGGAAAGAACAACAGTTATTTGAGAAGCAACAGAATAATTAAATAGTAAACTAATCAACATGATAACTTTTAAATATCTGTTAAACGTTTATTATCCACTTATTCTTCCAATAACTGGATTTATACTTGGAAGTTACTTAGACAACTATGAAACTTTAAGATTAACTAAATTCAGAGATAAATCTGCTTTATATGGGAGAGAACTAGCACCTGGAGAACCACATTCATGGCCATAATTAAATTGCAAAATGAATATATTTAATGAAAATATGTATTAAGATTAAAACCTGTTAATCTATGTAGACAACTTAAAATATAGATTTAAAGTTATCTCTTTGTGATTGTAATTTTTTTATACATATGTGTATTTATAGATTAGCATTATAATTACATTACATTACATTATTTTTTATATTACATGATTTTCCACTTTTAATCACAGATCAAAACTGAATAGAACACTGATCCAAATGTTACATTCAAGAAGACATACTTTTAAAAGCTAAACAAAAAAATGAGTATAAAATAAAATAATTAAAATTGTCTAGATACACAAATTTATAGTAATATGTATAAAATAATAAAATTAAAATTCTCTTATATTATTTGTTAACATTTAAATACAATAATATAAGTTTAAAGAGATGAAAAGATGAAAGTTTGAGGAGAATGTGGGCTCATTGAATAAATAAACTAATTGATATTTTTTAGGTATAATTAGAGTTACATTAAGCAAATGTAAAATATCTATTTGAAGGCACAATGGTAAATATTAATTGAGGAAGATTTTCGATTTTCCCTAAAGAAAATACCACTGACTACTACTATGCTAGCAATTATTAGGGGTTTGTAGATGGCGCAATAAAGTCGTATTATGATCGTTCATTTTAAGAAATATATTTCTAAAATAAAGCTTTAAACTAGCAAATCAAAGAATCTATTGTTTATAATCGAATATCATGAGATTTCATGAAATATATGATATTAATTTTTATTTTATTTACAATATAAAAGAAATTCATTTACTTTTCAATCATATTAATAATACTAAATGCGCGCGCATATCGACTCAGCTAATACTGATTACGAAATATCTTCAGTGCTGTCTTCAGAAGGTGTCCAAATTACGAGCGTGTAGAATTGTTTATTTTTATTATAATATTGAAATACATTATTGTTATACCCAATTTTGTTATTCAATTTAAAAATTTTATATAAAAATGCAATTAAAAGTAATTATATTTATTACGTCATATTTTTTTCAATTTTAAGAACGAGTTAGAAATGCAACATTGCTGTTACTAAAAAAAAAAAAAAAAGAAAAAAAGGAAAAAAAAGAAAAAAAAACGTATATAGTTCGGACAAAGAAATATTTAATATATATTCATAAAAATTAATCATCAAAATTTTTAAAAGTTTAAATTAATAAGTATAACTAAGAATGATCTTTTATATACCAGCGAATTAAAATCGAGGATATATAAGAAAAGATGTTATTTGTTAAAATTAGTACTATTACTAAAGAAGATATATTTTTCTCATTGAGACATATGATAGGTAGAACATAGAGTGTATACGTTACTGTCGTTACTGATGGCTGTTAGTTCCTGATTGGTTATAATATGATTGCTCGACTCTGTGTCATGAAATGGCGTTGCTTTGAGATTTTGGTGGGAGAAATGTGGCGTAGGGGGTAAGTGGGAAAGGAAGCAAGAAGTAGAAAGCAAAGGCATCGATGGCAGCGTCGTAGTAGTCGGCCATTGCTAGGGAGTTCACTTCGGTACTAGGCTAGGCAAGATAAGCATCTTCTTCGTTCCCCTTGTGTCCCCCTCTCCACCATATCGTTAACGTGAAAAAACTATTTAGTGATTTCGTGTTACGATTTTGGATGTTTCTTGATACAGAAGTTTTTGAATTATAGCGGCGATATATTTTTTAAAAAATGGAGAAGAAAAAGTCTGCGACACTGATCGCTGTTAATGAGGCTGCGTTACGCGCCAATCTTCTTGGGACAGTACCACGACTGACGCCAACAGGGAAAATCAGTCATGCCAAGACTCGCGTTTATACGCAACGATATCGTAAAGAATGGGAACAGATGCCGGATTTCAAAGGTATTTGTAAATAAATTATCTTGGAAGGTTAATCGTCTCGTTTTATATGCTTTTTCTATGGTCTTATCTATAGCGCGCGCTAAGTCCACATAGAACATTGATTATGGAATAAGCGTTATAGAAAAAGCGGGAGGTTTTTACCGTTTACGATAGCTGCGCTTATTTTTAGAGATACAGTTGCAAAATTTTCTTCCTTTTTCGAATGAATAAAATCTAACCAATAGTCTGAGATCTGTATAATTATAGAGACAAAGCAGTTTCTCCTAGTCGTGGTTCCTTTTTATTTTCTACTATATTCTTAGTTACTTCGCATAGTTTCCTTGAAACATCGTTAATGTACTTGAGTTATTATTTCTATTTTTGTTCTTCATTTTTTTATCATTATTATTATTATTATTATTTCTTTCAAAGTAATATTATCTATGGAATTATAATATAGATCTAAAATGGATAAGATTATTTATTATATTAAATAACATTTGTTTAAGTAACATCATTAGTTATTTTCCAATGTTACTATGTAATTATTTGAATTATATGTTTGATTAAAAGTCATACGTTCAAAGGAAGAAGGGACAGATAAATATAAATAATATATTAATCGTAATTTTTATTTACAGGATGGTTAACATCTGTAGCATTTCAACCGACACGTGCTTATTGTACTTATTGCAAAAAAAATCTTCATGCCCATCGATTATCTCTTTTGAAACATACATGTACAATGAAACATCAACGAGCAGCTTTGTCACATGAGGCTGAAGAAAAGACAAAAGTAGAGGAAGAAAAATGTGAACCTCTTGTTGAATTGGAGGTAGAAGAAAACAATGTTGTTGAGGTATACATTTGTTGGATACATTTTTATATATTTAATATAAAGAAAAGATATATTTTATATTATATTTAGTCTCTGGAAAATACACAAGTTGAAACAGAAGAAAATGAAGATGAAATTGAATATGTTGTTGAAAGATTAGATGAAATAGATGATGTAGATTTAAATGAATCCCAAGGGAAGCAACAAGAAGAAGAGGGAGAAGAAGAATATGCAGAGATTGAAGAAGATGAACATTTACATATACCATCTGACGAGGAAGATATCAAACCTACGTTAAAGAAAGTTAAAATAGAATCCGTAGTAAGTATCAATTAATAATTTAGTCATTTGAATTATTATATTATTAAAATATGTTAAAATACATAACTACATATAGAGATTGTTGAAAGGAGGACTTTCAGGAAAATAGCAGGGATACTTTAGCTGAAGCAATGGCTCATGTTCACGGTGAATATTTAGAAGAAGTCGATGATCAAGAAAATATACAAATGGAAATGATAGTTGAATCTGAAGATCAAAATGTAGAGATCCAAGATATGTCAAATCTCGTTAAATCTGTAGATAATAATAAAAACATGAAAGAGGATCGTGAGAATAGTAGATCTCTTAGACGCAATGCTAAGAATGAAAAAAGATCTGGAGTTAAGCTATTGGTACTTACACTCAAATAGCAACAATATAATTTGGTTGATCATTTTTTTTTTTTTTGCTTTTTTTCTTATTACACATATATATTTTAGCAAGATGATGCAAAGCCTCAAACAGATTCTGGAATAGTTATGGCATGTCCTTTACCATTATTGGGTACAACTTACCAAATAAATTCTTCAGTGACTGGAACACCTGGTACAATAGGAGTGCTACAACCAGTAAATACTCTTCCAATAGCACCTGCACAAAATAAAACAATTACTTTAACATCAGGTGGCAAGACGTTAACTTTAACAGGTGGTACATTTCAACCTGGTACTCAATATGTACTCAGTAAATTAAAGAGCAAAATACCAACATTAGTTATGACGGAAAAGAAGCCTATTTGCGTCACTAGTGAGTCATTAAAAATAGAAAAAGGATCACAAGAACAATTGGTCATAGCTAGCACCAGTCAGTCATCCTCAAAGAAAGTACGTCAAATCAGGGATTTTATTTTTAATATATTAATCTATTTAAACTATATTTATAAATTATATTATATATACTTTTTTAGCACGTTATTTTGAAACCTGTTAAATCTACAACAAAGAAGCCACGCGTTTCTACTCATGTAATTGATACAAGTAAAGGTATTCCTGTTGGAGGTTTACAAGTTAGTCTTTATAAACTTATGGATGGTAGATGGACATTTCTAAATGAGAGGTATTACTTTTTTAATTGTTTACTATTATAAAAATAACATAAAAGCCAATATTGGATATTATTATATTGTATATAATGAAAATGCATGTTTGCAGTAATACGGGCCCGAATGGTCGATGTACAGATTTGGTAGACAATGCTAAAGTTAATTTTACTGCTGGTCGATATAAAATACATTTTGATATCGACAAATATTTCACTCTTAGAAGAATAGAAACTATGTATCCATTTATTGAAATAGTTTTTGATGTAAAAAATCCGACTGGCCATTATCATATACCGGTGTTATTGAGTCCATTTGGATACAGCACTTATCGTGGTTCTGATAGATGAGTTTGTAATATATTGTAAATATATTTCTATTTCTGACTGTATGATTAAGTTATATAAGAAAAAAAAAATATATATATATATATTTGTAATCTAAGTTAGATATAAGAAAATTTTATATAAAATATCTGTATTTTATTATATTCAAACATATATAAATAATCCTAATATTTGTGATTTATTTGTAAGCTAGTAATATGTATAAATAATATTAGTTTATTGGTAAAGGTGCATATAACTTTAATAAGATAATAGGTAGAATAAGGGACAAAATATAATTTTAGATGTCAATAATATTATCAATAAAGAAACTTGTTCATATATATATGATATATATCCTATAATTCTATAATATTTTATAGAATTTTTTTATGTTCCAACAAGTAAACATCGAAACTCTATCTTTCTATAAGAATAAGCTAAATAATTTATAATTTCAATAATTGTAAAACTAAACAATCTTTAATATACATGCAAAACAATAAACTAATATTTAAAAAATAGTAATTATGTTTAAACATTAAAAAAATGGAAAAGTGCGAGAAACTAAAAATAATTTTAATATAAAATTTCAATACTTAAAAATTATCTCGTGGTTAATTATGTGCAATATCGATATATTCGGAATTTTTATTGACTTTGACGATTTCTGGATCAATTCTCTTTGGATCTCTAAGATCTAAACATTCAATAAATTTTTTCGTAGATTAACTCGTGAATGGTTTCTTATTTTTTGATTTATTTATTAAATCAGAATAGGTATTTCTTTTTCAAATGCATTTATAATTATTTGAAATTTTGAATATTTTTCTCGCACGAAAATAGTAATGAATCGGATATTCATGAACAAGAAGACATTTCCGATAGATAGTCTCTGGATTACGAGTGAAATTATGCGTAATTTTCTTATAATAATTAAAATATTCGCTTATAAGCGAGTAATTGTAATTAAATGATAGATATACCATCGATTTAAAATTGAAACGCACAGAAAACTTTTCTATCGTATTTATGTTCACTGTCATTCCTATTTATTATAATTTATTCTTATTAATAATTATTTATAAGTCTCGGAGTGGGAACCATGAGTAGGGCCCATAGGTGTGGGCCTTTGTGCAGGCTGCTGTGTAGAGTTACTTTCTTTTTCTTTTTTTCTCCGGCTCTCTTTTCTATCTCATACTTTTTTCTCTTCTTTATCTTCTCTTCTTCTTCTCTTAAAATCATCAAGTGATCATTGAACAATATTCAATATATTCACCTCACGTTCCTAGTTCCATCATTATCACGTACGCTCACGTTTCGTCTATTTTTTATTTTCTTTCTCTTATTTTCTTTTTCTCTTTATCTTCTTCAGTTTGAATTATTAAGGGATAAATTCATCTGCGGTAGGAATAGTCCGACCTATAGTCGAATGTCTCATCGATTCATCATCGATTTTTACGCGAGAATAGGGAAAGAATAAGAGAACACTGTCGTGCGTGTAGCGGGCATAGGCGTGGATTTTCGCGGGTGCAATTAAACTTCATTTGATTGCTCGTGTCGTCCCGAGATCACGTATTATAGAATAAAGTCACCATTTTTCTAAGACTGACGTCTTATTCAAGTCGCGATTAAAGGTCCTATCCGTGAACTTCATTTTATTTGATCGAAAATTCGATTAGATTATTACGCGAACGTAGACTTTAGAGTCAACGTTATTCTAACACATACGGACACGATTTAAAATCTTACCGAAGATTGCGCTTTTTATTGTTCGAAATTTGGAAAGTATCAACGATCGTACTTAATAATTCGTTATGTGTGAAACTTAATAATCTTTATGTCCGGATCCGGATTATTATATTATATATTACCGAATGTGGATTTCTTTGAGTTGAGTTACCGTCAATCCGTGGATCTCCAGATGCAGCAACCTCCACATAGTGAGATCTGGGTCGGTAGTACTTGCGATGTATTGAAATCTTATTTGATACAAGTACTACCGAGCGAATGGCTGCATATTTAAAAAATTTTCCAATATCTTTTCAATATAATTCCAACTAAAGATTAACGTATTTTCATTTTACATTGCCAATTATACTTCAATAAATAAATGATTAAATATAGTAGAATTCTAAAATAATTTCTTAAAGAAATGCATAGAAAGCTTTTCTAATCGTACTTATGGTTATTATCAAGCCCATATATTTCCTATTTATTCTCATTTACTCTTATTAATTATTATTTATACGTCTCTTAGGTAGAATCTATGTGTTGGATCCATGTGTGTCAGTTTTGTGCGAGTTCCTATCTAAGCATCGTGTAAACTTCTCGGATAGGATCTTTGGATTTCCTCCGATGTGTGCCCTTAGTTGGGTTTTTTTCTTTCAATAAGAAAAAATCGAGTTCAATTTTGGTACGAGTGCGATTTTGATGGCATGGTGCGATATTTAATATGTCGAATTTATATAACCTGAAAAAAATAACCTGTTAAATACTTAAACTACAATTACAGTCTTATATATACACCTACATTTTTTGGGATACAAAATTGATAAACTTTTGAAATAAAAAGGAAAAAACGTGGAAACTTTGACGTTGATTCTGAGCTTATATCTGTTTTAATGTAATGTTTAAAATGGCATTTGAAATAAAATAGGTGTCATGGCAGATGATATCTGATTGGTTATTGATTTATTTGCAAAACTAATGTCATTTAAAATTTAATATAGTCAAATTAAATAATTAATTATTACTACTTTTTTATTTTTGTATCTTTTTTTCTAATGTGATTAAAATTCTGGAATCTAGAGCATGTTACTGTATGGTAAAACTTTGTAACATCACAAAACATAATGTACATTTTTTTTTATTTACATTAATAATAACAACTTTAAATTCTAGTTTGAATAAAAAGCTCCTATATCTAATCATTCGTATCTTTCCAATAAATACACTTAATGCTATTTAAGTTATGTCAAGACATAATCATATAAAGTAAGTTTAATATGTTTCATTATTTTTAATTTTATTTAAATAATTTATTAAAAATTGTGAAAATTTATATATTCGTTAAAACAGCATTTCACTTAGATAGATTAGAACATAAGGAGAGATACGTATTTGATTTATCAACGTGCTATTTAAATGTAACCAAAATTATCGTTCTGTAAATATTTAACAATTGCTGTTATGTAAAGAAAATATATTGTACTATTGTTCAAGATTTGAGCAAGTCATTGTGTGAAAATTCATTAAAACTTGCATTTATAAAAATGCGTGAAAATCAATTGAATATAAGTGGGAAAACAATTTTAATAACTGGATTTGGACCATTTGGTAACCATATTGTTAATGCAAGTTGGGAAGCTGTGAAAGAATTGTCTAAACTGTGGCCACAATCAGAATTATGTAACATTCAATTAATTACGAAACAAATACCTGTATCTTATGAATACGTATCTACAGAAATATCCAAACTATGGGAAGAACACAATCCTATAGTATGTAATCGTTATATCATGTATAGCTTACTCTCCCAATAATTTGTTAATTGAATAGTATTTAAGTTAACAAATACAATAATTAATTGTCAGCATTTTGTTTAGATCGTTATACATGTAGGTGTCTCTTACAAAGCAAGCTGCTTAACCATAGAACACGTTGCTCACAGTACAGGCTATGCAAGACCTGATATAAATGGTAAATGTCCCAATGAAATATGTACTGTTTATCAAATTTTAAAAACAGACATAAATGTTAATAGACTTTGCGACAGTATTAATGAGAATTCAACAGAAAGTGGATGCAAAGCCTGCATTTCTTATGATGCTGGAAGATATTTGTGCGAATATATATTTTATCAATCATTGAATATTAAAACGCAAAAAACATTATTTGTTCATGTTCCTGATCTTCATGTATATTCTAGCATGCAAACTAGCAAGGGTTTGTATGATATTATATATTTTCTGGTTAAAACCTTAAATGATGATTAAAAACATAACGAGCATTATAGTAAAAAATGTAAAATTTTACTATTATCTTATAAAAAACAATGATACTTAATATCTAATATTTTTATCCTTAACATTTAATATAAATACATTATTGCAAATGCATATTTTTGTCACTTTATGAACCTTCCTGTTGAAATTTGGTTCGTGTCGGTGGAATATTATATCTTAGTTCGAGAAATTCAGGTTTTCGTAACATTGCAGCGACGTGTCCTAACTGTATTGTGCAATCTGGATTTAAATTTGGTGGTAACAATGTACACTCTCGTTCTAGTATACATGCCAAACCTTCCAACAATTCTACAAAGCCCATAGAGGCTGCTGCTCTGCGTAACCTGTTTACTTCCTATTTAAAGAAAGCATAGAATTATTTAAATATTTGTCAAAAAACAAATAGATGATATCTTAGACTTACTTTGTAAAAATTTTGTGTCTTCTCTGGCAATTTTCTTGCATGTCTTAATATTTTTTGAATATCAGATTGCAATCCCACTTGTCGAATCCATGACGGTGCATTTTGTGTATAACTTCTCTTTTCAGTAGGTCTAACAGGGAAAGAAACTTGTGCACCTTGAGCTGCATCAGCTGGACCTAAATTATTGAAATTACCTAACCATGGTACAATATCAGGTCCTGGTTCTAGAACCGTTAACATTAAATTTGACTTCTTTTTTGTATCTGCCCATGAATAAATAAAACCAAACCATTCATTATTCAATAAACATAGAGCTGCCATATTTTCTACCTGTAAACAATTATTTTATTAAAATATTTCTTTGTTAGAAAAAATACCTATTTAATTTAGAAATAAAGAACCTTTAAAGCTCCATGTAATAATACACAAAAGGATGGTATTTTGCCTTCATCTCCATTTTCATCTGTATCTGAATCTTCTTCCAACGATATACCTTGCATATTTGCATTTTTTTCAGTAGGCAATGGTAAAACTAAATGTCTAGATATAGCATTAGGACTACCAACATCTGCTACGGATATAAATCCACAAATTTCAATATTCTTTGATATCATTAAACCAGATATCAGTTCAAAATCTGTTTTCTTTGTATATGGCTAAAAGAAAAATAATGACTATATATTATTAAAAATTTCAGTTAAAAATAATTCTACACAAAAAACAAAGTGGTTTAATTTTCACATAAGTTATTAACAAACAAATTACCATAGGAGGTGGAGATAAAAGAATACGTGAACCTAAATAGCCACACTTTAAATAACCTTGAAAAGACACATAATTTGTCTCTGCTAGTTTTTGGAAACATACTGCAACAGAATGCTTTGTGAGAGGAGAATCTGGTACTAATATAATACTGTCACATCCAGCTAAATCAATTAGGCGTTGGTAAAGAGGTAAACCTACAGACAAGCCTGGATCTAAAATAATACATACGTATAAATGCAAATGTAAAATATATATAAGATAAATATATAAAATTAATGTTATAAATGTTAAATATATAAAATTACAAAATGAATATTACCTTGAGATGGTGCAATACAAACGACACTTAATTTTCCTGGATATGGAAAAGGTAATGGAAAAGGATTCATATCTCTTGTTACATTTAAGGAATTTAACGAATCCCCCAAAGACATTGGTCCAATACCAGGATTACCATCTGTTATTAAAACTACTTGGCAGGCCGTAGTATTGCCCCATTCTGCCATGATCACATTATTAACACCATGTAAAGCTGTTTCAATGCAGGTTTTGTCACATTCCTCTATATTTTGTAACTTTGCACGTATACTATCATAGTCACGAGTAAATGGACATATAACTTCATAAAGCGATGAAAATAATACCTAAAATAAAATTCCACTTTGAAACAACGAACTGTTTCATTAAAATACTTAAACAAATCATAGGATATATTTATCAATTTTTACCAAAGAAACAAATTCCAATTTAGAATTAGTTTGTAAATAATGTAATAAGGCATTTATTCCATGAATTGCTAAATGATGCCTTGTTAATTGTTCACTTTGAGAATTATCACTATTTCCTGTACTTCCAATTGTTACAGGGCGTCTCATTGATAGAGAAACATCTAATGCTATGACTGTTGGCATTTTAATAAATTCATTTAATACTTCAATTAAAATACATTTGATCTTTCAATATTGCTCTTTTCACTTGTTGCATGAAATTTATTTTTTTTTTTTTTTATAGGTTAAGTATATAAAGTGTGTAGATACATATGCATATACGTATATATATAAAAGCATAGCTGTAAGCCAAGCACATGTATACGTATATAATACTTATATTATATAAAGAATATAATATCTTTCCATAATATTATATTATTCATTTATTATATATAAAATAGATCTTTTATACGAATATTTCAGAACTTAGCAAAATATTTTAGAATTTAGCAAACGAAGTGGTTAGAATAATTCAAGCACAAATCTCTTAAGATTTAACGATAGTTCCTTCGCTTATAGTTCTTTAAATAGACAGTCTATTTTATTCATAACATATCGAAAGACATATATTGCATACAAAAAGAAGCACAAAATTAATAAAGCGATGACACATTTCTGCATGAACTGTGTTCGATTTAAGTGTACCGTAATACTGGATCTTATGTGTCAGTGAATTGTATTTTAATAATATTCCGTTTAATATGAAATACACGTTCATGTATTTTTACAAAAGATTATAAGAAAAATTAGAAATTTGTATAGGGCATTTTATAGTAATATTATTTGTCAATATAATAAATCGTTCAAAAATTATTTTATATATGTTGAATCACAACGTACGTACAACTATTAGATTAGTTGTAAACACTTTTCGAATTCATGAAGGAAATAGTAATAATCTGATCTATGGGAAATGTTATAAATCATTTAAACCGATGGTTTTGCAATTTTTAGAAGAAAGATTAAAGTATAACATCCATTCTAAAGAAACTTTGTCAAATACATTAAAAAATGGGATAGATAATAGTGTATCTAGAACTACTACAGATGACAAGAAATATAATACATCTTTAATAGATTTAAAAAAAATTCAGAAAAAAGAGACGTTAAATGCATTAATAAATTTTATGTATCAACAGCCCGTATATGTATTGCTCCATGAAATAAATGATATTGATATAAAATTTTGTAACCTTTTAGAGGTTATGTCGTACTGCGATATTTTTAAATTATTATTATTTTTAAGTAAAACTGTATCTTATAAAATTATAGAACTGAATTTCTATATTAAAGCCATAGAATTATTGCGGGAAGGAATATCAAGTAATATTTTTAATAAAGATGAAATCATGCTCTGCCTTTACTTCTTTGGTTTAAGAAAAGATAAAGCAATAAAAGATATACAAATGACTTGGAAATATGTGGAATTTGAAAAATTATCATTACTTGAAAAATGCATTGCATCAGAGACATTATTTAAATGTGGAATTAAATTAATACAAAAGCATATAGAACATGTTGAAAAGTTAATAGAAAGCGAAGCTACATTTCTGATTAATAATTTAAATTTACTTGTACCATTATGCAAAGTTGTACGACATGCTGGAGCTACAAAAAATTTTTTTCCAAGCAATTTAAACAAAGAAATAATTAACCATAATCATAGATATCACATAATATCAGCAGTGCATATTTTAAAATTATATTCACATATGTACCTATTGGAACCTACAGTATTAAAACGGCTAGTCACAGATATAATAGACAATATATCATCGATAAATAAAACGATTAAAGATGAATCAAATTTCCATAAGAAACAAATCTATAAATCTAAATACATAGATGGATTTTTATGGAGCATTTGTATATTAAATTACAAATTAACAGATCCACAATTATTAGAAGTTAAAAATTATGTCAATAATATACAATCTGTTATTTTTAATGAACCAAAGGAATTATTACGTATATTATTGTCATTATGGATTCTTGGATATCAAGCAGAATTTGTATGTTATGCATTAATGATTTATAATATCTATATTTTATACAAATGTTTTATACATAAACATATTTTAGATGATAGAGGAATGTATTAAAAGAAATATTTTTGTGGAAGCACATAATAACAAATTTTGGAAAATAAGAACTAGCTTATGTTTATTACTTCATACTATTCAAACTGAATCTCCAAATATTAAATTGCCTAGTGATTTGTTTACTGAGGTATATGTTGCTATGAAGATACAGAAATCTTTAAAAACTATATGTACAATTATAAATGGACTTTCCGAACAAATGAAACTTCAAAATATTATTATCAACTCTCCTGCAAAAGGAATATATATTGCAGGTGTTAGTTTTGATCATTCAACTTTAGGGTAATAATTTTTATTAATAAATAAATGTTTTAATTGAAATATGTATAATATTGTATATGTACATGTTACTATATTATTTCTGACTTTTACAGATCTTTTCATATCGATGTGTTAAATGACATCACATGTTTACGGAATTCTAAAATTCCACATGGTCTTATGAATTTAAAACTTAGACTGATCAAACAGCTTGGTTATCAGTCTATACTAGTTAATACATAATTATATTTTATATATGAAATATATCGGTAAAAGATTTTTATATAATATTTTTTGTTTTTCAGATCGATGAAGATGATATTAAGGATACAATTTCTACCTTTAAATATGTTGAAAAGTGTTTGGTTGGAATACTATGTATTAAGTAATAAATATTTTATACTTATAAGAAAAAAAATTGTGTATTTATATACATATCACATTTCATTTCAGTTCTCGATTTAAAAGTCAACAAATATTAATTTCATAAAAACTATGCGAGTTAGATCTAATGAAATAATAATATAATATATAGGCTTTTTACATGAAATTCGAGAGGTCTCATAAATAATCCTAAATTAGTTTTAACAAGGAAGAATAATATCTAAATATAAAGAGATCCATCTGCTGGTCCTAAATATCTCATAGAAATCAATATTACATCAATCAAAGTCCATACACCAAGCCCTCCAAAACTAAATAATTTGCCAATACCTTCTTGCCAATGTCCCAAATAGAATCTGTTTTGTTATTAAATATAGTAATTATTTTTAGAATTATTTATGTTTCTAATATCTTATTATATAAGCAAATTAAAGTATATAAAATTACATCGTTAATAAGATAATAATATTAGAAGTTAAAGTTACCTATCTGCACCAAAGCCTCCTAAAGTAATGCTGAGTATCAAGGCGGTAGACCACCTATATCCTACCGTCCAATTGCATCGTAAATTTTTCATAAATTTCCTTTTTCCCAAACACAATACATTACTATTAACTGTACAATTTGTTCTAAAAAAGAAGTATGCATTTGGAACAAACGTTTAAGCTATTTAATCATCTTCTTCTTTTAATCTGGTATACCTGTAATATTGTTGAGGCGATGCTACAGAACTACATGAATTCTTTAGATGACATTGATGTTCCCAATGTTCGGTTTGATAACAATAACGACATATATATTCTTTTTGAAAGTTTTGTTCACCCTAATTACAAAGAAAATGAAAAATAAAATTACAATTAAATAGACTTGTAGGATAGTCTGTTATTTGATACATACTATACAATCAACGTATTCTGCTATAGTACAATTTGCAACATAAATTGCTCCATAAACGCAATTAAGATTTAAATTACATTTTAAACAATCTGCTCCTAACTCAGAACACGGTACTCCGATTGGACACAAACCTGAGATTTCTTCCTACGGTAATGCTTACAATTATAAATCATATATTTATACTTTTTGACGATTATATATATTTTTGAATAAATTTGAATATATGTATATCAGACAAAACTTTACCTTTCTACTACTATAAGCAGGCGTAGAATTTGCATTAGATTCTTTTAACGCATAACTTATTATACGATCTGTAATATCAAATAACATACAAAGTAACTGTTTTACAATTTGATTAAACTACAAACATTATATCCAATTATTATATTAAAATAAATCATTCCTTACAAAACGATTAATAATAATAAAAAATATGCACAAAATCATTACCGTATTTACCATTACCGTAACACATATGCACTTCTTTAACAATATGTGATAATAATGCAAAAAAAATGAAAATAACGTTTTTTGAATTAATACGAATTACGTTCATTCTCAAAAAAAAAAATATTTTACTTTTGTAATGTATTATAGACCAACAAATTTGTAGATATTGAATTTATTTGTACACATATCATAACGTTGTTTGGCTTAGATCGACCTGTCTTTCTAAGTATTCATAAACAGAGATTAGTCAAATGAAGGGAACGATAAAATTTAACTTATGCGATATATTTTAATTTAATATATAAAAAAAAATTACATCTCATTATTAATACTAATATAGATAATTAATATGTTACGATATTCTATATATTATCCTATTTACATTTAAAATAATATAAGAAGTGTATAAAGTATAACTTGAATATAGCTTGCAAATTGTTGCTTTAGATGTATGCTGATTGGATGTAAGTTTATCGCATAAGAGAGAATAGCCAATCATTGTTAAGAAAATATTGTTTGTACTCTAATGTATCCAATCACAAAAGAATTTTGCCTATTCCGTTATTAATGGCCTTGCTATACGATTGAATATACTTAGTTTCGTACAGTTGCTTTGTTTTGGCACTGACTGAACTAACTACAAGTTTGACCTTAGCTACAAACTCTTCTAACTAGAAGTCTGTGATCTTGGTAGGAGTCGATATTATTACATCTATACGCGTGTGTGCAAAATGTATTGTTACTGACATATATATTTTTTCATATCCATATGTTGGTAAGCTAGAAAATAATGTATGACACGAGGAATGCCGAACGAATGACAGTAGGATTAACGAAGGTTATGTTATTATATAGTTCTCATTTTATTCATTTATTTCTTGAGTCGATACTCGTAATATAGAATTTTTTTCAACATAGAAATATAAGAATTTTGCAAAAAGTGGGACAAGATGGAGACAAGGCCTTTTCTTCTGGATGGCTCATGAAACCAAAGTTGCCATATTTGGCGTTTTATACATCGTACGATTTTTACACATTTGAGCATTCACGTTATAACCTTACAAGGAAAATATTGTGTTATTTATTGATATTCGTGTGCGTATATATATACAACATACGTATATATATGGTGTGTGCATATATATATATATATACACGTTTATATATATATATGCTTGTGTATATATAATATATACATTGTATATATATATATATATATAATATATATATATATATATATATATATATGAAAAGTGATGTGATATGCCTCTCTTTTAACTGTACAATTTCGTATTAGTATTTTCATTAAAAGAGCTATTTATGTACATATATTTCTATTACTTTTGTTTACATCTATAATTTTAGTGAAATAAATGTGTAGAAAAGGGATATTGAAGAAGTTATTTAAATTGAAGAAACAGTAAGCTTTTCTCTTTTTCCATAAGATTTACAATTGCAGAAAATCTGTTACAGTTGGCAGAAATTTTATCATTATTTTTGTGCTACAGCCAAGGAAACATGGATTAATCACAACAATTAGAACTAACCCAATATTTTGTTTAAAACTTTATCCTTTATGTTACAGTCATTTTATTATCATCTTGAGAATAGAAGATTATTGTGCATTTTAGAAATGTTTTCAAAAATGTTTCAACATTTGTTCAATTTTCAATGTGAAATTTTATTAAATTATAAAGAATTGTTTATTTTTTCATTTTTACATTTTTACATAGTCACTTTTTTCTTATGATGATAAAGAAATAACGTACAATTGTTATTGATATTTAATTGCTAGAGTTTATGAGTATCACTGTTAACACTATATAATAAATTATTTTGATTTGCGAAAGAATTAACATTTCATTATATATTAAATAAATATTTATATTATATAGGCGTAAAAAGAAAATGAAGATGAAACGAAGTAAATCATTATCACCGGAACCCTCTAGTAGCGGTGAATCAAAAAGAATAAGATATGAAGAGTTACATCCGCATTTGCTTGATTTTTGTGATGATATTTTATTAAATATATTGAAATATTTAAACCCTCAAGATCTTATGGCATTGAGCTTGTAAGTTATAGCAAATAATAATTGTACATTTTTATTGAAAGTTATAGAAAATATATTGTTTTATTTCTATCGAATGTAGATGTAATCAACGTTTGGCACAAGTTACGCGCGATAGAACCTTATGGAGAAAAGTGGATTTTCGTGCAATTCCTATGCCTCTGAATGATTTAGAAAAATATACAAAATTCTTTCAACCAATGACAACTAATGTAGCAATGCGCGGTGATTTACATTCCAACAAATGTTTAGGACTGACACCAAAATTTTTTGATACCATAAACATACATTGTGGTCAGCTGAAGGAGTTAGTTATAGAAGATTATTATATAGATGGTGATGAGGTAAATATAAATGATGGATATTTTACATATATTTTATATCTATATTTAACTTCATTATTAACTTGTATATTTTTAGGTTGAAATAACAGATTTTCCAAGAACAATTGAGAAACTTTCATTGAAAGGATGTGAAATGGGTCATTTGCAAAGTAATAAGTCATATTTCTTTAAAATTGACCTCCATATGCCTAATTTAACAGTAAGATCCCATATTAATTTTAATCTTTTTTTTTTGGAGACAAATTTATAATTTATCTGTCACGTTTGATATTTTTTTAATGTCTAACATCTTATATATGTGTATTTATTTTTAGTGTTTAATTTTAAGTAATTGCCAATGGTTCATGCCACATTCTCTATTAGTAATTAGTAAAATATCAAAACTTAAAGAACTCAGATTGAATTCTTGTCATCGTTTGGGTGAATGCGTGGCTTATGCCAGTTTGGCAACCAGATTTGGATTTAAAACATTAGAGGTATTTTTTATATTTGTAAATATAATGATAATGTTTATTATATAGTATATTTCTATTATATAATATGTGAATAATGAATTTTTGTTAAATAATTAAGACTTTAGATTTACGAGATACTGCACTTGGAGATAGTGAAGTTAGTTGCTTTAGTAGTACTAAAACTCTAACGCATTTATATTTGGAATGTCCAGCAGTATTAAGAAACACTGATGCAGGAAATTTTCGGCGACCTGTACTCGAAGATGGAAATATCGTTCAAGTGAGATATTCTTTTAATTTGTAAAATTTAATGTTATTTGATTATTTCTAATTAGATTGTGAGATATTAATGTTTCTATCTTATTCAGTTTTTAGTTGAAGGTAATTGGGAAAATTATGGTTTTCAAAGACGTTTAATCTCAGATAGAGCAATTCGTGCCATAGGGAGTATTGCTAGAAGAGTAATTCATACTTCTCCGCATGGGATTATATTTTTAGAAGAAGAAAATCAAATATTCAACAATCCACTTCTTAAAACATTAGTCGTTAGGTAGATAAATTGATATAATTTATAATAAAATTATTTGCTATGATTAAAAAATAATACATATTTACATGTACTGAATATAATTTTGTTTTTTAGGAATTATCCACGGGTTTCAAATTCTAGTCTTGTTTATTTGGCAGAACATGTATTAAGTTTAGAGCATCTTGATGTAACTGGTACATCTGTTACAAGAGAAGGTGTTCAAAAATTCAAATCAAGGAGACCTAATGTAAAGATTGTTTCTTCATTCGATGATACGTAGTTACTCTTCATATATGTTTAAGCATTTGTTGTGTATGAGTGTTCGATGTTTTGTAACATTATTACAATTAGCTTCAAGCGTTTAATTTTCTGTCTACAAAAAAGGTTGATACTGCAACAATAATTAGTAATGTATTTACAGAATAATTATCTAATTATGTAAATATATCTTCTCTTACAGCTATGAAAATGTATTTGAATCTTACAAGAATACATATAATAATTTTAAGTAGGTAATATTAAAAATTTATCTTTATTATTATCAAATTTATATGAAAGAATGGTTCATATAATTTCTTTTTTATTTCTCAAATTTTTTAAATTTATTGTGTATATATAAATATAGATTAAGCTGTGCACATAATCCCTATTGTAATAAGCATTTTTAAAAAAAACTATCATGTTAATAATATAGAACAATTTTGATGAATTATAGAACAATATTATCCATTTAAATATTTCAATAATGCAAAAAGCACGGAAATGTTTAGGATACGAAATAATTTGTACGAAATATCACTTTATTGAGGATTAAAAAAGAAATGATGATTATTAATGGGATAATAATAGAAAAATAATAATAAATTCAGATCTCATTTAGCACTGTAGATTAAGATAATTCCATATGTAAAGTATTCATAAATATTATGATTTTTATGTAACAATAAAATGTGTGTCACAATAATAATGATTAATATATAATAAATTTTGATAATATGCGATAATTAATAAATCACCATAATAATAAATAAATTACCAAAATGTAAATATCACAATATATTCATATATATGGATGTTATAAATAAATTAAAAAAATAAATATACATCTTAAGTAGTAATCCGCATATTTATTAATTTTTACTAATTAATTGATCAGGTTTTTATCATCATGTGACACAATATAAGTTTCATCATAATTTTATGGAGTAAAGAATAAATTTTAATTTTTTATAAGATTTTCATTTATCATAATACTGAGTATTTTCATTCGTATAAAGAAAAAATACATTGAGATAAAGAGACAATGATAAAATGGTCTGGCTGCAAATCATCATGACTCGACTAGTTTTAATAATCTTGTAGCATCCAGCGTAGTGTCATATAATTTGCAGTATCTCACGACAAACGCGTCAGTATCATGAATGATGCACGAGAGATCACATCATTGAAAGTGAGTAAGTGATTACATTTAATTTGTTTAAGTTGATTCTAATGGTAAGAAGAATTTTTTTTTATCATTTTACAAATCGATTTAGAAACAAAGAAAAGTTTATTTTTAGAAAAGTTAATTTTTTTTTTAAACATTTCAAAGAATTGGTAAAATTTAGTTTAAAAGAAAAAATTGATAAGATTTAAAATATATGCATAATATTATAATTTTTAATATATTTTTAATATTATAATTTTTAATATATTTTTAATATTATAATTTTTAATATATATACAACTGTAATAAATAATACGATATTGAGTTTGATGCAATGTTTCAAAGCCATCGTACATTTTTTTACGACGTAATACTATATACTTGTATATAGTAATATATATAGTATTAAATATTATATACTAGTTTTAAATGTATTTATGTTGTATATTTTTCTTTCGTTTATATATATATATATTTTTTTTTTTATAGATCCTTGTAACGACTTTTTGATTGCTTCGAGAAATCAATAAAAATTGAAATGGCTACAACTTTCGAAATATTTTGCGCAGTTGTTGCAATTATCTTAGGATTATATTATTACTTCACGTCAACTTTTAATTTTTGGAAAGAACGAGGAGTAGCCGGACCAAGGCCATATCCAATTATAGGAAATATCGGTAAAACGTTGTTGGGAAATATATCTATGGGAGATTATTTGAAAGAACTTTATGATAACCCTGAGTTCAAAAAAGAACCATTAATTGGTATATTTACAAAGAGGACACCCATCTTAATCGTAAAAGATCCCGAAATGATTAAGGACGTCCTTATAAAAGATTTTTCTAAGATCTCAGATCGTGGAATTACTGTGTTCGAAAAGGTATTAATATGTATATATATATATATCTATATATATATAATATATCGCAACGTATAACTATAAATAAGATGATTCATATAACTATAATAATTGAAAGTTCTAATTCATCGATTAAAATTAGAAAAAATGGTTCAAAGTGGACTACATATTCACGATCGTGTTTTTTTTTCTCAAGTGTAATAATGTATTTAAATTATTTTCTTTAATAGAAACTTTTTTTTTTTTATTGCATACATCGAATCATCTCATTGTACTGTTTAAAAAGAAATTGAGATCTCGACAAAAATATCAAGAAAGAATTAATTCGCGAGGTATTTACAAAAAATTCATGAATATTGCAGATAATCTAGAATCATTCATCTCTTTCCTCTAATATTATTTTATAATTTCAAGCAAAAAGAAAAAAAAAGACATAATTGAAATAAATAACTAAATCATCTTATATATAAATACATAATTTATATTCATTAATTATTAATAATATCGTAAAAAACATGGCGATCTCTTTTTTTTCCCTTAGGTCGAACCGTTATCGCAACATCTTTTTAGTTTGGAACCAAAAAGATGGCGACCATTAAGAGTTAAACTTTCTCCAGTTTTCACTTCGGGTAAATTAAAGGAGATGTTTAATTTAATATTAGAATGCGGTGATCATTTGGAAAATTATATAGAAAAACTTGTGACAAAAAACGAATCGATCGAGTGCCGTGAATTAACAGCTAAATTTACTACGGACGTTATCGGTAGTTGTGCATTCGGATTAGAAATGAATTCGATCGCCGATGAAGATAGTGAATTTCGTAAAATGGGAAGATCGATTTTTGAAGTTAATATTCTAAATATAATACGAAGTAAAATTAGAAATGTGGCACCGCAGGCTTATAAATTAATCGGCTATATTCTCCGACGAGATGAAGTCACGAAATTCTTTCAAAGATTAATAGTAAATACTATAAATTATAGAAAGGAACATAATATCTTGAGAAACGACTTTGTTAATCTTCTTATGAAATTGAAAGATGATCCAGAAAAATTAAATGGCATTGGTACGTATTTTACATACGTGTTTTTTTTTTTTTGCATTCTAATCATTTATTTCACTTTGAAAAAAAATATCTTCGCTTGAGAGAGAGAGAGAGAGAGAGAGAGGAGGGGGAGAAATAATAAATTATTAATACTATGATTAACTTATATTTTAATTTAGAATTCACAGATGATCTTCTCGCTGCTCAAGCTTTTGTATTTTTCATCGCGGGCTTTGAAACATCATCTACGACAATGAGTAATGCTCTATACGAATTGGCTCTGAATCCTACGGTACAAGATAAATTACGAGAAGAAATTAATGAAGAATATAAAATACACGGGGAGATGTTAAAATATGAAAATATTAAAGAAATGACTTATTTGGATCAAGTATTTCGCGGTAGGTTTTTTTTTTTTTAGATCATTTTTTTCCTTTTTCAAATATTATCATATTCTGTATTCAAGTAAATAATAATAATAATAATAATAATAATAATAATAATAATAATAATAATAATAATAATAATAATAATAATAATAATAATAATAATAATAATAATAATAATAATAATAATAATAAAAATAATAATAATAATAATAATAATAATAATAATAATAATAATAATAATAATAATAATAATAATAATAATAATAATAATAATAATAATAATATTATTATTCATTTAGAAACTTTAAGGAAATATCCACCAGTAACATTTCTCATGAGGAAAACTATGTCGGATTATACGTTCGAGAATCATAAAGTTACAGTACCAAAGGGTATGAGAATTTGGATACCTATTTATGCGATTCAACGGGATCCAGAAATTTATCCTTCACCGGGTGAATTTAAACCCGAAAGATTTAGTCAAGAAATTGAAAGTACAAGACATCCAATGTGTTATTTACCTTTTGGGGATGGTCCAAGAAATTGCATTGGTAATTATAATAAATTGAAGTGACATCTTAATGGATTCATCTAAGTTCATACTTCAATTAAAAGTATACAATTAAAAATAATTGTATCGTACTTTTTTGTTTTTAGGTGCAAGATTCGCCTCTTATCAAAGTAAAATAGGATTGATAAAGATACTGAGGAAATTTAAAGTCGAAACTTGCGAAAAAACACCGATTCCTTATATAAATAATCCAAATGCATTTGTTTTAGCTCCACTGAATGGAATGTATCTCAAATTGAAAAAAATTGATGAAAATAAAAGTTAAACGACATGTATATCGCGTTTTGATAATAAATACAAACACATACACACACACACATATAAATTTAAAATTTAACTTTCGTTCGTTATTATATCAATAGAATTGTTAATTATTAAAATAAAGAATATAAGATTATTATTATTATTTATATTCATTTATTGAAAAATGAAGACTAATTTTATTATTAATATATTATTAATTACGATTTAAAATTAAGATATTATCATAAACAATTAAAATGTTATTACTTAAATAATATTAATTAACTGATTAAGATTTGTTAAATACAGATTTAATAAAACATTATATTTAGATAAAATTAATAACAAAATATAATAGATTAACTCATCGTTTAAACATTAATCTATTAATAATTTGTTTAATTTTGCTTTTTTTTTAAATTCCACAGAGACTATAAAAAATTATTTGAACATACACACATGCGCGCGCGCATACACATTAAGAATATAAAGATTATATATAAATCACTTTGAAAATAATGGTTATTATTTTAATCGGACTTTGAAAAAGAAACGTAAACAAAATATATATACATTTTCGATTATCTGGTCTATTTAAAATGATGATAATAAATCATTATATCACGAGCCTTCAACGATAAACATTATTTTTTCGTTACTTATTACTCTTATTTTCAAAATATTGAAATCAATATGTAATATGAAAATAAATTTTACTTGGTCAAATTATATAAAATTGTCACGTATTATACATAATACGTAATATTAGCATAATACCATGTTAGTTAAGAGGTGACAAAATAATTTAAACAAATTTAGTGCAAGAATCATATTTACTATAGAATTATTAAAATAAAAGTCGTAAAAGCGTTTTTTAAATACATTGAACGCTTTAAACATATAAATATAACTAGATTTATGAGTGCTTTGTACTCTCAGTCATTGACAATATATATATATATATATATACAGGTATATATATATATAGGTATATATATATATACCTAGCTTTATTATCAATATCCACTTTCATCGACACGAACGTTTTGTAACTATATTTTGAATTACGATTTTTTTTTTTTGATACAAACTACTTGCAATGTACAAATTTATCTCTAATGAGAAATATATGATTCAATAGATAAAAAAGTGTACAATAAATATGGAAAAGTCATCTATGGTATGCACTGCTTCATATACAATACAATTAAGAATCGTATTATAACATAAAAAATCATTAGTGCAATCCACAATGTAACAGTTAAGTATACCATGTTTCTAATTATTATATATCAATTGGAATTCAAATAACAATATTGTGGATTATAAAAATGATTTTTATTGTATAAAAATCAATCAATATCGTATAGATTTTTATTGTATAAAAATCAATATTGTATAGATTTTTATACAATAAGTACATAAGATTTATTTTATTAAAGTATTATTAAAATTCTAATACTGAGATGTTTCTACATCCTCTATACCAGAAATACTAGCTTGTTCCAATACCTCAAGAAGTTTCTGCATTTCCATAGAATCTGAGGAATTGTCAAGTGTTCGTTCAAGCGCTCGTACATAAGACATGCATGTTCGTCCTTCATGATCTAAGTTTTGAGGATTTGCCTTGTGCTGTAATATTTAATACATATAATAATCACCAAATTGACAATTAGATTCTAAATATATTTATATAGACTTCTTTTTTGTACTTAAGATATTTTATAACATTAATGGAAATAATTACTAACCCAAATTAAAAGTTGAGCCATAGCTAAATTTCCTGTTGCACAAGCTAAATGAAGTGGTGTTCGTAAATCTTCCGTGCTGACAGAGATATTAATATCTTCATAATTACATCTAGCTAAACATAAAGTAAATGCCCTCATATCACCCCTATATTTTAAACAGAAAAGATAAATAACTTTTACAATATTACTTTATCATAATGTAAAAAAAACAAAAAAAACAAAAAAAAAAAAAAAAAGAAAAAAAAATTGGAGCTCACCGGCAAACAGAATCAATAAGTAACTTCCCTAAAGAAATATTTGGATTAATTGGTGGTAAAAAGGATTTGTCTTCATATTTCCATCGTATCCATTGTTCTTTTTCTTCTCTTGTTGACTCTGGGTTTGGTTTCTGTTTTCCATTTAAACAATATTCCCAAATACTATTTGCTATGTCATTGCCAAGAGCTAACATTACACTTAATTGACCTGCGCTATATTCAATGCATTATTATTTTACATAATTAACAATCAATCCATATCCCTAAATTTGTTGTTATAAAAAATATGAATATGAAAATTTAATAATATCTAATAAAGAACTATATATATATAAGGTATGTATAAATGTATATTATACTTACGACCAATCATCCAAGTCTAATGATCTAACTTTAGAAATATGTGATCCTAAATTTCTATGTATACCAGAACATTCAATGCACATCAGCACACCTAAGTTTAAACTAGCCCAATCGGGATCTAAAATAACATTGAGTATAATAATTTATTAGTAATTATAATTATCGCTCATTTATAATTACTTACTAGGTGCACCACAATCGACACATGCATCATTTCCAGAGACTTTATTTTTTATACAATGCATTTTAAAAGCATCTGTCTCATTCTTTTTCTCACCATCACTATTTTGTAAACTAGAAAGTATTTGTTGTTCTATAGCAGAAATCCAGCTCTCTCTATCTTCAGCATTATTAGCTTCAAAATGCCAAGTTTTATTTTCTAACGAGATGATTGAAAATTCAAAACTATCTTCTGAAAATTATAATAAACATAACAATTATTATTTCTCTAAATTATATTTTCTCTAAAATAATATCCTTATATTAAAGTATCAAATATTCATTTACCTTGAGTATTTGATAATTTTGAACCTTTTGGGGTTTTTCCAGGCACTTTTACAGTTACATATTGTAACAATATTTCTTTACCATTACTATCATTCATATAATCCTAAAATAGATATAATTATAAATACATTAGATAGTAAATAAATGAATAAATAATTATATTATTTTTCTTCATAGTTACATGTAAACTTGAATGATAAGTTAAACGTCCATCTTCCAATAATGTAACGTATTTCTTTTTCCATTCCTTTAAAGATTTACTACTTCTTTTAAATAAATAACCTTGTTTAACTGGTATTTCTCTACCAACACCCATTTCACCCATGTTATATTTTTCTTTTTTTGATGGGGTAAATATATTAGACTTTCTTCTAAATTTTCTACAAAAAAAATATTACATGATATTTACAAGGAATCACGCAGACATTCTAATTTATATATATATATATATATGTAATTTAGTATTAATATGTATATAAATTTGTCATTCAAACCTAATAGTAGTTGGAGTTAAAATAGAAGATCGTAACTCTCCATGTTGATTCTGTGTATTATGAAAACCATCATTCATTCCTGATTCAGTTTGTATATTACTATTATGAATAGATCTAGAATCTTCATCTTTTTCAGATCCCTGAAAATATAAAATATTTTCAGTAAATTATTATAAAGACAAGTGTATTAAATTCTTAGCAATATTAAATATTATCTTACATCTACTTTTAATGAATTTGTCATATCCATTTCTTTCGTAACCAATTGTACATTTTTTGGAGTCATTGGTACAGGGTATTTTATTTCGTTTTCAATAGAATATTGACCATTGCATCTAAAGTTTTTCATAGATATACTTTGAATAATTTTTTGACAGACTGCAATATTAATTATTAAATTAATACATTTTTTATCATTAATATTTCCACATTGTTATATTAAAAAAAAAAGAAAAAAAAAAAAAATAAAATAAAATAAGATAGCTAATATAATATATTTACCATCTTGAAAAACTCTTTCAACATTTAAACCATAAATAGCGCATGTTTCATAATATGGACATGTTAAATCACATGCTAATTTTCGTGGCCTTACATCCTTTATTACACGCGGATTACTATCATTAATTGAATCTAAAAGAAATATCTTTTAAATCACGCATATAAAGGGATATTATGAGCTAATATTTGAATACAATTAAGCTGAATTTATAAATTAATCTTTGATTTAATGTATAAAGTAAAATTTACATACTAACCTTGTACTCCTACAAGTATTTTTGGTATTTCAGACATATTTCGAAAAGAGCACATTCTATTATAAAAATGACATAGTATTGAAAAACTTTCTTCGCTTTCCAAACTAAATACTAATAATAGTGCATCTATCCATGCAGAAAACTAGAAAGAGATAGGAATAAAAAAAAATATGTATATATCTTAAGTTATCAATTTAAAGTAATATTGAATATATTTAATTTAAAATACCTGTGTTTCTGGTACTCCTCCTTCATCCCTTATTAAAAGCAAATAACTTTGATCGTTGATAAATACTTCTTTTTTAAAACGTCCACCTTCTGGAGATTCTTCGTGCATAAACGAACCAGTTAAATATCTATGAACTAATGCTGATTTCCCTGAATCAGATGAACCGATAATTCCTAAATGTAATTCTGGAACATCTCTAGCCAATGTCCATTCATGACTATTCACAAATGAATCTAAAGCCAAAATTAAAGAAATATATAATAAATATAATTTTAAAAATATGCAAAACATATACTTTAAATATTTTGATTGTGTACCTTCTATAGCAACGACATGTTCACGTATTTGTTTAGAAATATGCGTATCTGATATAAGATCTATTAGATCATAAATGGCATATATCGATGGGTGAACACTTTCGAAACGTTGAATTTCCTGTCGAATTGCAAGAGAATGATCGTGCCCACTTTGGCCAGTTGTCATTTTCCTCAAATTATTATTTTTTATTTAAATGGACGATTGTTGCATATTATAGTAAAAATGTTACATTAAGTAGCATCGTGGTATGTCCTTAATAATTAAATAACCTCTACATAATTCAATTATTAATGGCCGTTCAGTTATCGCGCAACATATGTCAGATTGAAGTATTTATAAACATTATTAGATTGCGACGAATAAATAGGTTACGTGAAATAAACTCCACCTTTTCATGAACATTTTCGATATCTTCGTACAGGCAAATACTTAAATACTTTAAGGCGTACTTTCATTGATTCGACTCGTACAACCAATCAGCGTACGTAACAGATATTCAATAAATGCCTCATTTTTAAATTATACTTGGTATAATATGTAAGATTAAAAGATCATTTTTTTTCTTGTTCTCTTTTTTTTTCTTTAAAAAAAAAAAAAAAAAAAAAAAAAAAAGAAAGAAAGAAAAGAAAACAATAAAATTAATTATATTTCTATTTAATAAAACAGAGACAAATGTAAATAAATGCTTCTCGCTAACATTTCAGAAATGTATAATAAATACGTACCCGCCTTTTATATCCATCCATATGGTAGATACGCAAAATGATTTTGACTTGAATTTGAAGAATTTGGAAGAAAATGATGAAGGCAAGACTCGAGGCATATAGACGTAAAAAACATAAAGAAGAAATGATCGAATCGCTTAAAAGTTCAATAAAGGGTGTTCTACCATGGAACGGAAATTCTGACGTAAATTTCGAAAGATTATCAAACGAAGAAGTATCAAGCGAGGAAACAGAAAATTTATGTCAGGTATTTCTTAATAGTGTTTGTTTTAAAAAAAAAAAGTTGTTTTTATATTTACCAATCTATTGTTTTTAATAATTTTTGATTTTGATTTTTTAGACTGTTGAAATGTCAAATCAAAAAAATATATCGAAAGAAAGAATAGAGAATTTAGAGAATGCAGAAGATTTAGAAAGTTTGAAAGATGATACAGATAATGCGCAATGCAGTCTCATAAATAAAATAATATATTTCTTATATTTTTCTTTATGGCTAACATTATATATAATTGCAATAGAGATTGAATTTGGAGCTGTGTATTTTGTGATATCTGCATTAGTATTAATTTGTTTAAATACAAGATCAAGACCTAAAAAGAAAGGTGAACTCAGTGCTTATTCCGTTTTCAATCCAAACTGTGAAGCTATTGAAGGAACTCTTGATGCTTCCCAATTTGAAAGAGAAATTAGATATGGTGCTTCAAGCGTACATTGACCAGAGAGACAAGGTATATTTATATTCTTATTAATCAAAGATAGATATATTTTCTACTTTTTTCTTTTTTTTTTTCTTTTTTTTTTTTCTTTTTTTTCAATATATAAATGTTTCCAATTGAAATATTATTAACGTGAAATAGAAACTTGTAAAAATGTTTGAATTAAAATTATTTTTATAATAAAAAGCTTACAATACATAATTTTATAATAGCAGTGTGTTTAGTGATAATATTTTTATATTACCACAGTCAATTAAAATGTTTATATATCTTTTTAATATAAATGTTTAACTTTCTTCTACAGTTGTTTTCTTTTTGTTTTTGTTTTTGCTTTTTTTTGTTCTTTTTTTGTTTTTTTTTTACTATTCTTGTAACAATTGGACAGCAGTATTGTAACATTTTTGTAATTCGCTTAAGTAACTCAACATATCAGAAGATTGTTCTGACAAAATGTGAAACGAAGCTAAGTCAGTCTTAGAACGAAAATATTTATCTGGACATAAAAGAGATCTGTCTAAGTCCATTAATATGTCATTCAATATTCTTGTATCTAAGGACCTAGAAAACAAAAGTATAATGATTAATGATAACATTAATATTGTATAATCAAAGTACAAAATTAAAACATATTTACTTGCTACCATCAGTTGCATCGATCTTTTGGTTAAGAACTTGCACGCTAGACATTAATTGTTCTACTGTTTCTTTAATATTATCTAAAATAGAATATTTTATAATAATAGTTTTGATATATCTAATAAAATAATTATTAAATACCTTTGATATCAAGAAACTTTGATATGTTTATGGTTTCCAATACATTGACGATAGTATCATTAAAGTATTTTGTATTCCAATGAAAGACTAAACTCTCAGATAATCTCCAAATAGTATCACCGACTAATTGTGTTAAAGGAATTCGATGTAATTTGAAACTTTCATTGTTTTCACTTTCATTGTTCACAGAATTATTCTTTTTCTAAATAGAAAAATAAGAACAATAAAATATAAGCTTTTGTAAATTT